CGCGGACCATGACACGTTCGCCCTGCTCTCCAACGCAGCGGATGAATAGCTTGATCGGGGCCTCGCCAGTTGACCGGGAGAGATGGTAGACCTTGATCTCCTGTTGACCACGATTCCGGACCCTCGCATTCTTGGCCGGCGAGAGCGTAAACGAAGGTGTTCCTGCTCTAGAGGAAAGATTCGAAGCGCTCCTGCGGAATGGCTCTACAGAGGGTCTCTTTCGTACCCGCGGTAATTGCAAGTCTGGCGGGTTCAGGTTGACTTTAGGCAACTCGGTCGATAGCTTAATCTTTGCAGGAATAGATTCGATGATTTGGCTGATCTGTTGTTGCAGTTGCTGGTCGCCTGTGCTCCCTCGACGATCGAAAGGACCTGTATACTCGTAGATTGAAATTTCGTCGTCAAAGTCATCCGTAAACGAGTCATCGATGGCATTGATTGACAGGTTGAGGTCGTCAATGCTCCGGTTTGGTCCCAACAGAGGACTGCCAAAGGGAGGCATAGACGATTCACGAGAATCAGCCACTCGCATAGGCGGAGAGCTAGGTGGACTAGCCTGAATATACTCGGCTTCTCGAATTCGAGTACGAGGAAGATCAGGAGAAGCAGAGATTTCAGGGGGGTCACTGGACAAGCCATCGAAGTGACTTGACGATCGACGAGTGACAGTAAGATCTCGAGCAAAACTGGTCCTTGGCCTTGCGAAAGGGATAGGGCGAAGAGGCGGCAGATCCGGGGACTCGTCGAGGTCGAAATCTTGGGGGAAGTGACGGTTGGGTGTTTCGGGGGTATGGACCAGTGAAGAGCTAAAGTGATGCTCAGTGGTCGGTGTGGGAGGTTGAGCTGCACCCAAGGGGGATGACATCTCCCTTGTACCATCAAAGCTTCCAGTCAAATCTTGACTGGGCTCTGCAAACTCGCCGGTGATGTTGAAAGAAGGACTATCAGGTTCGCTCTCTGACGATACATCTCTCGTGATGGAGTCTGGCACAACTGTCTCAGCCTCGGACGCACCAGAAGCCATTCTGGACTTCTGGGGCTCAGCCACTGTTCCATTCTTGCGCGGCAATAGCAGTGGAATGGGCGCGAGGCCCTCGTTGGCGTCTGCGGTGCTCTCTGCATCGCTAGAAGAGTCGTCGGCAACCAGGGTTTCGCCGTAAACGGTAGAATCGTCGACGTCGACAAGTTTCTTCAGTGGCGAAGGGGATCGAGGTGGTTGCAGTCGAGCAGCGGCGGCAGCCCATTCAGTCTCCCTAACCTTCCTTTCACAAACTGTAACCCATTCAACGTAGCCCTGTTCCACAGCAGTCATGCGATCCAGCCAGTCGTCTGGGAGTGTATCGTTCAATCCTTCCAAGCAATCGAGCATGTAATCGAGGGAACGGCCTGGGCGTGAAATCTGTTTCTCCAGCATCCCCTTCATCACCTCGAAATTATTCCTTGTTAATGTCGGTTCTCGTGGTGAGACCTTGTTATAGGTCTGCGGTGTCTGAGCCGAGGGCAACGAAACAGCGTTCCATCCCGATTTGAGAGCAACTTCTGCATCCTCAATGGCGATTAACAAAGGAGGAACCTGGCGTAGGACTGTGAGCCGTAAGCCCCAGGAATGCAGCAACCGGGTCACTTTGGCCAAGTTGGGCAGAGCCTGGACGACAATGGCGGTGATGACGGCGGTGAGATCCTCCATGCGGTTATAACTAGAACTAGACAGCTGCCCAACCCTAGTGAACTCGGTGAGGGGTGTGCCCGGCCTGGAAAGCGGTAGGATGTGGTTGTTGAGGACGTGAGCCTTGATATCCTCGATTTCGAGATCGTCCAGATCGCGCTGGATCTCAACCAGCCTTCGTTCATATTTGGTAACCTCTCGAGCCAGCAGGCTACCCATATAACCGTCGTGATCCCCATCAGGTACTGTAAGCTGCATGGATTTCCTCTTGCGCTCCTTCTCGCTAGGCATCTCGAACCCAGCAGAGCTAGATTCAGTGGGCCATGGCCAATTTTGCAACTCGTCGACCCACGACCAGATGGCTTTGGATGCCGAAGCTGTGCGCAAGAGAAAGTCTCGCTCTGTGGTCGAGGAATTCGTCAGACATGCCCGGAGGGCACCGGTAGCGGTGTTGAGGGCATCGACGACGGTGCGCGGGCCAAGATTGGCCAGAATATCATCGGTGAGGCGATTCTTAGGGGGCGGCGAGGTAGCGGTGGGATGCCGCGCATGCCGGATGACCTGCGTGGGCGGATCGCTCATGGTTGTTGTCTAGCACAGACGGAGACTCGCGATGAGGCAATGGACCGAAGAATCATGGTATGTCTTTCTAGGAGCCTGAAGACAGGTCGACGGGGCGTGCGCGAGCGACGTTTTTGATGCCCATGTCGAACAAAGACGCGCCGGGGGGTTACGTCGTCGATGGGGCCTTTCTGGGCGTTCTGGCTGCTTCTTTGGGGACCGCGTTCGTTTGGGTGACTGATTGAGAACGAGAGACAAAGGATGCAAGGAGATGAGAGATGAGACTGCTGGCGTCAGGCAGAAAAAAATGACAAATGGATGTTGGGATCCACGGATGAAGAGGGGGACTGAGCGATGAAGTCTCGGTCTGCGGCTGGTCTTACAAACCTTCCCGCCCTTGGCCGGAAAAAGCAAAGCCGAGACAGGCGAGCAAGGTCGAAAGGAGTGAAGAAGCGAGAGGAGCAACTCTCGACAAAGGTGATTGAGGTAAGTGGAGCAACCTGAAGGCGAAGCAATCGCCAGCGGGTGGCGGGCGGTAAAGAAAAGGCTGAAAGCTGTGTGGGCGGCAAGGGCCACGTCGCGGTCGCGTTTTGCGGTCCTTCGTTGGCACTTCGGCTGTGCGAATGGAGGTTTACCGTGGGAATTAGCGGCGCCCCCCAGTCCAAGCCAATCCAGTCAACTCGCGACAAGAGATGGTTCGTGGGTCGTGGTTCGTGTGACGAAAGAGAGGCAGCTACAGTTACACGTAGATCGGTCGACTCATCCAAATTGATGCCAGAGTCCCGTGCGGCCCCGGTCCGAAGAGGTAGGTCTTGAGGAGATTGAGGTCGTTTCGGTCAGTGTATCCCGTCTTTGTGAGCCCTCAGGTGACGACGGCTCAACTGTCGGAATTAGAAAAAAAGGGACCCTTGGAAAAGTGGATTGAAGCGGCGGATTCCGAAAGGCAAACGAGTGAGGCTGCAGGATGATGTGCAGCGCGCAGTTGATGGAGTCAAGTTGGCGAATAGGGGACGTGAGTAGGTAGAGAGAGCTTGAGCTTGAAGCTGTGACCACTTTGTTAGGCGTCGATGGTGAAGGGAGAGAGCTCTTAGGGAAGGTGAGCAGGCAGCGACAGAAGGAACGACAATTGGCGGACGATGTACAAGATGCAAACAAAGAGCAGGAAAAGAAAAGCAAGCATAGTCGTTCGTGGCGGACGACGCGACAGATGAAGAAGAGAATGTTGTAGGTTGTAAAGATGAAAGAGGAGGGGAAGATGGGATGAGAAAGGGGAACTGAGTCTAGCTACCTACGTCCCCGTCTCTTTCGAGATAATCGAGAGGACCCTCGCCCCGTAATCCCGACCCTGCCAGCCTAACAACCTTCTACACCTGGACAACCAAGACAATTCAGCCCAGGTCTCTCGACGACTCAGATTCCGTATTCTTCTTCTCATTCTCCGTATCCGTACAAGCGCTGCCTACATCCCTGAGCAGTTCACCTGGGTCCTTGCCCATGACGACGACGGACGGTCCATCAACCGCGATCGGCCCCCCGAAGCGAATATTGGCTTGATTGCCCTGTACGACCGGGCAAGGGGGCTTTTGAATTAGATCTATTGTTTTTTTTTCCTGTATCCATGTCCACCTGTCGGAAGCAATGTTGCGATGCACCTGCCTCTTTTTCATCAACGGCTAAAATTATTCAATCTCTCTTGACATAGGTGGCCACCTCCTAGTTGACGTCTTCAACAAACTTGTCCCCCTCTGCAGATGCATATGAGACTGAGGGGCAACCCAACGTCAACAACACCCAAGACAAAGAAAAGGGGCAACAGCGATGAGAAACAACCTCATCTCTTCATCACCTGTCCCCTCTGCATCCGGAGCCTTTGTCTCTCCCGTCCCTCATGACATCGCCGCTTGCAGCGTTCCCCCTGTCTGCCAGTCATCATGACCATGTCAACAAACCATGCAAAACCCACCACTACCCGTTCTTCTCTTGATGCTTCCTTTGCTTACCAACCCCGGCTCATAATTTCTTTTGCTCTTTTGCCTCCCGTGATCATAGCTACCGCTGTAGCCTCACCGTCCTGTCCGCTTCGAGCCTCATCCCGTGTTTTGTTTCCCACGAGGAACACCCTATCCCTGCCATTACCGGAGCCCGGTAGTCCCCCGCTGGTCCCCCTGTGAGGCATGGCCTCCCCAGCTGAACACCAAGAGACAGACAAACGCCACTGCGAGCAGCATGCCCATCGACTGTGGCTGAAAGACAGGGTGACGTGGTCGTGTCATCTGGTTGGCTACGGGTCGTGGTTGTCTTGACATCGTCCTCCTCCATCCATCTCTCAACGTCCACAAAGGTACAGAGTAAGGACACCAGGCAGTTCAACGGTAGTCCCCTGGGTTATTAGAGAATAAGAATACGATTCGGCCTAATTAATTCAAACCTTTACTCAAGTCCCATGACACGTGCGTTCCGAAGTAACCTCATCCAAATCAGCCATGCTCATCCCTTCACTATCATGACTTGACAAGATGATGCTCGCCGTCACGATTCCCATTCCTAACCCTGTCTAGCCTGAATGGTGGCTCAAAGTTCTCATGCCTCGTTTGAATCGTCGATTGCCATGAGGCGAGATGCGACCCGCTTCAGATCATCAGCTCACAAACTGCTCACCCCGGTTCAGCTCAGATCGAATCACCCCATGCCACCCCATCGTTGTCTGTTGGACTCTCTTATGACTCGTCCGATGCACCAGACTCACGTCACATCCCAGATTAGATACTCATATCGAATGGATCTTGACTCTTGTGTATTCAATAGCTAATATGTACTGTGTAGATTGGATGTTGTGTAAATGGTGAGAGTGAGGGCGCCAAGAGATATGGGTCATGATTCCTCTCAAACCGAGTGCGCCCTCTTCCTTCTCTTGCTCGGGTAGATCCTTCAAACTCCAAATGTGAATTCCCTTCATCAACCGTCATGCCAAGCGTTGCTTTTTGATGTCCAGGAACCAACCCGAACAAATCCCACCCAAATAAATCCGCCGTCCCATACCCAAACAGTTGCGCCACCTGGAGCCAGAGCCCGCGCTCAACGCCCCGAGTTCCAATATCGCCGGCTCTAATGCAGACATGTACACCAGGTAACACAATAAGAAACAAAATGCCAGACTCCATCCATAAATCATCTTCAAAAATGGGCCAAACAAGAAAAGAATAGTTGCCAGAATCATGTTTACGCCTGGGCAGGAACTTCTCCCTGGACGCGGCCATCTGGCTGCCTGGCTGTGGCATCAGCCTCGGCGTTGATAGCCCAGTTCAGAGCTTGCTCAGCCGACATGGTAGGCTCCTCGACTCCTCGTCCAAGTACACCAGCAATCAGGTTGTCATCCTGGTTGGTGACACCCTCAGGAGGGAACTGAAGCCATTGATCAACATCAAAGTCAGTTCCGGCAACGGCGTTCCAGTCAAACTCATCGTGACCCTGCATGAAATCAAGATCCATGTTTCCGACATCCAACTGGATCTCCTCGGATGCGGCGCTGACGCTGGGTGTCAGGCCAGCAGGGGACTCCTCCAGTTCAGTCTGGGGCGGCGAGTTCGTAGAGAGCTCCAAGGCTGCAGCATTGACTGTGTTGGGTGGCATCATGGTCGGGGTCGGCTGTGGTCGATGCTCCTTCGGCCTCTCATTAAAGAGAGACTCGGCAGCAGTCATGTAAGGCGCGTTCTCGGGTGGTGGCGTCTGAGCGCTGAACTCGACTGGCACTCGCTTCATCATGGCCAAGGTTGAGGGGCCAACACTAGCATTAATATCGATAGCGGCCTTGCGAAGAGCAGCATCGAGGAAGCCCGTTGCGTAGTCGGCAGCCGCGTACACTTCTCGAAGCTTTTCCATCACTCTCATGCATTGGCGGAAACCTCGAGTGGCACGCTCGCGAGCCTGTGGTGCGGGGTTCTTCATCTCGAGCAGGTGAATAATCATGGCTGGGAGAATAACGGTAACACCAGTCGTGGGCAAGAACCGCTCCAGGCGGCATTGGTGAAGTTCCGTGGCCATTCGAGTAATGTGCATGGCGGCATCACGCACTCGCAGTCGTGACATGTCTTGGACCTGGCGTGATGTCGTAGGGGCCTGCAGAGGCGACGACGGCAGAAACTGAGGTCGATGGAGGGCCGAAATAGTCGTGTAGTAAACCATGTGGAGCAGCGTGCGCTGCACGGCAATGGTAGATCGTCCATCCTTGACATCCAAAGGAGTCAGGGTACGGTACTGGCAGCAAGTTGGGAGGGACTCTGCCCATGCCATGAGCTCGTGGTCGACCTCAGTAACGCCCTCGACGTTATCTAGCTGCTTGTTAGGAAACAGCATCATGGTGCTGTTGGTCGTATTCTCAGGCTTCATCTTGTCCCGGATCAAAACCGAGTACTGTGCCTTGAGCATGTGGCTGATGCACACGCAGAGTTGGGCCTTGGAGATACACATGATGGCCAGTTCTCGCTGCATATCCAGATTGCGGACCAACGTGCAGCTAGCGGGGATGACGGTGTTGTCGTCGGCTAGGACCTCGATTTCAAAATCGCTCTCCTCGAGCATGGGGACGTCAAAGTCCTCGTCCTTGATTCGAGTGGGTCGTCGCATACCCAGGGCAATAAGACGGTCTCGCATGAAGCACGACCACCAGATTCGCTTCCACAACTTCTGCTTGGCCGGGGCCATGCTCGTCGATCCAGGGTTGCGGTGGAGGCCAATGGTGTGAGCCAACGAGATGGCCACACCCATCCAGTGCCAAGTGTCTTTCTGATCATCAGGGGTCTCGTACCAATACGTCATCAGGAGCAGTGCCTGGACGAGGACAAGGCGGTCTGACTCGTAATCAAAATCGTAGAGAAGCTATTGGCAAATGAGCTCCAGTCCATTCAAATCAAACTTTTTAATCCCGCGTAGTTTGTCACTCACCCTGGTCTTCTGGAAAAAGGACTTGCGAGCCGCCTTCCGTGTAGTGTAACCACCCTCGCGAAGATACTTCATATCCACGAAAGCGGACGCGGCAAACATGACCGCTTGGTAGAGAAAGAGACTGGTCTGGCCATTCTGACCATCACGTGTGTTTATGATGCCGAGAAAGCTGTTCAGGTCCATGAGCGGCATATACGGGTGGACGTATTCGACGTAAGCCTGCAGGAGGGCATTCTGAAGCGGCAGGGTGGGCACAGACAGGGCACCCTTGATCTGAAGATACTTGACATCCTCGGCGGCAATCTTGGTTGGTAGGGGGCGCAGAAAAGCAGGGAGCTGAGCAGTCGAATCCTGCTCCTCAAGCGAGCTGATGAACTGAGAAGTGCGCAGACTGTCAAAGACGGAAGGAGTTGTCATGAGGTTATTGGACCACACGGGACGCTGAGGGTTGCCATCATTGGAGTGCAGCTTGTTTAGCAGAACAGGGTCGTGGCGGTACCCAGATCGTTGGTCTAAGGTCGCGTGGTCAGCCAGGGCGTTGACAAAACCGGACAAAAGCACGTCCAAGATTTCATGTGATCAAGAGTTAAGCGGGGCGGGGTGCAGGAGAAAAGCGGGCCAGGGGCGGCTGAAAATGCGGAGATCGGAGGCTTCTCCAAAATTTTGCGGGCAGCCAATCAGAGGCCCTAGACCAGTGCGTGCACACAAAAACCAGGGTTCTTGAGGTTGGGAGGCGTTCAAAACTTACAGATCATGTGAGGGACATGGTTGTCAAGTCCGGAATTGCTCAGGAAGCTGCTGGGCCCGTCAATGCTGCTCGTCGAGATTGCAGAGCCGCTGCTAGGACGCCGAAGATCGGCTGTGCTCATGCCCATGGGATTGCTGGCTGCGGTCTTGCAGCGCAATTGGGCTTCAGTGGAGACGGGCTGGCCCGCGGTGCTGGCGGTAAGAAGATTCTTCCTGCAGGACCCGTTAGCAATCAATGGCTGGATGGCTGCAAATTCCACCTCCTCCAAAGTGCCGCATTGCATGACGCCATCCGACGCTGCCGCTCCAGTAAACCGGAAGCCGGCAGCGAGGTCCGGGATGGAGCCGATCGGAAAACCATGGCCGGAAGGGATTGGGAATCCACTCACTTTCGTCTGCGGCTCTCTTGTACAACGCACTGCTCAAGAGTCAGTCACTGCTGGGAGATGAGAGCGGGTCAAGGTCCTCAATGGCCCAGACATTCCGGAATCTCACTCACCTCGACATTGTCCCAGCGACAGTTTCCACAAGGGGCTCCTTCGACCACGTCGCAGCGGACCTTTCGGGCACGGCAGGACACGCAGGCACGGGCAGCTCGTCGCTTGGTGACCTTTGTGGGCTGTTCTGAGTCGCCGGATGGCGAGGCTCGCTTCTTGTTGGTCTTGTCGGTGACAGTCTTTGCTGATGTCGACGCCGGCGAGGGCGGAGCAGCCGAGCCTTCTGGCGTTTCCGCGTTCATGATGATGTGAGTTGGTGTTGCCAATGGGATGAGGTGAGATTGGTGTGTGAGATTGACCACACGATAGGTGAATTGGTCAAGAGGCCTGTCGTCGAGGTCGAGTCGTACTTGAAGGGTGAACGATGTGTGGAATGTAAAGACACAGCTCTGTTATGCTAGATGCCTTGGTTGAATAGGGCCGAGTAGACTCGGGGGAGATCTGAAAGCAGATGGTACACGTTGAACTTGTTGATCATTGAAGCATCCGGCGAAGCGGACGGTGAAAGATTAGAGCGGTAGAGTGGAGAGTGGAGATTGTAAAGATCAAATCGTCAAGCAGATATTCGTGACTGTCGTCGTGGTTCAAATTGCGCGAGTTATCGTCGTGAGAGGCAGTGCCTTTGTCGTGCTGTTGTTCAGGTCAAGAGTGGAGAGTAAGAGTGAGACTCAAAGAGGCGATGAGGTCGAGGTTGCAAGCTGCTGGACAGGGACAGGATGAGGCTCAGCGGTCGACCACGATCCTTGGGATTTGGTTGGAGCAAATGCCCAAGTCCCCGTCAAGAAGAGTGCAAGTTCGTGACAGTTGGAGAGGAACGAACACACAATGAGGAGTTCGAAGCCAAGGGAACGGAAATCCGGGGGCGGCAGGTGGGGGGTGTGGATGGTTATTATATTCTGGTCGCTAGACTGGCTGAGTGCTCGTTACTCACGAAGGGGGGCAGAAGAAGTTTGGTCGATGAGAGCCAAACCAGGGCCAAGCCTAGTGGAGGAGGGCGTGTGGGAGGCGTTGAGGGTCCATGGTAGGGTGCAGATGGCGTCTGGGAGACCAAAGAAAGGCAGAACAAGGCCCAGAGAGGGTGGACGTAGTGCCGGGACCCATTACCACTCCACACAAGGAACCCGGATGATGGAGAGCGCTTTTCCTGGGTGAGGGCGGGTCTTCTCCGATTACGGTAAAGGGCCTTGCCAGGAAGACAAGTCTGGAGGTGGCACCGTGGCATCGGGGTGCGTGCGCGTGCGTCTGCGTGCGTCTTGGTTGTGGGGATAGCGGTCGGGGGTGGGAGGGATGGTGCGGCGGTGCTCACAGTGGCAGTTGAGACGCAGACGTTGACGAGCAGGTTGAGTGCCATGTGTGATTACCACCAGTAATGCCAAGCCGACTCTGGGGAGGCAAAGTAAAATGTCAACCATTGACGACGTCGTATTCTGGAGATGGTTTTCCTTTTTCCTTCAGGTTCAGCCCAGACACACAGAAAGACTCTGAGGCAGGAGCGGAGGAATGGTGGGGTTACGTACCTGCCTACGCGAGGTGAGGTGCCTGACTTCCAGGCATTTTATTTCATTCAACTCCTCAGACTCTCCACCACACCTTGACCTTGATGAGACTCACTAATCCCTCTTGGAAGTCGACCCCAAGACTTGTGTGCTTTTTGCTACTTCAATAGCAGCACGACAATGGATCTGTTGATTCGAGACTTGAGATAGAACCCTTGTGGGCGACCCCGGATAAATCCTTGTCCTGCCACCCATCACGCCTCTTCCCCCTCTCTTTATCTTACTCTAGCAGCCACCACGTCCTTACCCGGGCTTCTCGACCAGACTCTTGGCGGCTGGGCCAGATGCAGTTCACTTTCTTGGGTCATCTTGGTCTGGGGTGGGCGTTTCAATCCTTCCGGGTATGGGCGGACACGGCCGGGGAAAATCTCGAGCTGCCACCTGGTTGGACAGACTCGAGGCTGTCTCTCAAGGCCATCTCAAGGCCACGCTCAAGCCCTGCAACAACTGATTGCCTGATCCTGGAATATCCGGGGCATTGGGGCTTGGTGTCGTCAACAGCGCCTCCCCCTCCTCATGTTGGTCCCGGCTCCACGCGAGCATCAGGGCCATTGGCACACGAACACACACACAATGTGCGATCCCGCACGATATCGACGTTGACACGACGTACGACACGGCACGACGACACCAGGTCCAAGGGTCCGGGCATTGAAGAATCAGACCAAACTCTGGGGATCCGGGGTTGCCATGTGTTGACTTGTGCGGCGATGTACACGCCACCACGCTCCAAAATCTAACAATTTCCAGCACGACAAGACGGGCACAACGGCGCCCGCAATCCACATCACGCCGCCCTCGTGGCATCAGAGACGTGACAAGCAAAGAGGCAACCGGTTGTTACGGTGCCCGCGCTAGACCCCGACGGCATCGTACGCACCCTGTCAAAAATCAACTTTGACGCAAAGGGACATGACAGTCTGCGTATGTTGCGCTGTCAAAGAGGAAAGGCAAGACATGTCCTCTTTGGTCTGGTTTGGAGCCTGCCCTTCTCCAAACATTACCCCGATGTCCAGGGAGGTACCCACTCGCTAAAAAAGACTCTCCGTCCCTCATATTCATGATGATCCTCGTTCACCTGGCTGGAGGGCCTCCCATCCCCACAGTCACCCAAAGCCTCATGAACCAGTCTAACCAGCGGCTTTGAATCTTGACAGATCTCACTCGCTTGTCAGCGATGGCGAGATGGATGTCATGAACGGGCCCGGGCCTCTGCCTCGAAGACGCAAAGACCTGCCGTCCCCAGCATCCGTCCCAGCTCGATTCGTCTCCGATCCTGGTTGCGGGCTCCGTGGCCAGGGTGGCTTTTCTTCGCAGGCCTTCCCCCCACAGTTTGTCATTGTAGTGTGGAGCGGCCAATCACCGACCCGGCTTGGAGACCTGAATCGAGTCAGCAGCCCCGTTGAGCCAGGGGGCGTGCCGGAAAGGTTGGCGCATCACGAGGCGCCGCAAACGCAGGACTGCGGGCTGTGGGGACAATACACGCAGCGTTTTGCAGCAATATTCTTTCCTTTTCTCGTCATTCATCTCATTCCGCGCCACCGTTACGGTGCGGTGCGGTGTGGTGCCCAATGCCGTTTCATTCTTGCACCGTCCCTGCAGCCCCTGCCAAAGTCAGTCGTTCCATCGGCATTGGAAGACGTCAAGTCAATGTCGACATTTCGTCCAGAACACGCCGGTCTTCTGTGGATGCGGAGGTGGATACCACGCAGTGACATGGGTTCTCACGGTTCGCGGGCGGAGTGCCGTGGTCCATGCCAAGTTCCTTTCAGGTCCCGCTCTGAGAGCTAATTCTGTTCCCATAGGTTGCCCTTTTCCTGGTCGATTTCATCAAAGCGTCCCCCCTTCTCTCCACTTGGATGGAGCTCTGTCTTGATGATGATTATTTCATCTTTGAAGGCGAACAACCACAAAGTCAAAGTGATGCGACGCAAAATTTGCCATGCGAGGATTCATGGCGCCTGTCCATTAGTCCGGTGCAGCCTTCACGGGCAAGGGGAAATCTTGGGTTGCAGGATTTGGAGTTGGGCCAATCATCAAGAGAGATCGAAGAGAGCGTCTAAATTCTCGACCAATAGCGGAGATTAGTCGGCAATGTTCGGCTACTTCGTCAACGAAGCCAAAAAAACACACAAATCCTTGGTGGGCGGCCAACATTTCGACTCTGGCGAATCACGAGGCCATGAAATCTCTGTCGCCAGCGCCGAGACCCCATTTCCACTTACAAGCACTGGCGTAAACACCATCCCAACGTCTAGGGGGCGTGAGGTTTTACAAAGAGGCAACGCTGTTCTGGTTCTGTCCAACGGTGCATGTCTTGACGGGACGCCCCGGGTTGGGCAGAACCTTAAGGGGCTTTGAAATGCGTTTGGTTGTCGACGATTGGACCAGCCTCTGCTCAGGGATTGCTTCACATTCACTGTCCAAGAATGCCTCTTTTCGTCCTGGGCTTATCTAATCCCTACTGCAACAGCTGGCTGGTTAGAAACTCTCATGGATGCCAGGATTTGGTGTATCAACCTTGAACCAATGATGGCTGCCTGCGTGTATCTGGGGAGTCGGACATGATGTGCGAGATGAAGCAGGCACGGCGTGCATTGCCTCCAAATTTGGCACCTTCCATGTTGGCCGGCCGGCTGGCTGCCCTGGCTCACGGCGGCTGATGAAATGGAAGGAGACACACACACACACGCAAAGCGAAAATTCCCTCTTCCCCACATCAGCTCCTCTTCACGATCCATCCATCTCACTCTACCCACGCCGCATATTTTTGCCTACTGCATCGCCATCGCAGTGCAGCTCAGCGCAGCGCAGCACATTGCCTCCGTCATCATAATAAGGTGACGCACCCCTCCTTCTCCTTTTGTCGGTTGCTACGCATCGCCGCACCCCAATCCCCATTCCGCGGCCGGGTTCTGATCGAAGCCAAGGCCTCCGTTAGCTGGGCGGCCAGCTTCACCGCGCCGAGCATCGATCATGTGGAAGGTCGTTGGAGGTCTTGGTGGGTATTTCTCTCGTCACCGCTACAAAACTCGATGGAGCGAGCAAGGTGAGCGACCCAAAGAGGAATGAGCTAACATAGGTGAGACGGCTCGAGAAACAAGAAACCCTTCGCGAAAGGGATTCAAACACGATGCTTGGATGCAAGTCAATCACCGAGCCCGGCTCCAGCAAGCTGCCAGCCCAGCCTCAGCGGAGCCTAGACCGCAGTGGGGCCGGGCCCCCGGTGCCTCCGGTCCTCTCCCTGAGGGACACACTGCGGGATGCTGGAGACGCTGGAACCCAGAGATCTGCCCCCCATCGGCCACATACCGAGCCCGCCGGAAACCACTGAAGGCCGCTGGGGGCTGGGCGGGGCGGATACTGACGTCCGACTGGGTTCTGCCCGGGCGTGGCTTGGGCCAAGGTGAGAGCCCCTTGGGCAGATGGACATCAAAGTCCAAACAAAGCGGGTCCCGAGGCCTTTTCACCTTCCATACAGGCTCTCCTGCTTTTTCTCCATGGGGTGCGAGTGGATCGCGAGCCTCGCATGCAGTCTCGTGCCGGGCAGGGCCTTGGACATGCAGGACTAGCCCAGACGTGACCGGGCCTGACAATTGAGCTCTTTCTTCCTGGACGGACCGGCTTTGGTCGGTGAGCATCGGTCTGGGTTAAGCGAGCTCCAGAGACCCTCAGAGGCGTGCAAGGCTGCTGCCGCTGCAACTCCCTGATGGATCTTGGGTGCGCCAAAAGCTGTGTCATGGTGTTCTAAATTGGAAAATTCTGATTGACGTCCATGCCGGTTTCCTGTCGGCAGGCGACTCTCAGCCGCGACTCTGTGCTACCTATGTACGACGCTCTCGATGCTTCCGCCATGCAGCTACGAAGTCCCTGGGGAAGTTGGAGGAGGGGTGGCTGATCTCCCGCCAGTGGGCGTGCCACGACGGACTGACGTCCTACTTCTGTGTCCGAATGAACCATTCCGAGATTGACTGTTCCGTAGCTTCTTTTCATTGCAGCTCACCTCCGATCTGCGTACACACCAACGGACAAATTCGCGATGAAAGTACGCCAATATCAAAGCACAGATACTACGTACACGCAGTGGGATTGAAGGCCAGAGCACCTTGATGCGCAGGGGGTTTCCCGGTATCCGTTCTCAACTCGGTGTTCACTTGAGCCATGTCATGATGCTTCAGGAAATGTTCAGGAAATCGGGATTCGGTCTTCGTCTTCTGTCTTCAATTTTGACATCCACAATCCGGAATGGACGGAACATCGAGATGTGAATGAAACCGTGTCCAGAATCGATGTCAATCTCCACTATGGGGATTTCTCAGGCAGGCTCATGGGTCCCAGCCCAAGATCAGGAACAGGCGGAGCTTTCCAAAGGCTGAGGTGGAATCTCGACGTCGGCGTCATGTCATGCGCAGGTCCATCCATCCATGATGGAATTTTCAAACAGTGGTCCGGGCAGTTTTCGCAATCCGACCCAATCGCCGATATTCAAGGGTCATGTTTTCCATGCTTACTTGGCGGCAATGGACTCGGCTCTTGTCGTAATGTCGCTCGTCTCGCGGTTGCATGCCATGGAGACCAAAGGGAGGCACAGGGCATGACGGACAGACAGACGCTGATATGACACCTTGAGCAATGCAACCACGAGCCTCGACGCCACCGTGTGCCCATCCACACATCCAGCACCCAACATCCAGTCTGCATCCCAAGAAACGTCACGGTCCAATCCCTTTGCTGCCGGTCTCTTGCCCTCCCGCGCCCTCCGGCGTCGAGCGCCGAAAACTGGGGCCCGGGCCCGAACGGGCTCCACTAGAGCCAACCCCATGCATACCCCATGCCCGAGGGAGCCATCATCACAAACCCCCAAGGCCGCCGCCGCCGCCGCTCTGATGCCGTGCAAGAAACGGCATCCAACAAGCAGAGATTCAATTTGACCACCCTTGCTCGGTTCAAACATCCTCCACCCACCCTCGCCGGCCACCCAATGGCAGAGCCCTCGTTTGCCTTGACCAGAATATGTCTCATCCTCTCCCGCAGCCACGCGCCAAAACTGGCGCAGATTCGCTAGCTGCCGCCCCCCGATGCACCCAACAGAAACCCCTGCTCGGCGTTGACCTCCCCCATCCCCGAGCTTCCAGGCGAGCTTCCGCTCGGCTACCGACGCACCGAGAAGGCCCATCTACCAACTCCCGCCCATCCTACCACCTGGGAGAAATCAAAAACCATTGACCCCCAACCACCACCCTCGCTTGTGCTTGTGCGTCCATCTGGATGTTCCGTCCATTGAGATCGAGATCTTCAGTTCTTGGGTCCCCCCGATCCCGCGTGGGAGTCCCGAGTCTTGGGACTCACATGCCATACTCTTGAAACCACCATTATCAAGGATCTCATTATCAAGGAGATCCCCATATCACCACCCAAACCTGGACATCACGCCGTCCTCGCCAGCTTCCCTGTCTCGTCCCGGACATTAATGTGCGGAGGGGGATACTCACATGTCGTGATCCCCTCGCTAATCAGTCAGCTGTCAACCATCACTGGTCAAGCTTCCATGGACCTGTCACACACTCAATCCTCCTAAATCCTCAACCTAGCCCGTGGGACTCCAGCCTTGATACGACTACAATGAGAAAGATCGTCGACATACTCCCTTCATTGAAGTCAGTAGGTGGGTACTTTTTCATATCATTACCACTGCCGTCCAGACCAAACAAAGGTAAGGAGCCGCCTGTTCCTGGATTGAACATGTCGCTCGGATCACCTCACCAAGTCCTCTCACCGATCAACATGGACAAGTATGGAAATGCGACACCATCATGACCGCCAACAAGACGACACACATATTGAGATAATACCGGAATGCTAGCTAGGGCTTATTGCAGCCAGCCCTTGACTAGGATTGGTGATGCCAATCACTGCCTTTCTCCTACCTTCAGATCGTTCGACATCAGGGTAGGTATGCAGTCGGCACTGAACCATGAGCCCATGAAGGTCACAGCATTACAGAACGACCTTGCATCTGTCTACCCATGGCTTGCCAGGTGTCTCTGGAACGGCAATTATCACGACTACGACAAGCACGGCATGCAGCACGTCACCAGGAACATCTCAACATCTTCAAGCCTCAGCCCAAAGACGAGTTTCAACAACTTATCAGTCACAAGCAAGGCACGTTCAGCATGTAACGGTAAATCCAACTCCTATTCAACAACAATTTCGTCTACCGGTATGTACGCTCTCTTCCCACGTCTTGTTTTGGTCCGCCTCTATCCTGTCAGGCCCATGCCAGGTGAAAACAAAGATTAAATAGCCGTTAACGCATCAAGCAGATTATGAAAACGCAAAAACGCCCATCACTGGGGCCGCTCAACAGAATCCTCATGGCCACCGTCCAGAGCGTGTGGCATGACATGAGTAGGTATCAAGTTCACTGGCAAGGCAAACGAGAGTCCAGCCCCAGTGAAACCATGACACGGAAGTCCGGTCAAGGGCCATGGGTCGTGGTCAGCTCAAACGCCCAAGTTTCAAAATCTCCGCAAGTGCGATCTCGACGACGAGCACTTCACAGTCGAGAAACACACCCGTCCATTCCAAACATCCTGCAAATCATACACAAGTGTGCACAAACAAGCTGGGACACGATCCATCTACAGATGGGTCTTGGCATCAGCGAAGCAGAGAGGGTCATAGATGTGCTTCTTGATGTAGGTGGTGAGGGCAACATCACCCCACTCCTCCCACTCAGCCCACTGAGAGTCAGGGAGCTCAGAGACACCACCACGTCGGGCAGCCTTCATCACCTCACGGGCAACGATGACGCTGGCGTCACGGACACGCTCAATGCGGGGGTAGATGAGACCCTTGTGGACCTCCTCAGCAGTCAGGGAACCAGCCAGAGCAGCGGCAGAGGTGTAGATCATCTCGTCAGTGACGCGAGAGGCCTTGGCCAGAATGGCACCGAGACCGATACCGGGGAACACGTAAACGTTGTTACCCTGGTTTGGGTAGTAGGTGGTGAGGTGAGACTCATCACCGAACTTGGCCTTGACGGGGTTGAAGGGAGAGCCAGAGGCGAAGAGGACAGTGCCCTCAGTCCACTCAATGGCCTGCTCGAATGTGCACTCAGCCTTAGTGAGGGGGTTGCTGAGAGGGAAGAGGATGGGACGGCGGCCAAGACCACCAGCCTCAACGGAGGCCTTAAGGGAGCGGACAATGTCCTCGGTGAAGACACCGAAAGTGGCAGTCAGACCAACAAGAGCGCTGGGCTTGACGTACTCAATGACGTCCTGCAGAGTGCGGTACTGCTGGCCGTCGTTGTCGGTACGGGCAAAGTACTTCTTGTGCTCAGCAAGGCGATCACCGCGGTCCTTGGTGACAAGACCCTTGGTGTCGACAAGCCAGAACTTGTCGCGGGCAACCTCCTCGCTCAGGCCACGGCGAGTGTAGTACTCGACGAGCTGCTTAGCAACACCGACACCGGCGGAACCGGCACCCATGAAGACCAGGCGCTGCTCCTCCAGGGGAACGCCGGACTGCTCAACGGCACCAATGTAACTGTGTTGCTGTTAGTCCTGATGTCAAGTGAGATTGGGGCAAGGAGATTGCTACATACCCAGCCAGGACAACGGCACCAGTTCCCTGGATGTCGTCGTTCTACAGGTTTGTTAGTCGTCATTTTCTTTTCCTCTTGGTTCTCTATTTCACTTACGAAGCAACGGTACTCGTCGCGGTATCGCTCGAGGTAACCAAAGGCCTTCTGAGACTCAAAGTCCTCGAACTGCACAACCATGTCGGGGAAGACGTCACGGACAGCCTCCATGAACTCGTCCATGAAACCCTGCTGCTCCTCGTAGGCGGGGCGCTTCTGTCGCAGACCCAGGTAGAAGGGGTCCTTGAGGTTCTCCTCATTGTTGGTACCGCAGTCGAGGACGATGGGGAGGGTCTTCTGGGGGTGGATACCAGCAGCGCCGGTGTAAAGAGCGAGCTTGCCGATCTACAGCGAAACGTTAGCAGTGCCCTCGAGGTGCGCGAGCCACAGAGAATTCGACTTACCGAGATACCGACACCGTTGATGCCCAGGTCACCGAGACCAAGGATACGAGAACCGTCTGTCACGACGCAAATCTCGGGCTTTTGGCAGGGCCAGTTTCGGAGCATGGTCCGGATGGACTTGCGCTGCTTGATGGAGATGTACAGAGCCTCGGGGCGGGTGTAGATGCTCGAGTACTGGAGGCAGACATCACCAATGGTGGGAGTGTAGACGAGGGGCATGAGGTCGCGGATGTTGTCGATGAGGAGGCGGTAGAAGAGATCGGTGTTGGTCTCCTTGATGGAGGTGAGGTAGAGGTACTTGTCGATGGGGGTCTGGCGGGTCTGAATCATCTTCATGGCTCGGGCGCACTGGGTCTCGAAGCTCTCCATGGTGTGAGGGAAGAGGCCGGTGAGGTTCTTGGAGGCACGCTCCTCGGGAGTGAAGGCAAGGCCTGGGGAGGTTGAGGTCAGCGATGGGCATTGGAAGGGCTGGTGAGGAGGGCGCAAGGTATGGAAGGGATAGCGACATGATCCATTGCTGGGTCATGAGCCTGTGAGTGTATGCGATGGTGAGAGCAGAGCTCAACCAAGCTTCAAGTGAAGCTCAGGTAGGAAGCATCATGCAACACCATGGCGATGTTGACAACAAGTGTTGATCAAAGGAATGGGAAAGCTTACCCTTGTTCCAGAGAGGCTCTCGCACAATCTGGTAACCGGCAGCATTCGTCTCATCGATATACTGGGTAGGCCGGTCCTGCTGGACCTCTGCATAGTGGTCTTGGACGTAGCCACGGTGTTGGTCGAGGGCAGTCATCTTGATCTGTTCTTCAATCTTGGAAAGGTCGACAGAGGACATGGGATTTGAATCTATAAGTTTTCGCCTAGAAGGGGGACATGGGCCGGTTAGATATAGATGTTGACGGTGGGAGGGAGGGGAGGGGAGAAGGGGGGTACACACGATGACGAGGTTGATGAGCGAGAGCGAGGCGTGGCAATGTCAGAGCTGGCGGTGCTATAGGGAGACGACGACGCCATGGACATGGACAGTAACGGATGGGGTGACGGGGACTGGGACGACGGGGAGTAGGATGAATAGGAGAGACGGGGGAGCGGCAGTCGAGGGCGACGATTATTAGTAGTCGCGGTGACAGCAGACGAGCGGGTGAGAGCAGACGATGTCGCGGATCGCAAGGGGCTACTAGCGAGGAAAAGTCGGTTTAAGACGTTTTGGGCGGATCCGGGTCCCGAAGGCGAGGCCACTGTCATGGTCGAGAGCGTCTGGCCTATGCGAGCGAGTTGGAGTCAGTCAGAGAAGAGGGACTCCAGGAGATACCGGAGTATGGGGGAGGGCAGCAGGGGTAAGCTCGGGGGTCGGGGGTCTGGGTGTGGCTGTTGGTTGGTCGTGGGCAGGGTATGTATGTAGGTAGCTTTGTTGATGCAATGGATGAACGGATTTCAATGCAATGATGCTGTGGATGCCGATTCCGCTGGTTGATGTGTGCTGCCTGTAGCTGTCGTCTGTCTAGTCGAAAAGATGGCGAAAAGAACCGATCAAACTAGACGGCAACGGACGGACAAGAACAACTTTTTTTGGTCTTACACCCTGTAGACTCTCTGTCATTCACTCTGGCGCCAACGGAAAAGTCTGCGGGACGACCGAGTGAGCTTAGCACATCCCTGCAACTTTGACTTCTTTGGCGGACGGGCGGAGTAACGTCAGAGGGGAAGGGAAGGCAAAGAGGCGTGCAACATTTCCTCAAGGTGAATGATCAAAGTGATTGATTGGATTGCATTGGGTTGGGTTTGGGAATTGGGATTGATGTCGACGGATTGGTGGGACGCCGCCTGTGGGAATGGATGGGGAAACCGCATGGGGGAATTATTTCTTTGGGCATTGGGGCTGAATGGTGAGTGGAGGGTGGGGCCGGTGGAGTCGCCCGCGCTTGCCTGGGATGACCGCGTGGGAATGGACCTGGGAAGGAAGCATGGATGGACAGGGGTCGTTGGATGGGGTTATCGGTGTATCGGGGATCAGGATATTGAGGTACCCGGGGCATGGGTACATGGGTGGGTACGTACCTGGTAGGTCTGATGGAACGAGACCCCTGCTGCGGAAGCTGCAGGTCGAGCTTCTGCGTTCTTTCCTCTTGGGGCTTGAGGTCACCCGCCGAGGCCTGGGGCTTTTGTGTGTGGGCGAGCAAGAGCCGTTCTGTATGACTCCTCAAGTGGCTTTTTTCCCAAGGTGAATCACCTGAAAGATAGCAGAGTCTGGATGATAATGATGATAATGGCGGCGGCAGTGCTCCTGCAAAGTGGCCTGTGGAGAGCGTGTACGTGCGCTGCCTCACGATGCGCTGGGATGTAATATGATGCTGTCGTGTCGTGTCGTGTCGTTGATCAGCGAATATGTCCACTTTCTCCTTGTCCGCACACCGGGCGAAACCATGTGCGTGTCGGTTGACCGAAAGGCACGCCAGGACTCAACGGCGCGGCGAAACGGACTCGACGACACCCCTAGATGTGATGGGATAGGTTGCCTTACCTTTTGGATCAACAAGGCAGGCTCTTTACAGCCTTGGACGGGATATAACGGTCAAAAGCGCACCCGGGTAAAAAGGGATGGACCGTATGCTGCGGCGAGCGCTGAGGCCTGGGCTGGCCTCGCGGAATGGTATGGAATTGGCAACACGGGCTTTGTTGACAATGGTCCTTGATGGGGTGATGGTGGGGGTCACGTCACGTTGTCGGGGGACAAGAATCGACGTTTCTGGACTCTCTTTTGCTGGGTTGTCGATTTGTCTGTTTGATGTTGAATGATATTGCTGATAGGGCGGGAATGGGGGGGGCGGAGGGAAGGCAATTTCCAAGGGGAACAAAAAAGACGGACGTTGCGATTCGTCTCAGTAGCTTTGGCTTTAATGGTATGTTTCAAAGCCCTAACATCAGTCATTATCCTACGATTTATTTCCCTATCTCATTATCGGTCCCCCAGCACCAATGATTATTTTTCGTTGGGGCTAGGGGGTTGGAGTCATGCCGATGGGTGCCGTCCTCAAAGACACAACACAGCGAGAACGCAGCTATTCACGAAAGTCACGGTGAACGGAGGACGGAAAACGGAGGTCCAGCACAGCAGCAGCCAACCTTTCACGGCTCCGACTACGGGGGGTCTACTGCCGCTACCAAGTGGATAACATGGGGAGCTGACTGGGGGGTTCCATGGATGAGATGCTTTGTTGCATGTCGTGTCTTTTTTGGTAAAAAATGTCTGACATATGAGATTTCCGTTTGACAAGGGGTGGTGAATTTGAATGCTTTGTAACATGTACGTAGCAGGAGTGACTGGGGCCAACAGGGCATTGTGGCTTGGCTGATCAGGATCGATGCCGGTTGGACAAACGATTTCGAGGGATGTGTTGATGGGGTTTGAAAGTGGTCTGAAGACGACGACCGTCTTGACGAGATTCGAAGGCCCCCGGAAGAGTAAAGAGGTCAAAGCCCCCTTCTTCGGCCGAAAAAGTCCCCGTCGTATTTTCATGCATCATCGTGGTCTTACGCTCAAGGCGTCATGGCAAGTTTTGGAAATCCCGTTTTAATGAAAAGTATTCGGGGCATCAAGTCCCGGTATTGAATCCACAGACACAACCCGAAGATACCCACTCCGCGTTACAAGAGCTCCTCCGGCCGACGGCGAACTACTACGTGCCGTTAGCCAAAAGTGTAATTAGATGGGGTCAGGTGAGACTTTTTTTCTCTTCTAGACATGATGAATCTGCAAAATCTGTGAGATTTTCATGATCCTCCCTTGCCTGGGCTTCTAGACACTGGGCTTAGAAATCGGGCACTAACTGGGGAGGGTCCCGCTCCTCCGCTCACCGGCACCAAATCTGTGGCCGCCGGGCTGCTACAAACTCAATGGAACCTCTCTACAGCCCCGTTGAGGGAAAACGTTTACGCAGTCACACGAGCTCGGTAGCGCTTGTTAAGCGCTTCTAGGCCCTGTTGGAAGAGTGAGTTCCATGTCGCATTACACGTCGTGTCTCAAACTGCATGCAACTCTGTTGTCGAGACACAACAGCAGCCTTGAGTTTTGAATCGAGAGTACAAAAAAGATCTGCAACCAGGTCTGATCCAGGTGAGAAAGAAAAGGTCAAGGTGACGGCGGGCTTGACGGCCTCCCACACATCACATCAAACAGGAACGCGGGCCAGTCAGAGGGGGCGCTTATGCCTCATTAGGCCAGGCGACATTGGATCCATCCCATCCACGGATGGATCTGTTTTTTGCTTTGGCCGTGGGGCCGGGACGAGTAAACAGAGGCGACCACAACCCGCTGTCCGCCACATGCACTTACAACGACGATATTACAGGTTGTTGTGTCTTCATCTCATCACCTAATCATTCAAGGGATAAGAATCGACTCATCGTTCGCCTCATAACACTCTCACCGAGATATAGACAGATAAAAACGATTTGAAATCACATCACCCGATCCAAAGTTACGGCCCGACCCTTTCAGCCTGGTTTGGTCATCGCAAAAAAGGGGGTAGCGGTATCCGTAACAGAAAATACCAAGAACCATGTTCATCGAACCGTGCAGGACCTGCCAAGTCCTGACCGAGTTGTCCTGTCCTGTCCTCTCCGGGGGAGGGCGGTCGGCACGATGGCATCCCTTGCCGGGTCCGGGGTTCGGCGAGTCGTTGCGTCTCCGGTTTACTCGAGACACTGACTCTGAGACTTCTACTCGATCCTGCAGAAAGATAGCAAACAACGGCTTTGGGCCCCGTCCCCTCCGTAGTTCCAGCTAACATGGAGACAAAAGGGCGGGAGAAAAAGGAATACAGTCACGGTGAGAGAGAGCCAAGGCCCCACAGTCTAGGGCTGCATGCGTTGCCGTTCCTGTTACTTGCTTCTGCTGAGATCCAATCCCATCAACCATCTCGGCCCCCGCGCGCGCCATTGGGCCGTTGTCGTCACCTGTTTGTTGTCCTTGTGTGTGATACGGTCAGCAAAGTATACTGTACCAACCCATGCATTGTGCCTGCAGCTGTTTTCCCTCCCGCCAGATTGACCGCTGGAGCTTTGCTGGGTACGGCTATCTTTAGGCGCCCAGGTAGGGAGTACTTGCATACCGAGTCACCGAAGGTGAAATGATAATTGGGGGAAGGGAAATTGGTACGGGTGTGGTTGCTGTTGCGTGTGTCATGGCTTGCTTCTCAACGTTTGAATACTGATTACCAAACCTGAAGCCGGGCATCAACAACGCGAAGCAACCCCAATGCTTTTTGCTACCCTCAGGTTTAATTGGCATCAGTCATGGTTTTACAGATCAGGTAAATGGTCGCGCATCTCTTCCCATCTATTAACCCAGTTTGTGAATAGCATCCGGTACCTAAACATTCTAACAAACCTGATACCCCAAAAAAAAAATGCATTGCATCTCATTTGTCGTTTCCCCGGTACACCGCGGACTGCTTGAAAGGGCCCCGCTTTCTTTCCGTCGGACGAAAACTAGGGAATGTCTCCCGACTTCCAGAATCGCCGTGGGGCTTCCGACTTTGCCCGATCCCGCACACACACATACACACCCCCGGCCGAAGGAGGGACACGGCGATGCTAGCGCTGCCGCCCCCGTTTTGCCCAGCCCAGCGCTACGGGTTAGGTAGGAGAGCTGCCCCGGGCTTGCAAGTTACCATCCCGAGGAGAGGTGAAGCAAGAGTGGGAGAAAGAGACCTAAGATGTCTGCTACGTTAGTCTTGCTTCCCCCGGAGCTGCAGGAAAGGAACAGGACCCATCGTAGGTACAAGGTGTAAGTACCTGCGCTAATTTGATGCAATTAGCGAGGTGAAGGCGGGTCGAGGAGGGAGGGGCAAGGTACAATGTGGATCCCGGAATGGATGTGGGTGTGGATCGGTCTGCGTGAGTGGATCCGGCGGGGAAGGCGCGACCAGGGGCTTGCTCGGGTACGCCTAACCTCTAGAGGTTCAAGGTCTCGCGGGTCTCACCACGGAATCTCCAGGATGACCTGACTCCACCGAAAGGGCCGCCGCCGGTCAACCCTGACTGCCTGACCTCTTCTTTTTTTTCACCTTCAGCCCGTCCCCACCGGTGGCCCTCCCTTGGCTGTCTGTTTGTTGTTCTGTCCTGTTCTGCTCTGCTCTGTTGTCTGATCACGGCTGTTAAACTCCCCATGTCAATAAACCTCTAGTTGGGCTTCTTGCAGCTCGACACTTTGTCCCGATGATTCCCTCTAGCTCAGGTCAACAGGTCAGCCATGTCTAGCTCCCCTATTGGAGCCCACACCGTCACCCCGCATTTTCGTGCACACCTTGGATCTTGTTGACTCGCCTGGATCGGCCTCTAGCAAACTGTCAACAAAAAAAAATCTAGGGGACCTGGGTGAGACTCGGTGACTCGAACCCCAGCAGACACAACATGCTTCACATGCACAGGCACACGAGGCAAGCCACTGAAGCATGGGTGAGACCCTCTAGAGGGATTGGCATCATCCATTTCATTCCGGACGAGCCTCGGGTTCCTTTTGTCAGCTTTGTCATGTGGTTTTGGGGTCGTTTCTGATATTGCATTTGCTACCCTGGACATTTTCGTCTCAATCATGCATCACGAGAATGGTAAGAAACAGCGAGATAGGACATCTCTCCGCCTCGCCAATGTCACTTCTGCTTCTCTCGAGTTGTACACATCGGTATCCCGGTGATTGCACCGATGTGGCATTCTCATAATACGTAACTGAGCATGATTGGCAACCATTCACACGTTCAAAACAGTCATGCTTCGCAGGCGCTCAACCGAGAGAGCTCGCCAAGCTTCACACCTCAGGCATTTCACCGACGGCTAAACTAAGCACGTCACCGCGGTAGTTCGTCCGCTCCGCTGCCGGCAGCTTCAGGGCCCAGTCTCTACTGCTGCTGCTACAGTCTGCTGCCAGGATCTAGACATGCTCCTTGATGGATCCCGATATCCAGTGTGGCTGCACCCACGTAAGCCACTGGTACCCGAGTTCTCGCTCGAGGGCTTGGTCGGAAATTAACCATGTAATCCCACGCCAGAGCTTGTGTCTGACTCTTCTGTCAACCCTCTTTGGTGCGCCTGCAGCTTTGTTCAAAGACCAGTGGCTGGGAACTTCAACTTGGGTCGGCTCGGCTCAAGATGCCGACCACCCATCGACTCAAAAACCCTGGACCTCGAATCCTCCAGACCCAGAGGCTAGCTCAGCCGTGGGAGCTTCGTGATGGCCTCACTTACAGCTGGGACTCGGTTCGGTTTGCTTCGGTCCAGTACATCCTCTGTAATCACCGCTCAATGGGCTCCATCGTCGTGTCTCTCATCATCACCAAGGGGCGTCAACAATTGAATAACTTTCTATGCACCTAGTCGACAGCGTTGAAGTCTGCTCCCCCTGTCCTCGACCTCACCCATCACATGGGGGTTTCAACCTCGAACCAGCTAGACATACGCCCAATGCTCCTCCTACAGCTTCACATCACACACACCTTGAATCCATGTCCTGCTCCTCCTCCATCTCCAGATCCTCGTCCCTCGATTTTTCCGCTTCCCCGGGCTCACCCTCTCCACACTCGTCTCTAGCCTCCCCCGCCTCACGTGTCTCGACCCTTAAACTTCAGGTCCAGTGCGAGTCAATTGACGCGTGGTGTTGAGATCTGCTACTACAATTGGCAATCCCATCCTTCCTCCCCGCATTCATCTTCATGTCACCCCCGAGTTAGAACCCTTTTGACTCCCCGGACTCTCGCCGAACCCCCGAGGAGGCGCCTGAAGAGTCACAGTCACAGTCACGACCATCGTCTCTCTCTGCAGCGCCCACTTGACTTTACGGACAAGGACCGAGAGAGGACCGCTGCGGCTGCGGCTCCGGGTCAAACGAGGCCCCAGATCCTCTTTCTGTCTGGGGATGGAGAAGCTTGTTTGAGCGAGCCGTTTGTCCTAGCTCCAACCCACCCGCCAGAGGTGGAAAGCATCCGTTCCTCCAGATTTCATTGTGACTCTATCCGCGACGCCACCTCCCCACGTTTTGGACCTGAGCCTCGGAACCTGTCCTTGAAGGGCAATAGTCAGACATAACAGCTTCAATGGAAATGACACATGGGCCGATACCGGCAGCCAAGCAGCTCTGACCATAGCTTAAGCTCAAGCAAGCTCATAGCTATGACTGGGGAGCTTGCATTTGCTTGCACATGGGGTTCAGCTCATTTCATCCTCGGCACGGCATCTGTCGTATACATGGACCTCCACCATGGCAAATGTGATCACTTGTGACTGTATCTTTCCCTGAATTACTGTACATGTATGCCTCCCTATCTTATGAATGAATGCCAATTACATCATGCATATGCAGTGTAGTTCGCGGGTGAACGGGCATCTTTCTAGACGCCCTCACCTCGTTACTTTTTTGTCCCTCTCCATATGACCTCGAAAAATGAAATGCATGAATACGCCTGTATGTGTCGCCGTGTCCCCAGAGCCGCAAGTAGACAGTGGTAAATCCTCCCCATTCTCTACTGCATGATCCCTGTCCTGTTTCTCAACTCACACCCCCTTTTGTCCTTATTTGGTGTCGTCCTTGCCCGCCTCGGTCACCTTCCGGCTGGCCCTCTCGATCTTCTCCATAGCCTTGTCATCCAAGAGGCTCCACCATCGCCGTAGGCCCTCGGCGTACTTGACATCATCCGCGGTAAGTTCGACGGGCGGGCCCTTGACCTGCGGCTCCATCTCCACGCCCGCCTTTTCAAACACGGCCCATGCCGAGGCATCCCCCGCCCGGAGCCCAAAGCCCCGGCCCTTCATCGACACCACATGGAAACGCCGGAGGAGGACCACATCTCCGATCTGGACGGCCGGCATAGCGGCGAGGTGCGGCCGGAAGATGTGGGCCACACAAACCCCGGACGGAGCCATCGATGGATCGGTGAGATTCAAGGTGAGCATGTAATCCCGGGGCCCGTGTTTCGGTCGGTGTGCTTTCTCTGGCGTTGCTGTCGCTATGGCCAGGATGTCGGTTGTCTTGTTGAGTGAGTGTCTGAGCGACTTGAGCGACAAGTAGTCGGGCATGGTAGTGCGCAGGCTTCTAAGCAGCTGCAGCTTGACCGTGCCGACGTTTTCGTCCTCGGCCGCTGCAGCAGCAGACCCTGCAATAGATGGTGACTTGAGCGCTACTGAAGACGCCCCTGGTGTATCTCCTCGAAGCTGTAGGCTTCGAGAGGTTGACCGAGTCTCACGCTTAGGGGTCTCGCGTCTGTGATCCGACATCCGGCGGCTTCGTGTCTGTCGCGTCGAAGGGCTCGACGCCTTGATGAGGCGAATGCTGGGGTCATCCTCTACCCTCTGACGGGTCACTCTCAGTGATCCTGGCGAGCTGTTTTCTGCGCTCGCAATGCTCTGACTGTCGGCCGCCTTTCTCTTTCCTCTGCCTTTGCCTTCCTCTGCCTGCGCTGATGCTCTCACCAGCTGCAGGCTAGGATCATTCTGCTCCGCCCTGCTGCGCGTCACACGAACCGATCCAGTTGGGCTGCTGTGCTTGGCATGACCGTCCCCATGTGTCGGTGCGGCCGATCCTATGGCCAATAGAATACTGGGGTCAGCCTGTGAGAGGTCGGCATGGTCGGATGATTTGCTTGACCTATGGCGCCGGCTGCGCAGGGACTTTGCGACAGGGGCCGCTTCGGGCGCCCGCTGAGTAGTTCTCGATGGCGTTTCGTGAAGTTCCTCGGTCTGCACAGTCTGGGGAGATGATTTGGGTACTGAAGCTGTGGGGGAGCATACCGCAGGGCTTGCAAGCTGAAGGGTGGTGTCTGGTCGAACGGGGGAGTGCTGTAGGATTTCGGCCATGATCTGATCCTCCGGGCCTACATCATCTTCGTCGACCGGCATGTTTTGGTTGGTCGTGGCCGTGGTGATGGTGACGGCCATCTCGACCTCAATTTCCTGCTGTGTCTCGCCAGGAGTGGGAAGATGGGCGTCGTGGTGGTCGTTCGAGATGCTGGATGTAGCCTGAGAGAGCAAGGGTGCTTCTCTGTTGGTGTCTTGAGAAGCCTGTGCTTGAGAAAACTGTGTTGGCGGGGGAGACATCTGGCCATGGGTTGCCAGCTGCCCATCGGCTGCCAGGTGCTCATCACTGCCAGCTTCCCCAGCACCCTCACCCTCACCGTGGCCCGTTTGGTCTACAGCACCTGTTGGCTGCGTCTGAGCCGCTGCTGTCAGCTCAGAAGAAGCATCCTGCATTGTGGCGTCAGGGGAGTCGGCTTGACCCTGGCCTTGAGATTCTCGAGCTTCCACGACTGCTTCTCGATCGTCTGGGGTTATGCCCGTCTTCTCCCCGGTCAGGGCAACCCCCGCTGCGGGAGCGGTTGGCGATTTCGATGGCTCGACGCCATTTTCTGGGGTACCGCGTGTTTCTGCAAACGCTTCTTCCCCAGCTGGGGCATCGACTGGGGTGACCTTGTCATTGTCTTCCCCCAATGGTCCCTGTGCGCTCTCCGCAATCGTCCCATCGACTTCTTTGCTGACAACAGTAGTCGTGTCAGCAATCTCCAGAGATACTGTCGTTGTTGGCTCCTCGGGCTCCTCATGCGTTTCATCGACATCCATGGCCTCAGCATGTTCCTCGGTCGTGGCAGTGACAGGGTGAGCCTCGTCCGAATCGTTCATACCGGTGGTATTGTTTTCCGGCTTGTCTTTCGATTCCTCAGCCAAGACGGGCGCATCGTCCATCTCCACGTCACCCGATATTTCATTCTCCGGAGCCGCTTCGGGTTCTCCAACCTGTCCAGCCTGCGACCCTTGCGCTGGCATAGATTGCGGAGATTGAATCGACGGAGCCTGGTGCGCAGATTCCTCATCTGGGATCTCCTTATCATGAGGCGCACTGTCATGGTCTTGATCTTTGCTTGCGTCTGTTGCTTCAAGATGCGACGGTTCGGTGTCGACTTCCATCTCGCCGGTAGAAGGTTCAGCAGAGCCTCGGGCACTCTCTGGTTCCTTTGGTTTGCTGGGGGTAGTGGTTTCTACCTCGTCAACCTGATTTGCCTCATCCAGATCTGCGCGTGGTGAGTTTTCTGCTGGAGGTTCTGGCTTTGACTCTGGCTCTGGCTGAGTGACTGACTCTGCCGCTACCTCCTCTTTGGGCTTTTCCTCCTTGGATTTCTCCTCTGGTGGGGTTTCTGGCTCATCTGCTTGTTCGGGTTCCGGCTCTGGTTCAAGTTCTGACTTCGACGCTGAATTTGGCTCTGGCTCCTCCTTTTGTTCGGGCCCGGACTCTCGTGTAAGGTTTGGTTTCTGTTCGGGCTCCGATTTTGACTCTGCCTCAGGTTCTCGTTCGAATTCCTGCTCTGGTTCCTTGTCCTGCTCCTGCTCCTGGTTCGATTGATCCTTATCTTCATCTTCGTCTTCAGAATCAGAGAGCAAGCTGATGAAAACAGGCTCTGAGGGAGGGGCGAATCGACCAGGAGGACCAACTCTTGCGCCGTCGTCTTCTTCCTCTTCCTCTTCTCCCTCCTCCTCATCGTAGGAGCCTTCTTCTCCCGAGTAATATTCGCCTTCTGCATCACCATCACTGCCTTCGTACTCCTGGCCCTCCCCTTCGAAGCCTTCTTCGTACATTTCCTCCTCATATTCATCGGGCTCTTCATCCAACTCCTGCTCCTCCTGTCCAGCAAGTTCCTCATCTTCATCTGCTTCATCTTCCTCAGGGTTCATGATCTGTGCCTCTACGTCGTTGTTGTTTAAGTCTTCTTCAGAGGATTGGACATCGTCATCGTCATCATGTGCGCGGTCGTAGTTCCGTAGATCGTAATCGTCGCCAGGTTCATCACCTCCATCTCGGTAATGCTCTGCCTCACTCGAGGGTTCCTCAAGTGCCGGTTCCCGTGAGGCATCCCCAGCAGCGTCCTCGACCAGATCCTCCCCTGAAGGTGAGAAGGGCCTGGGGCTTCCTTCTCTGCTGGGTGATGAACTCAAGATTTCAACTGGGTTGTCTACATCGCTTCTAGCGATTGCAGTAGAGAACGACCCAGCCGAGACTTCAGGTGCCCACGCAGGCTGTGGCGATCGCGAGGGGGCGCCGAATACAGGATGTAGAGTTGACGCCGAATCAAAAGAAACTTGATGGTCGGTAGGCTGAGGGCTGATGTGCGATTCGTGCGCAGAAAGACTTGGATGGGAAACGGTACTTTCAGGGGGGAGATGAGTGGTATCCAAGAATTCTGCTGGATAGTCCTCCGCCCTCGCGCCGCGACTGGGCGATTCTGGTACTGCATCTTGGTCGTGGTCTGCAGGGAAAAGACCTGGCGCAGATGGGAAGAGCACGGTCTGAGGCGTGAAGCCGAATGTGAGCCCGGTATCGATGTGGTTTGGCGAGTGACTGAGTAGATCGGGATGCGTCTCGGGATGGAGATGTTGATGACCCTCGGCGTCTCCTTGAAACTGCAAGGAGTGACCTAATAGCGCATTGTCTGCCTCGATCGGCTTTGTTCTCGGGAGTGGCGTTGGAGTCGCCTGTGGAAAGCCAAAGGTAGGTCGCGACTCGGCCAAAACTTGGACACTAGCCATAGGCGTGAAGTCGACGTCCACTGTTTGACATCCCTGATCAATCATGGAGGGCCGCGGTGGCGTGGGCATTGGCGTATCTTCAACTGTGCCATTCTGACCATGGGATCCGTTCGTCTGGGGCGCGTCGTCTGCTTCCTGGGGAGCTTCATCGGGTTCCGGGCTGGGAGAATGGCTGGCGTATCTCCATGCATTTGCGGGTAGACTGAACCTCGAGCGCTTCTTGGACTTGGCGTTCTTGGTGATTTCCTCATCAAAAATGTCCAAGCCACCTTCGAATAGCCCTCCGTATGAAACTCGAGCTCTCTTAAGAAAAGCGGGAGACGAGAACTCTTCCGGTTCTCGTTCAGAAGCATTTCGCTTGGCTGGGAGGGAGATGTTCGGGGATTGTGGTGAGGGTATCGCAAAATCGGTGTTGGATATGGTGATGTCAACAGGCGCAAAGCTATCTGTCTGGCCGTTGGTGGCTTCGGGCTCCGTGGCTGGCGTGTCGATGTTGATGACTTCCTCCTGCTCTGAATCAGGCCTGCGAATTCCTAGGATCAGGCGATTATTGAATTCGAGTTGCCATTCAAGAGTGCTGCCAGCAACCTGCGTCTGTGTCTCGTTCTTCTCCCATTTGACTCCTTCCAAGCTTAAGCGGATCTCATCACCACCTCCTAGCGAAGCATCCGAAATAGCCTTTGCTGAAGCGCCATGGAATCGAATGCGCACTTGTCCCTTTTCGCGTCGAAGTCGAAAGTCGCGCTCGGCGAGTAGAAATGCGATTGATTTGTTGAGAACGCTGAAAGGCCATGTAATGGTGATGGTACCGTCGACAACTCGTCTATTCTGATCAGAAACCTCGGGGTTCAGCTCGGCGATGGCGGTGAGTTGTCCATCGCGAAGGAGCTCTGCTGGGGGTTGGTTGTCGGTCATGTTGGCTGAATCGCAAAGTCGATCGCGTCGGCGGGGAGCCGCGAGGTCATGGAAGGGGAGAGTATCGTTCTATCTCAGATCATGAGGTGTCGGCTGAGATGCGAAACTAGTAGAGACCCTCAATATTGATGACACATGGTGAAGCAGTTGCTTGCAGTCTCGGGATGCGTGTCTTTGTTGTTGATGATTGTTCGGTTGGTTGCGGTCACAAGTAAAGCCTAGGCAAGCTCCCAGCACAAAGAAGGTGGAATGAAGCTAAGCTCCCGTGGGGACTGTCCCAAAGTGGAAAGCGGTGAGAGCGACACTAACATTTTTTTACATCTCAAAACCACCTTATCTTGGCGCATTGTCAGACCCGACCACTAACAATCGGCTTCGTTCCGTTCGGCGCCGCTTGAGAGACGGGGCAACTCTGCTTACCATATCAAAAGATGGCGACCTTGAGTCACGTAGGTTAGTTCCCGGCGTGGGCGAGCCGGAGCGAGTAAAGAGGCACCCACGCACAGCAAAGCACGATGTCGAAATAGTTCCACTCCCCACTCGACGTGTTTTTGGTTTGGTGCGTGAAGGAGGGCAATCATCGTCGGACGATTTCTCATCTTCCATATATAGATCGGAGGAGAATTGATCTTGTCAACACTGCCTCGACAAGGACGCCGTGATCTGGTCTGTGTCTGTGTCTGTCAACAGCTGCAACCATGGGCTCCTACCCTCCGGCGTCGTTCGACGTCCGCAAGATCGCCATCATTGGCGCTGGTCCGGCTGGCCTGTCGGCTGCCAAATACCTCACGGCGCAGGGGTCCTTTGACCAGATTGTCGTCTTTGAGCAGCAGGACCAGGTCGGTGGCATCTGGAACTACAGCGGCCTCGCTCCAGGAACTTGCCCGGCTCCCCAGGAGGACCCCTTCTGTCCTCCCAGTGAGCCTATACGCTGGTGCGAGGGCGCCGCACCCATCTTCACCTCGCCCATGTACGAGCAGCTTCACGCCAATCTCCCCAATTCTGTCATGAGATTTTCCTGCCAGGCCTTCCCCGACGATGCCAGGCTGTTTCCTGAACGGACCATGATTCAGGACTACCTGCTCAAGTACGCCGAGGACGCCAGGCCCCTGATTCGTTTCTGCCAGCGGATCAACCGGGTGACTTTGAAGCCGCAGGAGAATGGTCGAGACAGCTGGGAGGTTGAGGCACAGTCAACGGTTGACGGCAACCTCAATCTTGAAAAGTTTGACGCTGTCGTCGTCGCCAACGGTCATTATACCATCCCCTTCATCCCAAACATGAAGAACCTCGCCGAGTTCAACGAGGCATATCCCGGCGTCATCACCCACTCGAAGCAGTACCGCACTCCCCATCCCTTCAACGACGAAAAGGTCATTGTCGTTGGCAACGGTCCTTCCGGTCTAGACATTGCTCTGCAGATCAACCAGCAGTGTAGGAAGCCAGCCATCTTATCTGTGCGGCATCCTACTGCCCCAGACAGGCTAGCCCATTCAGGCTGCGAAGAAGCGGCTGAGATTGACGAGTTTTTGATCGAGGAGAAGGGGGTCCGCTTCAAGGATGGCCGGGTTGAGAGGGACGTTGACGCCATTGTGTTTTGCACTGGCTTTCTTTATGGCTTCCCCTTCCTTCCAGATCTCAACCACAAGCTCGTCACTACAGGGCGAGGTGTTCATGGGCTATACAAGCATGTATTCCATATCCAGCATCCTACTCTCGTCTTCCCTGGTCTCAACATGAAGGCAGCTCCGTGGCCGCTCTGTGAGAGCCAAGCGGCGCTCTTCTCGGCGGTGTGGTCCAACAACCTCAACCTGCCTAGTCAAGATGCCATGGAAGCGTGGAGCCAGGCGCTAGAGCAGGAGGAGGAGGGGGATGCATTGCATGTGTTTGGTCCCAACGGGGACGGTCACTATATCAATGAGCTGCATGACTGGGTCATGACAGCCAAGCAGCCGGGCAAGGAACCTCCGCGGTGGGATGAGGAGCACATGTGGCAGCGCAGCGTCTTCCTCGAGGCCAAGGCGCGCTTCGAGCAACTGGGCTGCACAGCGCAGACGCTTGAGGAGATCGGATTTCACTATCAGCCGGGGCTTTAGCTGTGCTGTATTAGGGCAAAGGAAACGAAACAGCTAAGGAAACAAAACGGCTTGCAAGCAACGGACAAGCCGAGAAAGAGAGAGAGGGATAGGACCGGATAGACTATTTCGCCATTTGTTAAGGCCAAGACGTTTTACGTTTTTACGATATAATATCCGCTTCTTCAACCCATCCATCCTCGTCGTGCGCCTTCATTAAAGGGCGCAGACAACAAGCAAGATGCATCTGCGGGCAGTGGTTGGCCCATCCCGCTCTACGCCCGATAAGACCCCCCCGGGGAAAAAGGACCAATTCATGGGGGAGTGCGAATGGTGCAGCGAAGCGATGTTGTGATGGTGGATTAGAATGACGGGGGTTAGCTGTTGGATTTGTAATAGTTGGCGCGATGCCGCCATCGGGGGATACGATTAACAAGGAGGGTCCTATTGCCGAGACCTGATCTTCAAGGGGGGGGACTTTTACTTGAAGAAGAGAACGACCCTTCAACCTCTCGTGATCTCTCATCATAATCGTATCACGGATCTCAGCTTCAAACAGTCGCCAATCTAATAGAGAACCTCAACCATGGCTCCCTCCGCAAGCATTGATACCACTGCTGCCGCTGCTGCTGCGGCACAGGCTGCGGCGACCCTCAAGGCCCTGCCTCACCCCAAGGACCTGTCGCACCTCTACTCGCGGGTCACCAAGAACCGGGTACAGAGCAATATCAAGGCTTTTTACAGGTTCATCCAGACTCCTGGTATCAGCAACTTTGCTGGAGGTGAGTGTTTTTGCAAGTGTTTCTTCCCCCCATTCCGGTATCTCGGGGCGGAGCGGGGCCGTTATCATGCCGGAGCTTAGACCGTTACCTCCGACCAACCTTTTGTGATGCTGTCTTTCCAGAAACTGACGATACTTTGATAGGAATGCCCAATGTTAAATACTTTCCTTATGACACACTAGAAGCCGACGTAGCGACCCCTGAAAGATGGCAACCCTCGCCAAACACTCCCCCCGAGGTCCTGCAGCAACTAGACGAGGAATTCTCCAACGGCCATTCCAATGGCAAGTCCAACGTTTCAAAGAACAGAAACGCTCCTCAGGACCCCGACTATAACGAAACCACAGCACACATTACTATTCCCAAAATCCTCAACGAGCCAGACCGCACCAAGAAGATCGATCTCGCGACTGCTCTCCAATATGGCGTCGCTGCTGGCTACCCACCTCTGTTGTCCTTTGTCAAGCAATTCACCAACGAAGTGCTGCATCCCAGCGTCCCTTATCATGGCGGCGCGGACGTGATCCTCAACAACGGTGGCACGGACGGTTTCTCCAAGGTGCTCCAGCTCCTGGTTGACCCCTGGTATGAGGGAGTTCACCCTGTGACTGAGCGGCCAGGCATGCTGTGCGAGACTTTCGTTTTTGGAAACGTTCTTACACAGTCTCGGCCTCTGGGAGTTCAGGTTGTGCCTGTCGAGCTTGATCGTGAGGGTATGCTGGTCGAGGGACCAGGAGGTCTGCGGGATGTGCTTGATAACTGGGATCCTCAAAATGGCCGACGACCACACTTCCTTTATACAGTGACGTGAGTACTTGAAAGCAGCTGACTAGATTAAGACCCAATCGCTAACTGTTCACTAGTATGGGACACAACCCCACAAGCGGTGTCTTGGGAATCAAGAGGAGAAAGGAGATCTACGCCCTCGCCAGCAAATACGACATCATCATCGTTGAAGATGACCCATACTGGTACCTTCAATTCCCTTCAGCTGCCGTTCACGAGGCTAGACTCAGGGGCCACGAGACACCTCGACACATCGAGACACACACGCCGGCAAAGACATCTGGCTACGAGTTTATTGACTCGCTCGTGCCCTCGTACTTGAGCATCGATGTCGACGGTCGTGTCATCCGCCTCGATACCTTTTCCAAGACAGTTGCCCCTGGTTGTCGATTGGGCTATGTTACTGCTCAGCCTGCTATCATTGAGAGAATTACTCGGTAAGCACTTGCCGTTCTCATCAACATTGAGACACTACTAACATAGATGACAGAATCACAGAGGCTAGCACCAGCCAACCCTCAGGCTTTGTCCAAGCCTTTATCGCCCAGGTCCTCCTTGGCCCACACTCCTCTGCCCTGGCAGAGTTCAGCGCCCTCCCCGAGTCCGAAAAGGCCACCTTCAAGGGCTGGAAGCTTGACGGCTGGGTACGCTGGCTCGCCGGTCTCCGTGGCGAATACGAGCGCCGCATGACACGCATGTGTTCAATTCTCGAGGACCATGCCTTCCAGTTCAAGCAGTCAACACCTGAGAAGCCAGACTCAGACTGGGACGTCATCACCAAGACAAAGCTCTTCGAGTTCAACTGGCCTCGCGGAGGCATGTTTGTCTGGCTACGCATTCACTTTGAGCAGCACCCCCTCTTCAACGCCCGCGGCACCGACGTCCCCGTCATTAATGGAACAGAGCTGGCAAAGGCGTTCCTCATCCACAGCACCCAAGCACCCAACCTGGTGCTGGGAAGCCCTGGAAGCATGTTCAGCGCTACCCCTGAGATTCTGGTCGAGCACGGCTGGAAGTACGTGAGACTGTGCTTTGCTGCTGAGAGCGATGAGAATATCGATGCTGGCTCGTTGAGATTCTCCAAGTCGGTTCAGAACTTCTTTAGGATTACTGATGTTGCCGAGATTGAAAAGTTGATTGCGGAGTTGTAAGCGGAAAAGGGGAAAAAACTTCAACTCGTAGAAGTATTTATGCCAAGATACTGAATACGATAACTCAAGACATGCAATGTTGGTCAACGTGTGTGTGTGTATTGTATGCTGAATGATTAATAACTCCATGTAAAGCAACGTCATTGGGAGATATTGCTTGACTTATACCCTCACAACCCTAGAGTATCAACATGCCGTGTGTTGGGACAAGGTCACACTGCATCTCACATCACATCACATCAATAATTCAGAAATGACGCAATTCACAACGCTCAATCGTTAAACATCAAAGTACGGAACCAATGCCGAGTCTAGGCTGGAATTCATATCAAATCTCTGATTCATTTTTAAGAGCTCAACCTTCCAGAAGCCATTACGCCTCGATATCAAATCATGCCAGACCCGTCACCAATTTCCCTCCCAGCCTGCTGCACACCCAGCAAGTCGAGAATCTTAGTTCTGCTTCTTCTGAGCCTCCTGGGCGAACACGGAGGCGTAGGGGTTCAGGCGAAGCATGACCTGCTTGTTCTTGAGGGGGTTCTTCTTCTGGACAGCAGATCGTCGGGTGACGGCCTCGCCCTTGGGAGCGTTGAGGGAGCTCTGGATTTCGGAGCTGTTGATCAGGCGGGTGAGATCGGCCTGGGAGACAACGTTGGAGGGGAGGAGGAAGTCACGCTTGTGGGCCGAGGCCTCGGTGGTGGAACCGTAGATCTGGTCGAGGGCCTTGAAGGCGGCAGAGGTCCAGACGATGAATCGGCCGAGGTGACCACCAGGGGCGAGCTGGAGGAGGTTGAGGGCGGTGACGGGGGAGGTCTCGACACCGGGGATGTTGCGGAAAGCGGTGACGAGCTCCTTGCCGTCGGTCTCGGCATCGTAGATGACGAGAGGGCCACGTCGCTGGCGGTGGCGGCGGCCACGGAGCTTGCCCTTGCCAGCTCGGAGCTTCTTGGACTTCTTGACCTTCTCAATATCGGCACCAGCACCGACAGCCTTCAGGAGGCCGAGAGCGGCAGCGGTCTTGGCGATAGCGGCACCCTCGAAGAGAGCGGAGTCGACAACCAGGGGAACCTCGGGGACGGAGTTGACCTGGTGGCCACGGGCCTGGAGCAGGGGAACGGCAGCAGAGGCAGCCAGGGCGGAGCAGACAGCATATCGCCTAGTTTCGAGGTTAGCTTCGTTCTTTCGACCATCTTTCCACTGGCAAGACTCACTTCTGGCCCTGGTTGACCTTGATGTGCCACTTGCGCCAGATCTTGGTAGGGGCGAACATGCGACCGGAACGGCACATGTTACCGAAGGCGGCCTGACCAGCACGGTGGGTACCACCACCAGAGACACGGGGGATACGGGCGACGGCACGACCTGTGAGATATCCTGTTAGCAGTTGTTTCCCTCGTTGTCGTGGTGGTTTCTTGAAGCATCTCCTCCTCTTCCCGTGGATGTTATCCATGCCCCAGCGCCCACAAAAATTCCCCTCCAATTCTTCCAAGTCGGAAAAAAAAAAAGTTCTTCACATACCAGTTCCCCAGGACTCAGCAGAGGTCTGGTGACCAGCCTTCTCGCTCACAGCATAGGGCTGTCGCTTGTTCTTGGCGATACCGGTGTGAACCTGCTGGACAATGTCCGGTCGGATCGGGCTGGTGAAGACGGCGGGAATGGCGTGGGTAGCTCCAGTGGGAGCACCATCTTTGCCGATGATGGAGACGGTAGGTCGCGAAGCCATTGTGAAGGTTGGGACTTGGACCTGACAAGGTTAATTGAATCAGTTGAGGCCTGGATGAGTTGATGTTCAAGTCTCACCTTGTTCGTCGTGCGGCGTCGAAATTGGTGATGGAGTGGGAGGTTGCAATTCGGGCGCGATAAATTTCACATCGATTTTTTGGTGGGCGCCAGGCGGGACCCTAAGCCCCACCAACAACTCCGCCCTAGCGAGCGACACGTGACCACGGAGCTCCCCTGCTTGCACTAACACAAACACCACAGCCAAACCCCACTAGAGAACGTGAAAATGGACAAAATGCTTTGGTCTATATCGACCTCTATACAACTTCGAGGGGTCAAGATTCTACATAGGCATTTTATCATATTTACATAGTAACCGTGCAATTGCTTCATCTTATTATACGTACATGCATGTCATCATTATGCCTAGTCTAGGTATTTTCAAGATGCAGATAGCCGCCCCGTCCCAAAACCATCCCCCCATAGTCCATCACTCCCATCTCTTCCACTCCTGGATCAACTTGTCCACCTGTTCATCCACCCACTCCTCATCGTTTCCTGACCTGTCCAATTTGGCCAGCTTGTCGTGAATCCTGGCCTCAATATCCATCCGCTCAATGACCTTGTTTTCTAGGTACTTGGGGTCATTCCAACGACAAGCCTTTTGGAAGATCTCCCTCATTCTGGGAGAGTAGAGTTGGCATGTTGCCACCGGTAACCTCTGGGGGTTCATATAAAAGTTGCGAGCAATAACATTGTCGCCTTTAATCAATGGCCGGACAACCTCGTCAAAGCACTCGCCGCAGACAGAGAACTGACGGAGGAACTGCATGGTGTGCCAATACCCGTTGTGAATGGGTGTGTCCTCCTGACATTCGCTGACGGCAGCCATTCTTTCCACCTCTTGAGCAAGACTCTTGATATCTGGCTCCTCGTGTTCCAGGCGGGCTTGATCCGAGGTGGTCTCCATGGCGTCGAAATACATGACGAACCGTTTCCGCTTCGGCTTGAATCGCATTGCGCAAAGGCCCCTTGTCGGCTCTGAGCGGGAATCAAGGGGAATAAAAATGCCAGTAAGGTTAGGAAGCAAAGCCTGTATGATCTTGGCGCACTGGGGGCAAACGGTGAAATCGTAGACAAGCTGTCGCGTGTACGGATTGTAAAGCGTCAGCCAATTACGAATAGTTGTCCTGTCACCAGGGCATGGAATGTTTTTAGTATCAGAGATGACGCTGGCAACATCGTGGAACAACCGCAAGTCTGGCAAGTTGTTCTTCAGGGTGAGAAGCCAGGCTATGCGATACCAAGGGCCAACGCCAAAGTCACAGGCGATAGGCCTGTCCGTCGGGCGAAGCATGGGCTGGAAGAGGTGTCGGTACTCGGTCTTCGAAAAGACAGCACCGTAACAGTCCGGGCAGATATTGAAGTCTGTCCGTGGCAAAGTGAGCCAGTCGAACAAGCCTGCTACAGGATGTTTGCGTCGGCACTCCGGGAACGTGGTGCCACCGGTCGCTTCTGTATGCTCCGAGTGTCGCCGAACGGCACCAACGGGTTTCTCCAGGTAAACCCCGTCTCGATTAGGATCGAAAGCCGGTGGTTGCCATGGCTGCGACGAGAGAGGAGGACGTACACTTGACGGTATGGCTGATGCAGGTCTCATCTCGAGGGGTGTTTCAGGGCCACCGATAGGAACGGGTATCGGGATATCAGGCATAGAGACGATCGGGTCTACCTCGTAGCGAGATCGTGGCCTGCTGAATCGTTCAATGCTTCCCCGGGGATCAAGAGGATCAAATGGTTCGTCATCCACGGGATAGGGAAGTTCGTTCTTGGGTCTCTCGGGGAGAGCATGCTCGCTTCTGATAATCGGCTCTCTGGGGATGGCTATGGGTTCCCGAGTGATAGGATCTCTAGCGATAGGCTCTCTAGTGATGGGATCTCTGGTGACCAGATCTCTGGTGATTGGATCTCTGGTGATTGGATCTCTGGTGATTGGGTCTCGGGAGATAGGGTCTCTTGTAATCGAATCTCTCGCGACTAAGTCTCCAGCAGTTGGGAAAGTTGCTGCAGCTCGTGGGTTTGGAGGCAAGTCATCTGAAGGAGCGGAGCTGGAACCAGAGGTAATCGGAATTGGTATAGGCACCATAGGTAATCGAGGTCCAGACCTGGGGCCAGTAGGGGCGTCGACTTTTTCAAGTTTGGACTGTGAGTCGCGTTCGTCCTGAAGTATGACAGACTTTTTCCGCCGTGCGTGGAGTTCCCGTGGCCCCTTGGGATGCTCGTCACCAGAGCGGTTATCATCCCCACGGTCGTCGCGACCATCGCGGTTGTCACGTCCGTCACGACGATCGTCACGACGGTCATCACGGCGGTCATCCCTACGCTCGTCTCGACGATCATCTCGGCGAGGTGCTGTCTCTCGAGAGGGGTATGTCGAAGCCCGGCCAAGGTCCTCTCGGTCTGCTCGACCATATGAGGGCGACCTCTCCTTTTTGGTGGTCCTGGGTGGTACGTACTCGCTGCGGTAAGGAGTTTCACCAACCCTCTCTTTCGAAAGTGGTCGAGCTGGCTTCTCAGGTTCAACGTTTGAGCGCTTGGAAGTGGATGCAGTTGAAGAGGTGCGGGTATGAGTTCCCTCATATCGTCGGTCATCTGGCAGATTGGTGGAATAAGTTGGTCGAGTTGGCGATCTGCGACTGGAACTCTGAGGATGCGCATAACTATGGTAGGCCTTCTCACGGCCGCCTGCGCTATGCTTGATAACTTCAGGTGGAAGTGGTGGGTCGATTGGAATCTTTGGTGGTCGCACAGGAGGTTGGTCTGGTCGGCTGCTTGCTGCAGCAGACGGGCGACTACGATACTTTTCGGGCAGCTGGTCGTCCCTAAATTCAGTGTCAAGTCGGGGCAAGTCTTGCCGACTTCGGCGCTTCTCCAATGGAGGCCTGCTGCGATCTCTGCTTGTTGGCGCGCCGGTGTTGAGATTGGTGTCGTATCGTCGACTTGACTTCGTATCGGCATGAGTATCGCTGGACGGTTTTTCGTTTCGCTCAACCCGTTCAACCCGCTCATTTCGTTCAGGTCGCTCGTTTCGTTCAATCCGCTCGTTTCGTTCGCCCCGCTCAGGCCTCTCAGTTCGTGCAGGCCTCTCGACTCGTTCAGGTCGCTCGGATCGCTCAACTCGTTCAGATCTCCCAACCCGTTCAGGCTTTTCAGTGCGCTCTGATCGCTCGAATCGTTCTGGTCGGTCCGGTCTCTCGAAACGCGGCGGTTTCTCAACACGCTCTTGTCGTGGTTGCACTGGCACTGTCTTCCGCTCTGTCTCCCCGCCTTCGGATCCACTCGACGAGCCTGTCAAGATGACGAAACGACGCTCTGGATTGTACTCATGAACTTCCATAATCAATGGAGTCTGGTCGATTTCTCCCCGGGACGGAGGTTCGCCCTCTGGGTTCTTGACATAGTATGACCCATGTTCTCTCTTGAGTGAGGTTTCCTCATCTTCAACAGAAGGTGGCGGCGGGCGGACCCTTGGCGCACGCGACGAGTTAGAGGAATACGGTCGTGCGGATTGTTGGTAAGTCGACTGATAGGACGAGGAATAAGACGACGTAGGTTTGGAGTGGGAGCTAGCTTCGAACTGTGAGGATGATTGCCTGCAAGACATGTAAGCGGGGAGTCTGATTGTCTGGCGGAGAGGGCATACGGCTTTGGGCTCTTGGCCCGGGATGTTGTAAAGTACCCCGTCTGGAGGAGGTTCTGAATGTCAAAGGACTCGACCATGGTGCGTGTCTATTCGTTATTCGTACGAATGGCAAGAAATCATTATAGTCTATCCAAGAAGAGAGGACAGGAAATGCGCCGACGGGAATAAAAAGGTGGAAGGAGGGCAACTGGAGTTCGGGCTGGTCGCTGGTGTTTTGTTTGCTCTGATCGGGCTGTTGTCTCGGTGTCGCACAGGCCGTGCTGGCGCCCTCCAGGCGGCGCTCGATGATAGGAAGCGGCAGAGCAGTCGCAAAGAGCACTGCACACGACTCGGAGTCCCCTTCAACTTGGGAGGAGGTTTTTTACGGAACAAAAAGCCCAATAAGGAGGAGGCGGAATAAAGAGACGATCTGTTTGGTTTACGACGTCAGAAAGGTGAGCAAGAGCAAGCCCGAGACGCCTTGGGGCGCAGCTGGGCCCAACCTGCCTTCCTGCGTGAGGGATGACATAGCACAACGGCGAGGTACCTGATCCCCCGCCCGACGGCCCAGCCAAGCACATGTACCTCAGAGTCGCTGGGCATCCACCCCTCCTCGTTCTTGGCCCTGTGAAGCCCGCCAATCGCCCCGCCAGGTTGCCCCTCCTACGTCTTGCTTTGCACGGCTGGTCCATGCCGATGGCTTTCACGGGAACAAACTAAGAAAAAAATGTACCGATATTGGCGCCTGCGTCATGTGTTTGTGTGATGTGCTCTGGGGAAGACCCTGCTCGGTGAACCTCTAGAGCATCTGGTGCAGCAATGCGCCGTCGCACAGAGTTTTACGGCAGTTACAGAGTATCACCTATCACAGCAGCAATCATGTTCGGGCTGCAAGTACTTGAACTCCATTCCAGCGCTGATGTCCAAATTGCATGGCCGGGTGCACAATCAGGTTCGGGGCTTGTTACCCGCTGAACGGGACTGAGTGTGTAGCATAACAGTCGTCACCGCTTCAACGGCCGTCCATTGATCATGGCGGGTGCTGATAAACACGCCATAATTCCGCCAACAGGTTTTGAGTCTTAGCAGCGCATATACGGTGAGCTGACTTAGGAAATCGATGATATTCCCAGACGATCCCGGGTCATGAAATGTGACGGTACCGACAGAGATCTGCCCAGCGGTCAAGGATATTTACTTGTGTTGCGGGACCCATCCTCGCGAAATAGAAGAGTACTTATAACTCCTATCAAGGCACTGCTACTTTACGTTGCAACAATTCACAAAAAATACGAACGACAGAAATAGGTACTATAACAAGAGGTCAATTATGCTAATGTTCTAGGATATCATTTCCATATTTCAAGTTACAGTTGGAGCCATAAACTGATACCCAATATATAGAGAGGTATCTCCTTGCTTGCGCGGGGACTGCTATGTACTGAGCTGGGATCTAGACCAATTATGATAAGTCTCTTCCTAGGCCCACCAAGCTTAAGATAAGAGATTAACATATTCTCATCATATTATTGTAGAGATTCAGATAGTGCTCTAATAGTGGAGATGGGTACGCTCTAGCAGTCCTCGCGCAAGCAAGGAGATGTACCAGTGTCTTCTTGACTCAAGCGCCATCATGAGGCCCTGCAAGCCATCTTCATGATGGTCCCACAGGGAACGATCCACAATCGGGCAGGACGGTGCAACTTCTGGAGGCTTCTTTGGAACGTGCATATGTAGCTGTGAGGTCTTTGACACTGTTTTATTCCCTAGGAGATTTCCAAAGGATTCTATCGTAACTTGCCACAAGCCCATCATGACGAGTAGAACTAACATTGGCCTCGATCGCATGATTCCATTCATAAGGGAAAGCTATCTGTGCCTAGGAGAATGCCAAATCACACCCGGGGCTTAAGACAGTGTCAGAATATCATCAGGCATATTTCTACTCGGTTCTGTGATACAGTCAGAACTAGGTATGCAGTCAAGGGCATATCGGTACCTATCAGCAGTACCGGGCGTCATATGTGACCACGAGGCCCAAAGCAACTTGAGACACTGGGTGCCATGATATGGGACTTAGTAAATCACAAGGGTCCAAGCAGGTGGACAGCAAGTTTTCAACCTGTTCGCAAGGCCTGGATAGGAGACTATGGACCTCAGAAGTATTTTTGGCCCTCCCTCCTTATGCTATGATCATGGGAACCTATAACTTGTCTCATGTCCAGTGCCTCGATATCACTCTAGAGATCCTCCATAGCTCCATCGAGGGTAAGCAATTTGACAAAAACGGTGAAAGTTGTGCTAGTTATTGGTCAGTCTGGCATGTCGTACAGCATACAGGCAACCAGGCTCTTCACCATTCAACGATACAGCTCTTGGCGTCACAGGCAAGACATTGGCGGCCTCATTCAGCTTCCTAAAAATAAAAAGTCATAAAATCCAAGCTGATTTGATAGAGTGTGCAAACCGGGCGTTGCGCCAGCACGTAAAGGATAATTAGTGGTATCTTCCCTCACATTGCTCCATCCAGTCTTGACCCCATGAGTAAAGTCGTTTCGTACAGTGCCCAAGAATGAAGAGTCCCAACAAGTGCCCATTCTAGTCCTCAAGAAGGTCTGCAATGTCCTTGTCCTCCTCCTCCTCAAGTCTCCGTTGCTCCTCGGCCTCAAGCATGTTCTTGAGCATGGTCCTCTGCCTCACCCTGGCCTTCTGACCCCAGTCGGCACCCGTGCCATCGCCCTCCTCGTCAATCTCAGGTTCCTCCTCAACCAGGCCCCGCAGCTCATTGGGCGAGATCTGGGCCTTGCGCTGTTCCCTCTCATCCTGCTCTTCCATCTTCCTGACGGCGCCCTTGGTGACAAACTTCATCATGTAGGGGCGGAGGAGCATGTAGCCACCGACAATGATGACGAGGCGGATCCAAGACTGCATTGTCATGTTGTTGAAGGTGTTTGAGAGGTTGTTGGAAGCGTTGGCTCCATACTGGAGGAATTGGGCGGCGAATTTGCCGAGGGGGTTGAGCTCAATGTCGTCTTGAGCACGCTGCTCTTGCTGCTGGGCCAGGGGATCCATTGTGAAGGATGTGTTGAAAGTGAGGTCGTGAGTTGTAGGTCTTGATGTGTCTTGAAATTTGCCCCGCTTTTAAGCTCCCAGACGTGGCCCTGGTGAAGTAAGATTGTTTTGATGCCGAGCTTAACTTTGATGAAGCCAAGAGCTGAAGCTACCGTGTCGACAAGTGGCCCAAATGCACCAAAATTGAGAGTTCGAGTGTAGTCAAAAAGGGATAGAAGCTTTGAGGCCTCACTTGCGACCTAGGCAATGAGGGATTAAGTGCGATTCGTGATGTTTGGGTGATGGTTGAGCTGAGATGAAGTGTTGGAGCATCAGGGTTTTATATGGCGCGCGAGTCGGGAGGTTTCTTTTTGGCTGGATTTCTCCGATGGACCCGGCACCCACTGGCCACATTGAACTTGTTCTGGAACGGGGTGGCCAATTTGCCAACAATAAACACCGCAATACAAGCGCTTTGTCCCTGGCTGATTACGGACACTCTTGAGTTATTTATTAAGTGGAATTGACATGGTTGCTGGACCGAGGCAGTCTTATTAGATTCTGTTGATCGTCGCGACAGCGTATAAAGTGAAAGTTACAAGTCCACCCATACATTAGCAGAGAGGAATGTTTCTGCACGACATGAAAGCCAACACTACAGAATTATGTCACGAATTATACCTCGAGCAAATAGAGGCATTCCCACCTCACTTACCACCCTTCAGCATGTCCTAAGCTCACACATACCTCTTTTACACGCATCTTGAAGCTGGTCATGATCCAATGCCAGATGTGCTCCACGTGACTTGATTAGTAGCTCTCGCCTCTGACCGGGACTGGATGCCTTGATCCCTGGGCCAGCGGATGGTTGGCTCCACCAAAAGAGACTCTGGAGCGGGCAAGAGCGACCAGAGCTGCTGTCGAGAAATTTTCGAAGCCTCATACCCGATCATCTCCTCCTCAGCAGCAGCACCACGGCGTGTTCTGAATCCCCTCATCTCCCCTCCTCCTCCCTTCTCCTCTCCATCTCCTTCTCGTCCTTTCGCAATTGGTCTTTCTTATACCCAGAGCCGTCACAATGTCGACCGCCTTCCGATCTCTTGCGCCTTTCCTGCGCACCGCCCGCCACGGCCTCAAGGCGGCTCCCATCAACCCCCTCCAGTCCGCCCTCAAGAAGCAGAATGCCTCTGGCGTCCTCAACCTCTACCGCACATACGCCGTCTTTGAGCGATCAAAGCCCCATGTGAACATTGGCACCATTGGTCACGTCGATCACGGCAAGGTACGAATTTACTTGCAGCGCACCGTTCCATCAATTGGTTGCGGAGAAAAAAACCTCGGCTGACCTGATAATTCCCAGACCACCCTCTCCGCTGCCATCACCAAGCGACAGGCCGAGAAGGGCCTCGCCAACTTCCTCGAGTATGGTGCCATTGACAAGGCTCCCGAGGAGCGAAAGCGTGGTATCACCATCTCCACTGCTCACATCGAGTACTCTACCGATAACCGCCACTACTCCCACGTCGACTGCCCTGGTCACGCCGATTACATCAAGAACATGATTACTGGTGCTGCCAACATGGACGGTGCTATTATTGTCGTCGCCGCCTCTGACGGTCAGATGCCCCAGACCCGTGAGCACTTGCTGCTCGCCCGTCAGGTTGGTGTCCAGAAGATTGTCGTCTTCGTCAACAAGGTCGATGCCATTGACGACCCCGAGATGCTTGAGCTCGTCGAGATGGAGATGCGTGAGCTCCTCAACACCTACGGCTTCGAGGGTGACGAGACCCCTGTCATCATGGGCTCTGCTCTCATGTCCCTCCAGAACCAGCGCCCCGAGATCGGTAGCCAGAAGATTGACGAGCTCCTTGCTGCCGTCGACGAGTGGATCCCTACCCCCGAGCGTGACCTTGACAAGCCCTTCCTCATGTCTGTTGAGGATGTCTTCTCCATTGCCGGCCGTGGTACCGTCGTCTCTGGCCGTGTCGAGCGTGGTGTCCTGAAGCGCGACCAGGAGATTGAGCTCGTCGGCAAGGGTAACGAGATCATCAAGACCAAGGTCACCGATATTGAGACCTTCAAGAAGTCTTGCGAGCAGTCCCAGGCTGGTGACAACTCTGGTCTCCTCATCCGAGGTGTCCGCCGTGAGGATGTCCGCCGTGGTATGGTCGTCTGCGCCCCTGGCACTGTCAAGTCTCACACTCAGTTCCTTTCTTCCCTCTACGTCCTCACCAAGGAGGAGGGTGGCCGACACACTGGCTTCCAGGAGCACTACCGACCCCAGCTCTACCTCCGAACTGCTGATGAGTCCATCGACCTGACCTTCCCCGAGGGAACCGAGGACGCTAGCAGCAAGATGGTCATGCCCGGTGACAACACCGAGATGGTCGTCACCATGGGCCACCCCAATGCCATCGAGGTCGGTCAGCGATTCAACATCCGTGAGGGTGGCCGAACCGTCGCTACCGGTCTCTGCACCCGTATCCTCAAGTAAGGGAGGGGTGATGTTATAGAAAGGAGAGGGAAAATTTTGGGGTAGTGTACGAATTATGGCGCTCATGTGAAACCGGGCATTGTCTCCCACTTTGAGTCCAGTTTGGCTCTTGTATATCTAGGTACGGCCGGGGGGGCTCAAAGATCTCCGCTCTGCTTCCTCCCGTTGTCTTGACGATTGTAATGTAGACAAAATTGGGGAGGCAGTAATAAGACATGTAAAACTAGCACTCGAATTTTTTGTTGAAGTGGTGATTTTGTGAGATTTCGGTGATGTTTCTCATAATTGTTGTTTCGTGAACGAATCGTTCCGGCTAGGCATCTCAAGCCAATGGGCACAGGGAGTTTAACCGATTTCATGTGTATTGATTCTCATCTTCACAATGAACCGACACGCTTCATAACCGTAACCCAGTCATGTTGGCAGACGAGGATAGTCCGGACACACAGACATGTGAGGTCCAATGCAATGGTATTCGTCTATCCTCGGAGGATGTTCGTCAGACGCACGATCTTCCTAAGGGACCCAAGCAAGCCATAAAACTCCTGTTCCAAGCGGCCGCCCTCCGAGTGCTTTTTTGTGCGCGAGGCCTTGACTTTCTGCCGAGAGTTCCCCCATCCACTACTTTGTTCTCTCTCAACAACCCCCCCCTTAACCGAGAAAACTTGGTGTCATGATGATCGTTTATCGGTACTGTAGAGACAATCGGTCAGTCTCCATTCGTGCTTCTGATTGTCGGGACCCCTTGGATAGGGGAATATCGTGTTCGTTCGAAACTCACCTTGTTGAAGCCAATGTCCTTGGCCTTCTCACGGAAGCACTGACGGCACAGGTTGAGGTCGTACTTGCGGATGAGACCGGCCTTGTGCTTGCAGACGCGGCTACAGAGCGAGAGAATGTCAGCATATTTTCGTTCGAGGCGAGCATCATCATCGAGGTTTCCCCCCGTCGCTTGGGGATTTTCGCGTCCGGGGAGGAAGGAGATAAATCGTACCAGCTGCGAGAGCCCTTGCCGTAGCTTCGGGGGCGCGAGTTCCAGACGCTTTCGTGAGACATGGTTGCGGTGCTTGGGGGGGATGACCGAAAGCTGGAGTTTGCGGGATGGTTGAATTCGCGAGGGTTGAAATTCGGCGGGAAATTTTGTGTGAATTGAACGAGACGTACCGCGCACCGATTGGAGGGCTCCGCAGCCCCAGCCCAGACGAGGGCGTGAGCGTGGGGCATCTAGCACGTGATCTGAGCTGTGCCTTATATCACGTGCTCCTTTCAAGGTGACGACAGCAGCGCTAGCGGCGGGAGCTCACCCTGCCTTAGCTCGTCCCGCTTACCTCACCGGTCCGTTCACCTACAAGGGCCATTCCGTTGCAAGCTGGCATCTCGAGTGGATTTCCAAGCAACCACCGAGCAACAAAGCACATCTTACGATTGTGTTTTTGATCAGCTCTATTCTTCTTTATCCAATTAATCCATCTCCTTCGTAAAAGTCAACTTCCTAGAGACCTACCATCCACAATGGTCTTGATCAAGAGCTTCGTGCTCTCGGCCCTCGCCGCTACGGTGGCAGCCAAGTCGGCCGTTATCGAGCTCCTCCCCTCCAACTTCGACAACGTCGTCCTCAAGTCCGGCAAGCCCACGCTCGTCGAATTCTTTGCGCCATGGTGCGGCCACTGCAAGAAGCTCGCCCCCGTCTGGGAGGAGCTTGCGTTTGCCTACGAGCCCACCGGCAAGGTCCAGATCGCCAAGGTCGACGCCGACGCCCACCGCGAGCTCGGAAAGCGATTCGGCATCCAGGGCTTCCCTACGCTCAAGTTCTTTGACGGAAAGAGCGACAAGCCCCAAGAGTACAAGTCTGGCCGCGACCTCGAGAGCCTTACCGAGTTTCTTGCTGAGAAGACTGGTGTCAAGCCCAAGAAGAAGCTTGAGCTGCCCAGCGAGGTTGCCATCTTGAACGATGGTTCCTTCGCCGAGCTCATTGGTGGAGACAAGAACGTCCTGGTTGCCTTTACCGCTCCTTGGTGTGGCCGTATGTGTTCCCTTGGGTGAATTGCTAGCGAACTCTACTCATTCGTTTCTTTAGACTGCAAGAACCTTGCTCCCACCTGGGAGGAGGTTGCGACCGACTTCATCAACGACAAGAATGTTGTGATTGCCAAGGTTGATGCTGAGGCTCCCAACAGCAAGGCCGTCACCGAGCAGCAGGGCGTCAAGTCCTACCCCACCATCAAGTGGTTCCCTGCCGGCAGCAAGGAGGCTGTCGCCTACGAGGGAGGTCGCAGCGAGGAGGCCATCCTTGCTTGGGTTAACAAGCACGCTGGAACTCACCGTGTTCCCGGCGGTGGCCTGAACGCCATTGCTGGCACTGTTGAGTCTCTTGACACTCTTGTCGCCAAGATCGCCGGTGGCGCCGCTCTTGCTGAGGTTGCCGCCGAGGTCAAGAAGGAGGTCGAGGGCCTCACAGACGCTATTCAGCAGAAGTACGCCGAGTACTACGTCCGTGTGTTTGATAAGCTTAGCCAGAACAACGACTGGGCGTCCAAGGAGCTCACCCGACTGGATGGCATCTTGTCCAAGGGCGGGCTGGCCCCATCCAAGCGAGACCAGATCCAGCAGAAGACCAACGTCCTCCGCAAGTTCCTCGAGAAGGCCGAGGAGAAGGTTGAGGAGAAGGTCGAGGAGGTCAAGGATGAGCTATAAAGGATTAGGAATGTGAACAACAAAAGGCAAGAGAAAGCGAGTACAAAATCATCAAGGTTTATATAGTAGAGTCTTTGGTTACTTGATGTCATGACTGAAATAACGTAACAACAAGGCAGCTTCGTTCTATGCGTGAAGACCAAGCACCTTTCGTGAAGGACAACCCAAACGCCCCGCAATTGGACAGTAAACGGCAGGGTACATTGCTCTTTACGACTTTGTCGAGCCTCCGTCCTTGGATTTGCTTTCTTGGAGGGCTGCTTCGAGATTATCCAGCCTCCGAGACATCTCATCCACTTTGCAAGGTCAGCGTGGGGCAGAGTGCATGACTGCGGACAAAAGACTTACTCTTGGCAAAGATCTCTGAGGAGACGCCAGCAAACTTGTTGGACAGTGAGTTGAGGAGTTCCTCGACGGCAGCTGTGACATCGGCACGAGCATCATCCGAAGACTACATGAGGGGGGATGGTCAGTGGCGTCGTTGAGACTGGGCACTCTGCAGTCGGCGCTTTCTCTGATGCAGCTGGTCGTGTGTAACACGGCATGCGTCAAAGCTGCTGAATGGTGGGCGAGCAGAGTTGAGAGGACAATAGCACATACGTTCTCAGGCTTGAGGCCTGCAGGGGTCTCTGAGTTGGGGTCGTTGCTAGCCATGATGCTCTGTTTTGGTTGCGACGAGGGTGGCACGAGAGTGGTCTATTCACAATTGCCTGCCGTCTTCAGGAGCGACCACGGGAAAAGAGAGGATAGGAGAAAAGACTGGGTTGTTTGCGTTGCAAGGTTGTGTCCTTTCCCCCCCTTGGGTTGTAGCTTAGGTAGTTGTGGGATTGTTTGCTCTGGCTGTTGATAGAAATGGCCCGTATTCGTACTGTGTCCTCTGTATTGATGTGAATGGCCCCGGCGGAAGCGGCGTTTCTCGGCTTCCGCCAGTGGAGGGAGGTCGGGGAAGGAGCACTGCAGGCGTTCAACTCAGGCCCACCTGGCATGGACATTCCGTCATGATACGTACCACTCTCACAAATGGTCGTCTCCAAGTGAAGGCAGACTCACTCACACTCACTCATATCATTGACATCCATCTTGGAGCACGCGCTATCACATCAACCACCAACAAACATTTAACTCATTTTCTTGAGGGGTCGTTCAGCAGTCACCATCACCCTTAGCAGACCTAGCATGTTGCAGCGGTAGTCGCGTGCCGCCGCGGGTCATCATGCCGCAAGCGCAGCATCCGATCGCCACGATCGCCTTTATCGTATTCATTATCTGGCTCGTCTTTCCTGAGGGCGACTACTCGAGCCAGTCTCTCACACTGTCTGACCTGGCCGCGGAGAGACTGGGCCGCTTTCACGATGCGCTCGACGTGTTGAATGCCTCGCGCTGGGGGGACTTTACCCCTGCTCCAAAGAAGGGATCCAAGTCTAAGCCTTCATACTTGAATCTTACGGGGTTCCGCGAGGAGGACAAGTTTGCTTGGAAAGACCTGAATCGGTTTCGTGAGAGGAGCTTGGAATTCAGTCGACATGCCATACCGCCGGTCGGTGGCAAGAATCTTTGGGATGCTGGAGAGGGAGATGCAGTTTGGATGAATGCGTCAGGGACAGTCCACGGTGAGTGGGTGAAGCGCAAAGGTTCTGTGGCTAGAGGGTATGACAGCTATAACCTCACCAAAGCTGTTCCCGGGATGGATTGGATTGGCGATGAGGTCTCTTGGGCACGCAACATTACTGGCACCTCTGGACGAATGATGCTACGACTCGAAGGGAACAAGACGGTCAATGAGTACGAACAACTACCAGCCCAAACCAGCACACCTGTCGCTGGTGGTCTCATCCGGAGTGTCAAGGGCACAACGACCATTGAGGATACGTCGGGTTCAGGCCATGACTGGGAGATGAAGCTATGGGGTGTCCATTGGCCACGACAGGGTGTCATACTGATGACAACCACGAGCGAAAAGTTCGAGGGTATCTTCGGTCTACCACACCTGGCACCGAGTGAAGACTTCTTTCAGTCCAGCCAGAGACTACTCAACCAGTCGATCGCCCGAACTATTGCTCGGAAGGAGGAAAATATCTATGTCGACCAGACGGTTCCATGGACATCGGATCTTGAGAATCCCATGTATACCACCAACCCGTCGCCTCATTGCGAGTACATCATGTACGCCCAAGTCTACCCACCCAGTCGACAACACTTCAACCTGGACCCGAACGAGCCAACCAGAGACGCCATGGAGTCAGTCATTGGCGCAATTGAATCGGAGTTACAGTCACCGGTGGGCGCGCCGATTCCCAAGATTCCCAAGCTCCAGATATCTGCCGTCATCTACTCTCCGGACTGTGGGTTCTTCCTCGAAACGAAAGGACCCCCTGACTTTAGTCCCAGTGAGGCTCAGCATCTCACCGGCCAGAAGATGGAGGTGCAGATTTACCAGGTCAAGACGTGGATTCTAGTCTACGCCGTCATCGTCTTTGCGCAAGTCAATCTACTCAAAAACCAGATGAGAGAGTCGTGTACTCCCTCAACTATGGGTCGCGTCAGCTTCTGGACCATTGCCACGATGATCATGGTTGACGGCATGACCTTCACTGCCGCTGCCACATGGGTTTCTTCAGCTGCTGCTACATTCTTGCCCACATTGGCACTCCTGTTTGCCGCGTTCCTATCCATGACCATCGGCGGCAGCTTCTTGGCCAAGATCCATGAAGTTCAACTTCCCGAGGCACGTCCGCGTCGTGACCGGGACCAGACGTCGAGCACATCCACCAGCAGCCCCGATAGCACGCCGGCCTCGGCCACCCCGGATCCCACCAGCACAGGCACCGGTTCACTCCTCCCGGCCCCCGTCACAGCAAGGCAGCCAGCGATACGCCCGCCGCCGTCTCAGCCTATCATTGTCCCATCTGATCAGGACGTTGATGCCGAGATTGCCGCCTCCGCAACTCCAGTGCCTGGGGCTACAACAGCCGAACGCACACCCCCTCCTCCCCAATCATTCCAGAGCATCATCAGCCGCCTTATACTCACCTCCTTGTGTATCATCTTCTTGGCTATCTCCTCCTCAACTTGGTATCCCAGTCTCCGGTCCCTCTTCCTCAACCTTTGCATATTCTTGTACTGCTCGCTTTGGATACCCCAAATCTACCGCAACACCCGCCGCAACTGTCGTCGCGCCCTCACATGGTCCTTCGTCCTCGGCCAGTCTATCCTCCGTCTCCTCCCTGTCGCCTACTTCTGGGCCAAGGAAGACAACTTTCTCTATGCCAGACCCGATCGCCATGCCTTCCTCGTCTTCTGCGCATGGCTCTGGATTCAGCTCATTATCCTCGCTGCCCAGGATGTCATTGGTCCACGCTTTGGTGTTCCCGCCGGCTGGACCCCGGATGCCTGGGACTACCACCCCGTTCTCCGAGAAGACGGCCTCGAGGCTGGTGGCTTACCCATTGGCCTTGTCGCTGACGATACCCCGGGTATCGAGCGGGCTCGCTCCGGCGACGATGGCAGTAAGAAACGGAGCTCTACTCGGAGCATCGACTGCGCCATCTGTCGTGAGGTCCTCGAAGTCCCCGTGCTCACGGCCGAGGACGAAGATACAGGAGTGGCGGGTGTTTTCGCGCGCCGCTTATACATGGTTACGCCCTGTAGGCACATTTTCCATAGCGCATGTCTTGAGGGTTGGATGAGGTTCCGGCTTCAGTGCCCTATATGCCGAGAGGAGCTACCACCACTATGATCACGGGATGTATAATTGCTTGTATAGAATCGCTTGGCTTAACATGGCGTTGGTGGATATAATCTGTGTTGAGCACAATAAACATCAAATGTCTTTCTTGAGTGTCCGTCTATTTGACATTGTCTTTATACAGCGCTTGAACGCTTCAAGTTTTTTTACATTATTCATTGACATGTACAAGGTGTCCATATCCCACAGACCAGTCATGTCGTGGATTAAATGGGGGATCTAATAATCTTATATATCATCAATCGGCCTTTTCATATCAGACGCTCACCATGTGAGCCGAGTCTGCCGGAACTTGGGATCGGGCAACCCAGGTTGGAGACCTCGAGTACCGACTTGCAACTCTGCAACTCTGGCACGCAAGTCAAAGTCGACCGAGCGTATCATTACACGCTTCTCTTCCGGAACTATTCGCGGAATAGGTCTCGCGCTGCCATCGCTCGGGAATGACTCTACCCCCATTGCAAGTGAGTCTGATTCCTCTAGGTTCATGACCCAGGTACTGATATGGGCCACCATCTCGCTGTCCCACATACCCTCGCGACGGGCGCTACTGCGTAAGAGCTGAATAGCTTGTCGTCGGGTCCCAGGGTCACGACACTTGGTTGCCACGACGAAAAGGGGGGCGATGATGCCCAGATCAGCAGCGAACCGAGGCTTGATGTGGGGAGCTGAGAATCCTCCGCTCGAGAAGAAGTCTTGGGTCTGCCAATGTTGGTGTTGTTGGTGTTGACACTGTTCAGGGCTAGGGCAGTCTCGGAGGGCGGCACGTCGCTCCTCGTCACTGATTATCTCGAAACCCAACTCGACCATGGAACGGAACTGAGGCAGGAAAGCATCAAAATCCGACTCTTTGTCGCTAAACATCATCAGGTATAGTATTTGCCCGTTGGTTGCCAGCATCTTCAGGGCACCAATACCAGCCTTCTCCTGAGGACTGACAGATGGGTTGTGCCGTGACTGGAATATGCTGTCAAAGGCACTACACCAAGTCTCGATCTGACCCCTGAACTGGAGGCCATAATCTCTCCACGACTGAGGGAGTGTGCCTTTGAGGTCCGTTTTAATAGCGAATAACCCTTCGATATACCGCATTATTCTCGCATTCAACATGTCGCAGGCTATACGGGCTTCGAAGACCGAGGTGAATGTTTCGGGGATAGCCCAAGGCTCTTCATGCGGAGGAGAGCTGGGGCGACTCGAACCGGGGGACTGAGGTTGTGACGGCGAGCTGAGTCGAATACTAAAGGGTTGTGGAAAATGGAAGGCCATGTCGTAGGATTTTGCTTGTATTGCCAGGCGTGTAAAGATAGTAACGAGCTCCTCTTCGACGGGGTCTTCTGCGGCCGGTAATAGTCGTTCCCTTTGCTGAGCACGAAAGGTGTTGAGTAAGGAGAGTCCTGTTTGTATCTGGTGAATTGCTTGTCTATGATCTCCAATAAAGGAGTCGAAGCAGGCTAATAGCACATTGGCCATGATGAGAACCTTGTGCGATCTTTGGTCCTGGCTGTTGAGCTTCACAAGGGCGTTGCACGCATCGGAATAACGCTTGATGGCCACCTGCCAGTGACTCCTGACCATGTCAGCACGAGCGTCAGCGCTCAACCCGGGACGAGCATGCGCATTTGGCTCGGCCGTCTGCTCAAGGGTCTGGTACAAAGCACCCAGGGCGATGACAGCGCACTTGATGGCATCTTCGGCGTGACATTCCTGCAAGACGCGGCGAGTCCAAAAGGAGTTGTCGAAGAAGCCTGATAGCTCGCTAGCCGTGTACGACCGGAAGATTTCGAAGTAGAAGCCCTCGTTTGATGGTAATTGGAGGCCCAAGGAAGGCTGATAAGTGGTAGGAGATGCAGATGGTGTCCCGGGGGAGGCGGTTCTCAGTGTCGCTAATGACGTTCTTTGGCGGGCTCGGCGAGGTGGCAGATGAAAGTCGCTGTGGAGCGGAAGGATTGCGGTACTCGGAGTAGCCTGAGTCTCGCCAGCTGGCATAGGCTTTGGTGCGATTCGGATCTCCTCGAAAGGGCGAGCGCTGCGACTAGGGGGTGGGTAACCAGTGCAGACTTTGTTGCTTCGAACACAGTTTGTGCAGGCTGGACGAGCCTCGTCACACTTGACTCTTCGTTGCCTGTACAAGGACCGGTGTAAGACTCTGGACACGATCGTGTCGAAGTGGCGAAGGGGTCAAGCGATGAGGGGGTGCGCGAGAGGGGGAGGGAGACGAACTTGCAGTTGGTACATCCTGTCTTCACCTTTGGCTTGCTGGTCCGAACACGTTTTGGCTTGAACTGTACGGGTGCTTTACCAGTTGATGATGTCTTGGTAGAGTCTGAAGAAGCTGCAGCGGGTCCAGAAGAAGAGGGCCCCGCTGAAGCAGTACTGGAGGCGATATTTGCGTCGCCGCTGGTGACAGGAGTAACTGGGTTACTAGAGGCGGGAGAGATGTTGCTGCTGCTGCTTTCTATATACGGATTATCTATTGTGTTGAAGCCGCCGAAGGTGGAGAGATCCAAAGAGTAACTTGAAGACGGCTGAGCCTCCAAAACAGGTGGAAGGGCCGGGGGGGCTGTGGTTGCTGATGTTGGAGTTCCAGTTCCAGTTGGGTTTGGGTTTCTCGACCCAGAGGAAGGCACAACCGGGGTCGGATTGATACCCCGATCTGAACCCGCTTCTGCATCTTCTTCTCCCTGTACCGCTTTCGCGGGTCGAGGCGATATGGATTCCTCTTTTATCCAGCTTTCGGCCATGGATTCAACAAACAGCTACTACCCGGCTGACAAGACTTTGATCAAAGTGTTGGTTCGAACACCTAGCTTCGGATCGCCGGTTTCCCCCCCACGACGATGGATAGCTCCAGGGCCCAGCACGTTTTCTAGCGCAACTCGTTTCGGCCGAGATGGCTGGGAGCCAGGGGTCAAGAGCGAATAGTCAGAAAGATGGCCAGGGGCATCTGTGACAGGGAAGATAAGATGGTGAAGGTGGAGGGAGTAAGATGAAGATGGGGGGGGCAGCCGAAGAGTGGGAAAAGAGACAGGTCAGGAGAGGGGAGAAGTGGAAGAAGTCTTCACCAAAGGAATAAAACAAGTCGATGGCTCAACACAGACAAGTACGGATACAAGCACAAGGGAAGCCGGCTCACGGGCGCCTCCAGCCCTTTCTATAGCTCTGCCGGGTCATGGAATCCCGGGGGCAGATCGAGCGTCACAAGCGCGATGGGGCCAATATCACTCCTCTGGCTTGAGTTGCCGCAGCGGCTGTCGGAGACGCCAGAACCAAACACGGGTTCGAGGCAGAGAAACAAGCAAGACATGAAAGCACCAGACCAGACCAAAGGAGCCTCCCCTAGCTAGGCGGGATAGGGCAGACACCAAGAGATGGCCGCGTTCTCCTCCTCGTTCTTCGCTGTTCGCTGTGGGGAGAGAGGAACAGCCCGGAGGATGGAAATGCAAGCAAGGCCCCCCCTTCCCCCTCCCCAGCGTCAGAAGGGTCAGTCAATCAAGCACAAGATGGATCATGGATCGTCGTGTGGATTCCTCTGGGCGCATCTCGCCTGCTCGCTATTCCCACCGTCAACCCAACCCACGCCGGGTCTGCCAAACTCGGAGTAGCATGGTCTGTGTAACCGTCACTAAGACGAGGGATGTGCGGCGAGACAGGCGAGACAGGCGCTGCAAGACGCATTGCTAGACGCAAGCAACAGCCAAGTTGTGCCACGGCGAGTGCTCGGAGCGCGTACACACCTCTGCAGGGTGTTTGGTGACCATGCTATAGGTAGTTGCCTACTAACCACAGTACTTGACTTTGTAGGCGCAGGGCCACACAACGAACCAGGATGGTTACTTGGAGAAAGCTGTGATGCCTTTCCGCATGGGGATGCCATGGGGTCGGATGAGTGGACGGATGGCATCCCGCCCATGGGACTGGGACGAGGACTGGAACCTTTTGACGGAGGCTCCCGTCTCCGTGCCCAGCATGTATGTAACTCAGCAGGAGAAGTCTCTCCTCCTCCACTTGGTAGCAGGCTAAGAGGCTGTGTCTGTCCATGTCTGTCCATGTCTGATGAGATCCATGGTGGATGGACATGCCTTCAGCGCATGTACCGCGCCCCGAGGCCGCTCTAGCGCATCTCGTTAGCGCGTGCTCGTCCATGGGCTGGGCTCCATTGTTCGCCCCGGGCCTCCTTGTTGGCTTCCATCGAGGAACCCCCTGGCTTGGAGCCCGCGCGGGTCAGCACTGACACTTGACAGGGGCGCTTGGTGCGTTGCGTTCCTAGTGTTGGTAGCACAAGGGGCAGAGGCGGCCATGACGGAGACGCTGGGCTGGGCTAATTAGGTAGGCCGAGCTGGACTTGGGGCTGGTCCATTGGAATCAGGAGGCGGCATGGACGCTGCTTTTGTTAGGGGCGCTGTTAGCGCAGTGGCGGCGGGGAGGGGGTGAGGGCGCTCTTTGACGTCTACACCAGAGGCAGCAAATACAAGACGGTGGTTCGTCAGTCAAGGTCGGGGCATTTATTTCAGTGTTTAGCTCTGAGACAATGACCAAGAGAATCATTCTTTTTCGAGTAAGCAACCATGTGCACTGATTAACTAACAGCGTAACTCTTGCGATCCAAGACCCAAAACTTGTTGGACTGGACTCTTCTCTTGTTCACCCTTTTTCCAGAGACGCATAGTCTCGGCCCCGAGATCCATCTTGGCAGACTTGGATGCCTCCGACATATCCCCGTCCGTTGAAGACTGTATGTTCTTTTTTTTTCCAGTTCGAGAAAGGTATCCTGCTCGGCGAATTCCAAGTTGGGACATCCATGGTATCCGTGGCCGTCTCCATTGGGGGGTTAATAGAACCCCCAGCGCGGCTACTGCCATGGGTACCTGGGTAGCTACGTAATCCCTCTCGAGCTGCAGTGGTGACGGCAGATGAACTTGCAGAATCTTTGTTTGTCTATGTCTACAACTCGCTGTGGAAGGATTCTCGTTGGTGGAGTCGTAGACCATAGCCGCCTGTTTTTCAGTCACCGACTGTTTCCAATGGATGCTTCAAACATCATTGCTTGGCTTGCTTGCTTCCTCGACGCAGGGACTTGGCGGGCTAGAACTGGACCTGAGACTACAGCCATGATCCTATGTACCAGGGCATCAACGGTCGAGAACGAACGTACGTACACCATCAGGCAGCAGAGATTCATCGAGCTAAGGAAGAGATTGTCCGGGTAGGATCTGACAAGGTCGATGAGCGAGTTCTTTTTTGAGCTCAGGCTTTCCAGATTTAGATGCGGGAGGAGCCCTACGGCAGAAAAGTGTGGCTGTCTTGGATCACATCCATCCCATCGATGCCGCCATCCACGTCCCATCTCCTCACTGCCAAGCCTCGAGGATGTGGCGGACAAGGTAGTTGTCGGATACAATCTCGTACCCGTATGTATCCCTTGCCTCCATTAAGGTACTGTAGTACTGTAGCTAGCCCTGCTGGGCAAAACCAGACGTCATGCTCTGTGTGGCTGCAGTCGCGCAAGCGTCTCGTGTCTCATCACAGCCATCCTGCCCCATCCTCCAGCTGCGCATGTATGCCACATGTATGTATGTATCTCAAAGTTGACGCGAGCGGTAAAGCACGGCAACTTCCACTGACGGGACGAGACTCTTCCTGTCGTGCTGCCAAGACGACATCTCCACTCTGCGTGTCCAGCCGTCGAATCCTCCCCCTCGTGGGTGGCCTGTAGGATCAAGGTCCAACGGGAAGGCTTATTAACCCGTCCCCGTTCTTTGGGCTTCCTTCCATTCATGCTTATTCGTGTTACGGGGAAGACCCCAACGTCACACACATCAAGGCATTGGCAGGATCTGTCTTTAACACAGTCTATCCGGAGATTACCGCAATCTCCATTCCTGCTACAGCTTCAGCCTTACGGCAATGAAGATCTTGGGGATGACGGCACCAACCAACAGCCAGACTAGATATGCCTCGCCGAAGCGGGACACACGGTCCGTCTTGGAAGCCGGGCCTTTCGATAGTTTGGGTGAACCCTTGACATGCCAGCCCTTCCCCCCCTCCACTCCACGTGTAGTTTGGTCGATCACGGACGCGCCCTGGGCCGTTGAGTTAGTTAGTTGTCGCCAGCGGCGTCTCTTTTGGATAATTATTTCGCTGCCGCGATCAATTGTCTTCCTATCGCCAATTAACACGAACGCCCCTCCTTTCCAATTTTACATGATCCTTGAACTGGGCCTCTGCCAAGTGCGACGGTCCAGAAGAGCTGCGCCGGCCTCCTCACATAAGTTCCTCACGAAGGAGCCAACATCAGGCGATGACGGGTTTCAGTCTCGGGGGTCCCCAGTGAACCCCTTGCGAATCCCACCGACGGCCCAGCCCTACGTAGGTGGCTAACCCTCGTCCCTACCTACAGCGAAGCCCTTCCGGAAGGGAGGGCCTGTCTTCCCGGCCGCCGTCGACAATGAGCTTGTTGAGATGGTGGAGTTCAGGGGTGGTGGGCTTGAGTAGTGTAGCGTGCTAACTATGCCATGTACGTATTGCGTAAAAACTTAACCGCGCTGGAATTGCCAAGGCCCTTGACGTCCCTGAGACTTGGCGGCTTTGCTGATCACGATAGTTACGGGTACGTGTGTCGAACTCCGCAAGGTTCAGCCCTTTCGGCCATGGTTCCAAACCATTCGGCTCCGAACAAATCGAGGCTAAGGATGGCGGCCGACAACGTTCGGTCCAGGCAGAAACATACAGGGGAATTGCTTAAGCGAATGCGAACAACCCTAGACCGTATGTGGGTAAAGATGTGTTATTAGTTCTCCCTTTTGGAGATGCCCTTGTCATGTAGTCTCAGGCGTAGCTAGCTTCACAAGTCATGTCGAGACCAAATCCTCTTGGTTCCACTTGGAGATTCAATATCCAAGCTGAACAACAGCTTCAAAGGGCACAGTTCGTATTGTTCAAACGCGCGTCCTCTAGGCAACTACACAACATCATTCGTGACACGTTGCTGCAGATAGCATGCACAGCAGAGGAACTCGTGGTCCAAGAGCCCAGCTGTCATGTCAAATCCATATCGACTAGCAGGCATCATCCGCCTCAGCCGCCCAACAGCGAAATGAACGGACGCATAGCCGGGCCAGCTGTCCCGTTCCGGAAATGCCGTCCGCCTGTCCCCCGTCCCGTCAACCAGCTGTCAGAGTTGGACATGTCGTTCCCTTCCCTTCCCCGGCAGCTTGGTTCGGCAGTCTACTGCCCTGAGTCCAAAGATAGAGGCGCCACGTGCCGGCTGAAACCGTCAGAGCGTTGCCGTAACAGCATGTGTGTGTCCGTCATTGCGGGGGGTGATGATCGGAGCTGCAGTAGGATACAGTCGTCCCGGGTTGCTGGGATGGTGTTTGATTGATCCGTTCACGAGGTTGGTGTTCTAGATCTCACCGGAAGGATCGTAGGAAGCGCGCCGTTGCCGTTATGCTTACGTGCTAATACCCTTAGTCTTTACTGCCGGATGAGAGGGGGGCTGAAGGCTAGGCGAACATGTTTGTCTACGAAGGAGTGCGCTAAATGAGTGTGGTTCTCATTCATCAATGACATGACGACTAGTCGTCTGAGACGTATGTCATAGAAGCTTTCGGACCAGTATCTCGAAACAGCTCACAATGCTACCAAAGAGTACCCCTGGCTAGCATACAGACAAAAATTCCTCTGAATCAGAACATAGATTATGAGTTTTCAAATTCGACACGAAATACCCTGGCTCAAGGACGACAGGCGAGACATGTTGGAGCGAGGAGCGAAGAGCGAAAAGCGAGCATACCACTTACCCTAGAGCTAGAAACAGTACTTCTGGTCGCACTAAAGATGGTAGAGGCCAAAAGTATCCTCAAAATCAACATTCTGACCAACCAGATGACGCTGACCCGCAAAAAAAGTTGTCCGGATTGCACATCGACGCATCTTCAACTCCATATCGAAACTGCGACGACGTGAATAGACGCCAATATTCCCGCTCTGATCGTCGCCAGAGGAACCGTCTAAGCTCAATTCGAACCACACAGATCGTCGATACCAGATTCGATTGACTTGCCCACCATGTCGCAAGATCAGGCCCAAACACAGCCCCCGCTGCCCCCACGCAACGAATTCATCCACAACTCTGCTATTGCCGGAGTCATCATCGCACCCCTCGCCATGCTTCTCCCGCCGCGAAAGGTGGATTTTCGGTTCATGATCCTCGCCGGTGCCTTCTCTATCGCCTCGAACCAGCTCGCATACGAGTATACTGGCTCATCAATCTACTCCCGCTTTAGCAACCGCATGGGCTCACTCGTCGGGACCGATCTGCCTGAGGGTGCGAAGCGAACACAACAGCTCCTCCGAGAGCACCGCGAGAGAGAAGCGGCAGAGAAGCGCAAGGCTGAACAGGCACAAGAAGATGAGAAAACGGGCGTGGCTAAGAAGCTCAACGACGTGTGGATGGGAGGTGAGGACAAGGATTGGCGGGAGAAGCGGGCAGAGGAGCATCGACAGAAGTTTGAGGAGGGCAAAGGCATCGGCGATATCATCATGGAGCAGGTTGCAGACGTCTGGAGCGGCAACTGGGGCAAGAGTGTCAAGAAGCAGGACGGCGAGGCAAGCGACGACGCCTCGCCAACAGAGAAGAAGTGATGGCATGGTGATTCACGATTTTGAAGAGGGACGGCATCGAGAGATGCCCTGTGTACAAAAGCTACCTGTACTATATCACGACAATGAAGTAAAAATGGGCGACAAAGGCCAGATTTTGGCATACGCGACAATGAGATATTTAGGGACATACCCAGAGGAACATTGGCTATGCACGAAATACATGGCCTGTATTATAGCACACCAACCTGGCATGGATTTGATCCATGTTTATGATTATACACCACTGTAAGAATTAAATGAATACCTAGTTCAGAAAAGACTACAGCAACAATTCTGGAGGGGATTCTAGCTTTCAGCCTGGCTCCCTAGGAAATGAGGATAGTGTAGGAATCTCACTCGAAGGCTGCCCTCTTCTCCCCAAAGAGCGCCATTATATAGCTTTCTAAAATGTCAAGAATCTGCCGAGGATAGGTTCATGGATATGCTATATATCCAAGTTGGTATACTCTGCACCTAATATCCACTCCTGGTATCACCACTCGCCCAAACTGAAGTGTGTGATTTCTGACACTGGGCGCCCAAGCAAACTCAACTCATCTCACGTTAGGAACATACCTAGAGGACCATTGGCTATGTACGAGATACATGGCCTGTATTATAACACACTATATTGGCATTTGATACATGTTCGTGGCTGCTATACTGGCGTATGAATTAAATGGATGGTTCAGAAAAGACTCGGCCACAGCGATGCTCGGAGGGAATTCTAGCTTCCACCTAGGCTAGGAAATGAAGATGGTAGGAACTCACTTGAGATTGCCCTCTCCTACTCGAAAGTGCGTCACACATGTAAGCTTTTCGTAATGAAGATAACCAGCCGAGGATGGGTTCATGCTCATGGTATACATTTGAACTGATGTCCCCCTACCCAACGTCCATCACCACTCACCTAAGTACCCGTGGATCGAAGTGTGTGATTTTTGACACTAGCAAGCAGACTCAACCACCTCATCTTCTCATGGGACAGCATTCGCTATGCTGTAAGCTGCGGGAATACACACCGAATCGGCCGGTTTCGGACGCAGTAATGGAACTTGGGTATACTGCCCGCTTATGAGTGAGATGACTTACAGCGCATGCCAAGGGAGCTGCTGACAGCACAGCACAACTAGCACGTTCGATGCTCAAGAAGAATACCACTCAGTTCGTCAATGATTATCCGTCATGATAATAAATGCCAAGGTCGGATCCAAGCCCAAAGGGCGGTTACAACGGCACCTTAGGGCAAAATGTCCGTGAGGTTCCACCAGGGGCATAGAATACGGGGCAGTATTCGTCACCAGATTGTGGCTGGCTTTGAACGTCAGCTTCATCTCAGCCACCCCGACGCCGAATAGCCCCATTTACAGAATGAATAGCCTGCGATCGAGAAGAAGCCAGAGCCTGGTTCTGCTAGGGCTGGTATGTGATGAGAAATCAGCGCGACAAGAAGTCAAATTTGAAGCTGTTGGTTAGTTCACCGCCAACATGAAACACGCTGGTCGCAGGATGAGGAGGTGTGATGCAGCATTTGGTGTTGGCTGCATGTGCACTCAGACTCTGTGAGCAACTTTATCGATGGGTATTTATTTGATACCCTCTTGTCTATTCAACTCCCAAAACAGTTGGAACGGCCGTGGCTAAAGGCAGTTTCTGCCCATGACTCGAATCTTGATCATGATCAAAGCGCAGACCGAAGAAGAGCAGAGTGCAAGGCTCAAGTCACGGAACCCGAGGCTGTTCATCATCGCCACGGGATGACCAAGCTACAGTTGGTGTTCTAAATCAGGAACATGGTGCACTAGGGAAGTGTCATGAGAGGCTCAACACACCTGAGAATGCCCTACAGGCGACTACAGTCCCGGGCGATCGTCTTGGCTACAAGGGTTACAGCGCAGCTGGACGGGTTCTGGGCTCCATCCTGTCAGCACAGCCCCGGCACTGTACGTCACTGCACTGCGCCGTGAGTTGTTTCGTCATGGTACAAACAGCTGCTTTGTCGGTGTTGATGTGTGTTGGGGATAAAGAAGGGGTTACCTAAGGTCCATCGCAGCGACCACATCCATTGTTTATCCTTCTCGTTTCCCCTCTCCCTCTTTCTCCCACCATCAACACACTCGCTTTGTTTTTCTAGGACCATCTCTCGTTTGCGACTGCAGAACGTGCAACGGCTCCATCCATCCAAAACGTCCCTTGGCCCGCTATTCCAACGCTTGTCAGCGTCGATCCGTCGAATCAGAACCCCCAGACAGACCCTGAGGTGCCTTGGTTTGGGGTCTGCGCCTCCACGCAATCTAGCTCCACGACCCGACGTACCTCGCGCGCTACGTGCCAGCGTACCCTTGGAAGAGCGCCTTGAATAGATCCAGCCACCGAGCTTCGGAATTTTTCTTTCTCATTCAACTTCTTCAACATTCAACTTGCCAGAAATTTCTGAGTATTTTCGACATCTCCATCGACTTCATCGACGCGCCGCGAGACGCCAAACTGCTTAGCGACGCCATCTTGGCCCTGGCTCTGGTCCTACTCTGAAACCGCTTGTGGCAGCTGCCTCCTTTCTTTGCCGCCTAGCGGCTGACTTCTCGACTATCTACGCAACTTGGTCTTCTTCATCACCATGGCCGCTCAGGAATACTACAGTTCAGGCGGCCGTCCACAGCCTCCCTACGGCGCCGAATCGAACTCATCACCTTACTACCAATCCCACGATACTCCTTCACCTGGGTCGACACCAGCACCGCCGTACCAGGCCGCGTACTCGGCACCGCCCGATACTTCAATTTACCCTGCCGAAACTGCAGGTCACGTCCCGACCTCGAAACCGGCCCCTTACTCACCCAGCGATATATCGTACACACCGGCAACCGCGTACGCTGCTCCTGGGCAAAGTTCGAGCTCACGACCTCAAGGTCAAGGTCAAACAGAACAGTCTCCATTTGACACCGTCTTTGACGACAACGCCTATCCGATGAACACAAACTCGCGACCGACGCCTTCCTCTAGCACAGGCGACATTGGCCAGCATGGTTTTTATCAGGACACGAGTTATCACGGCGGACCCGACCAGACTCAGGGACATGGACAAGGACAGGAGGCCATCCCGCTCCAAGATCGACCTGGAAAGGATGTTGATCCTGAGATGAATGACCACATCTATGATGCCCCTGGACGGAGCAGAAAGGGCAAGAAGGGCAAGGTTCGCCTGGGCGAGTTGGGAATGCTGGGCGCAAACAATAAGAGAATTCCTTGGGTCGTCTACATCTTTTCTGTGGTCCAGATCGCAGTCTTCATCGCCTGCATCGCCAGGAACGGTAAGTGCCCGCAACATTCCACGCGTTATGATTCTTGACTAAACAGCTGCAGGTGTACTAACTGGGTCTCCCATTGCGACCAAGCCCGATTTCAACATCTTCATCGGTCCCTCATATCCAGTCCTCATCAACATGGGAGCTCGATTTGCCCCCTGTATGCACAACGTCAAGGGCATCCAAGACCGAGACATGATCAAAACCTCGAGCGGCCTGTCGGACCCTGTTGTTTTCATGTGCCCAAATGCCACTAAGAATGACACTCTCTGCTCTCTCAAGACAGTCTGCGGCTTTGGTGGAACTGTCCCGAACCCCAAGTTTAACGGTGACATCGATCAGAGCCCACAGCCAAACCAGTGGTTCCGATTCATTACCTCCATCTTCCTCCACGCCGGTGTGGTTCATATTCTCTTCAACCTCCTGGTACAGCTCACCATCGGAAAGGACATGGAGAGGGCTATTGGACCTGTTCGATTCTTGCTGGTCTACATCAGTGCTGGAATCTTTGGCAATATCATGGGAGGAAACTACGCACCACCCGGCTACGCGTCTATGGGTGCTTCCGGCGCCATCTTTGGCATCATTGCCTTGACCCTTCTCGATCTTCTTTACTCTTGGAAGGATAGGAAGAGCCCGGTCAAGGATCTCCTTTTCATCTTCCTCGATATGGCGATCGCTTTTGTTTTGGGACTCTTGCCCGGTCTGGACAACTTTGCTCATATTGGTGGTTTCTTGATGGGCCTCTCCCTCGGCGTCTGTGTTCTCCATTCTCCCAACTCACTGCGAAGACGGATAGGCCAGGATCTTTCCTACTCAGCAGTGTCACCCAGCACTGGCGAGACGCCAGCCCCCTTCTTTAAGAATCCCGTCGGTTTTTTCAAGGGACGAAAGCCTCTTTGGTGGGCTTGGTGGTTGATTCGTGCTGGATTTCTGGTCATGATCATCGTCGTTTTCATCGTTCTCCTCAACCGATTTTACACCAGCCACGAGGTTTGCAAGTGGTGCAAGCACATTAACTGTCTGGTAAGTTGCAGTTCTATCCGACTAAAGACTATTCATTTGCTAACTTTGTGTGTAGCCCGTGAAGGACTGGTGTGAGTTGGGAAACTACGATGACCCGAAATAAGCTGTTAGAGCGTTGGATATGCAACATGGCATTCTCAGCACCCATTCCTTTGCTATTTGGATGCGGTTTATAGAAAGTTTTGGAAAAGGGCGTGCTGGCTGAGCTATCAACAAGGGAATGAATATCACGCATTGCACAGCACCGGCGTTGTCATTGCAGTTTACTTTTGAGAGAGCTGTTAGAATATCAGACGAGGCCAGGTCTTCTTTTCGAGTTTGTTTTACGAAGTCATGATTCGTACAGTTCAGGGGATGCAACCAGTCACATTTGATCGGTGGTTTTCGGGACGGTGTTTGGGGTCAAGCTGCCATCGTCCAGTCGACCTGCAGTGGACGGGAAGAAGGATCAGGTACTTTCTCAGCCCGCTCGGGTCTCGACATGGATATGGGACATGGGTTGGGGATTTCATTACATGAGAATGCAGCTCTTGGCCCTCGCTGGGCTCAACAAACACGACGCAGAGGTCATGCGATACCCCGCAGGCTGTTGGCTGTATGACTAAAGAGTCACTCTACATTAATATCTAGTTACTTGGCGGTAGTATAAATGGCGTTTCTTGCCTCCTATTTCGTGTCCCTGCCCGTGATTCTCTCATCTCCTCGGTATGCTTTTGAAGCGACTGAGTAACTACTATGTCTATCTCTGCTATTTGATGCTCTACTCACCGGCAAGTAAGTCTAGATCTTGTTGTTTTACCGTTTCGTTATTTCATGATGAATCTTCTTTTATGCATGGCTTAGCTGAATGTCCCGAGAGGGATGACGGATGCTTTTAGAATGGATGTCTGAATGTCTTGTTTCTTCCAATTTGACGAAAACTGAAATCGAAGTTTCGATGGCATGGTGAAGCTGACTCGTCTGTGCAGATGTGAAACGAGGGCAAATGCATGATCTTGGACACATTGAGTGGCTTACTAGGTAGGTTTTTCTGGTAGGTAATGTGCGGTGAGAGGTTTAAGCCATGCCCCGAATAAGTAGGTGGATTTTGAATAGTTTCGTAATTTTATTGAGAATTTGAAGCCAAATGTTTATTTTCATCCCTTCAATGTCGTCTCTTGGAATTCATGTCGTCGTCCTGTTTGAACTACCCCAGATTCTGATGGGCCCCTCCAAGTGGTGCCTCATCAGGGTCCTCAGCTGAGATTCATACCTCAGGCCTTGAGAAAAAAACGCCAAGTCACGTGAAGTTCCCGACACGACCAAGGTGGGGCAAGTCACGTCACGCCCTTTTGGCAGTCGCGTTGACGCGGTTTTGGGAGCTCGTAATCAATTAAAGTCGTGTCGTCGATTTCAAACCTAGAATCTGCATTGCCCCGTCCAACCGCTCAACGTCAACAAAGAAAGACGAGGGGATCAAATCTCGGGAACATCAATCACTCTCTACCACACCCGATTTTGATGAAGCTGTGAATATTGAATCCATTTCCACTTTCTTTGCCTTCCTTTTTCTTCACTCTTGCTTTCTCCCCCCTTTGATACCGCTCATCACCGTCCGTTGCCACCATGGCAAGCGCTGTCCTCCCCCAGAAGCGGGTGCTGGGTGAGACCCTCACTCGTCAGAATATCCCATCTTCCCCTTCATCGATCAAGAAGCGCAAGGTCGATGCCTTCCAGTCCTCGCCGGCCGCCGCCAGAGCCCCCAGCTCGCAGAACGACCCCCGATCAAAGATGAACTCGAGCCAGCCCAAGAGTGCCTTCGAGTCTGAAGTTCTCGAGAAGCTGAGCCAAGACTTGTCAGACCGGAAAAAGAACAACACAGAAAAAGATCAGGCATGGGAGCGACCGCCTGTCGTCGACTTCGAGCCTGAGCGAGACAGTCTCTGTTTCCAGTCTATTGAGGCTGAAGAGGGGACATTGCACGGCGGAAGGGCAACCGTCAAGCTCTTTGGTGTCAACGAAGCCGGCAACTCGGTAATGCTGCACGTCACCGATTTCAAGCACTACCTGTATGTTCCTGCCCCTGTCAATTTCCAACCGCAAGATTGCGCCGCCTTCAAGGCGTATTTGGAGACACAGGTGGCTCAGCACCAGCCGACCATCCATTCGGTTGCCTTTGCCATGAGAGAAAGTATCTACGGATTCCAGGGAAACCAGTCCAAGCCATACCTCAAGGTCACGGTGACGGATCCCAAGTTCATTAACAAGGTTCGATCAACCATCCAGCATGGCAATGCCAATTGGAAGCGCATGTGGAAGAACGACGGCGAGATCCAGACTTTCGACAACATCCAATATGTGCTACGATTCATGGTGGATTGCAAGGTAAGCGGATTCACAGCGTTGGCGAAAAATACATACTGATACTTTAGCAGGTCCGAGGAATGTCATGGGTGGAAGCCCCGGCAAAGACCTTCCAGCTCCTTCCCGAGAACCTTCGCCAATCCAACTGTCAGATCGAGGCTGAAGTGAGCTATCTCGACCTCATTGCTCACGAGCCGGTCGGTGAATGGTCCAAGATGGCCCCCCTGCGAATCCTGTCCTTCGATATTGAGTGTGCTGGCCGAAAGGGTATCTTCCCTGAAGCACAACACGACCCCGTCATCCAGATCGCCAACATTGTGACGAAATACGGAGAGAAGAAGCCCTTTGTTCGAAACGTGTTTTGTCTCCAAGAGACGAGTTCCATTGTTGCAACTCAGATTCTCGAGTTCGAGAAAGAGGAGAAGATGCTCAGCGAATGGCAAAAGTTCTTGATCACGACGGACCCTGATATCATTACCGGCTACAACATCTCGAACTTCGATTTCCCCTACCTTCTGGATCGAGCAAGACATCTCAAGGTCAGCGGCTTTGAGTACTGGACTCGAATCCCGAGCGTGGCGTCCAAGGCCAAGGAAACCAACTTTTCGAGCAAGCAAATGGGCAACAGAGACACGAAAGCCACCAACACCAACGGTCGACTTCAGCTGGATATGTTGCAACTGATCCAGCGAGATCACCACCTCCGAAGTTACACCCTGAACTCGGTATGTGCCAATTTCTTGGGCGAGCAGAAGGAGGATGTCCATCATACAATGATTACTGAGCTTTTCAACGGTACCCCCGAATCGAGACGGCGTCTTGCGCTGTACTGCTTGAAGGATGCCTATCTCCCACAAAGGTTGATGGACAAACTCTCGTGTCTGGAAAACTATACCGAAATGGCGAGAGTCACGGGTGTGCCGTTCAACTTCTTGCTATCTCGTGGTCAGCAAATCAAGTTCATCAGTCAGCTGTTCCGAAAGGCTCTGGAGCAGAAGCTCGTCATCCCCAACCTCAAATCTGAAGTGTCTGATGAGCAGTACGAAGGAGCCACAGTTATTGAGCCTACCAGAGGCTATTACGACGTTCCGATCGCCACACTGGATTTCGCTTCTCTGTACCCCAGTATCATGCAAGCTCACAACCTTTGCTACACCACCTTGGTGAGCAAGAAGGCGATTGAAGCGTTTGGTCTCCAGAAGGACGAGGACTACATCGTCACGCCAAACGGCGACACCTTTGTAACGGTGAAGCAACGCAAGGGTTTGCTGGCGCAAATTCTCGAGGAATTGCTTGCTGCCCGAAAACAGGCCAAGCGCGAATTGGCGGTTGAGAAGGATCCCTTCAAGAAGGCTGTGTTGAACGGTCGCCAGCTGGCTCTGAAGATCAGCGCAAACAGTGTGTACGGCTTGACAGGTGCGACAACAGGAAAGCTCCCCTGCCTGGAGATTGCCAGTAGCACAACGAGTTTTGGTCGCAAGATGATTGAGAAGACCAAGGAGGAGGTTGAAAACCGATACAACATCGCCAACGGTTACTCGCACGACGCTCAGGTTATTTACGGTGATACGGATTCGGTCATGATCAAGTTCGGCACCAAGGACCTGAAGGAAGCCATGAAGCTCGGCGAGGAGGCGTCGAAATACGTGTCGGACAAGTTTGTGAAGCCCATCAAGCTTGAGTTCGAGAAGGTGTACTTCCCATACCTGCTCATCAACAAGAAGCGTTATGCAGGTCTGTACTGGACGAAGCCGGAGAAGTACGACAAGATGGACACCAAGGGTATCGAGACGGTCCGACGTGACAACTGTCTGCTGGTGCAGACGGTGATTGAGAAGGTGCTGCGAATGATTCTGATCGACCAGGACGTCCAAGGTGCACAAGAGTAAGTTGTCACCCCTCCCCCTCCTCCGATCTGGGCTCCGAGATGGGTTAAGGTTATCACGGAGGTATCAAACTGCGCGGGGCTAAAGCGGGATGCTAACGGAGAGATTATCTAGATATGTCAAGGAGACGATTGCGGATCTGCTGCAAAATAAAGTCGACATGTCGAAATTGGTCATTACCAAAGCGCTCACAAAGGACGATTATGCAGCAAAACAGGCCCACGTCGAGCTGGCTCAGCGCATGAAGAAGCGCGACGCTGGCTCGGCCCCGGGACTCGGTGACCGAGTGGCCTACGTCATGGTCCGAGGCGCCGCCGGCGCCAAGAACTTCGAGAAATCGGAGGACCCCATCTACGTGCTGGAACACAATGTGCCGATAGATACGCGCTACTATCTGGACAACCAACTGGCCAAGCCACTGGGCCGTATCTTTGAGCCGATTCTCGGGGAGACTAAGGCACGCTCGCTTCTGACGGGAGACCATACACGCACCATCTCGGTTGCGGCTCCTACCGTCGGTGGCCTCATGAAGTTTGCAAAGAAGACGCAGACCTGCATGGGCTGCAAGAAACCTCTGACAGGCAAGGAGGAGGCTCAGGGAGCGGTGTGCTCTAACTGCGCGCCTCGCGTGGGAGAGCTCTATAATAAGACGCTTGATCGAGTTTCGGACCTCGAGGTGCGTTTTGGGCGACTGTGGACCCAGTGCCAGCGCTGCCAGGGCAGTATGCACTGCGAGGTTATCTGCAGCAGCAAAGATTGCCCTATCTTTTACATGCGCATGAAGGCCAAGAAGGACCTGGAGGACGCGGGCCGTGAATTGTCTCGCTTCGATGCCGACCAAGCAGCCATCTGGTAACGGCTGTAAAGGAAGACGTGTGGGAGAAGGGAGTAATGATGTTGAGATTCGCGACGGGGAGGGGGATCTCTCTCTCCTCGTCCGTGTCGAGCTACCCCTTGTTTGATCTTTCTTTCTGTGGTTTTACTATACGGATATAAGCAGTTGTGGGGGAAAAGAGTGACTGGCAGAGAGGGATCTGTCGAGCCGGGCGGCAAGACGAGGCCATGGGCGGGGATACGAAATGAAAGAGAAAGCTGCTGGGACAGGCGCAGGTGGATGGACGGATGGTACGCGCCCAGGTACAAGCATATTGATTAGGCGCAGGCGCAGGCATCGTGTTTTGATTTTGTTGTCGTTGAATGTACGTAAGGCGTTTCCGGAGGCTCGGGGCCGGGGCGGGATTGGAGCTGGACCAGGGCCCAACGTCATTGCAGATATCACCACATTTTTTATTAGTTTTATCTGTAGTATAGAGAACACAAGAGTGGCATTGCATTGTACGTTTTGGGCCTCGATGAAGGATTCTATGACAGACAGAATGGAACATTGAGATATTACGAGGAACTACGAGTTTCGTCAGTAGTGGCGTAATCTTGGCACTATCCCGTCAAGATATTGCATGTTGTTGAAGCAATGGTGGAAACATTCATGATGCAGCTGTGGAAACATATCGTGAGCATTGGTGGAAGCATTCTGGAAGCGTATGCTTGCAAAGTAGTCGGTCACAAACGGGCCAGCAAGGGGGAACGTCTGTGTGTCCCGGACGGTGAGAGGTGAGGAGGTGAAGACAGGAGAAAAGTGGCACGATGTCCATGAAGTCGGGTGCTTTCCAAGGGCTTCCCAATGCCTGTCTCCTTGAAAGATCGCCGGTCGAGGCCTCTGGGGTGTTGATGCGGCGTCTCGAGTGGTCGGGCACAAAAGACATGAAGGTCTGAACTCGGGAGAGGAGACCCCGGCCGTGGGCAGACCGACGGTGAAGCGTGAGGCGGTATAAACGCAGAGCAAATGAGGCACCGTTTTGAGAGACGAGAATATCTCGGAAAACAGAGGAACAAGACGGAAAGAGTCGGAATCAGGGGTTTAGCCGGGATTATTTTCCAGAGCCCCAGGTCGTGCAAGGGCCTCAGGGCATGTCAAGGATGAGAGCCCAGGGGGGCGTGTAAGATGGTGGGTAAGATGCAGTGATGGGTGTTCGGGGATGGGATGCGAGACATCCGAAGGGTGGTCTGGGTAAAAGAAAAGAGCGAGATCCATGGGAAAAGCACATTCATGATGGTGGTCGAATTTGCGGAATCGGGGGATTGCCGATGCCCTCCCTGGTGGTTGGTGGTCGGTTGTCGAGTCCGGGGTGTCGACTAACACCCGGAGGAGATCCGAGGGCTTTAGGCGAGAACAACGAGATGCTGCCTGCGAGTGTGAGGGTGGCACATCGATAATCACAAGCTGAAATTGTTGGAGGGCGCTGAAAAAAAGAGTGAAAAAGTTGTCGGCCGATTATCTACCGTAGCGCAGATTCTTTCCTCTGTGGACTTCAATGTCCGGACGAGCGCTCCAACGGAGCTGCGAGAACGGAAACGGTGGCCAGCCATGCTTTAGCCTCGGCCGACGAACTCAGTGGGAGCGAGAGAGCCGCCTAAAGGTGGAATTGCCTCACGGTGCACAACGCCCGAGAGGACGGAAGAAAGCGCCGGAGGTGAAACGTAGCGTGCGGACTCCAATCGGACCGGGGAATCGTTGACAATTGACAACTATTCATGACTGTTACGGCAACGAGTCACGGACAAGAGAGCGTCGCAAGCGTCAGGGTCAGACTCGGAGAGCAGGGTCTTGGTTTCTCCCCCGGATTCATTTCATCCTGGCACCCCGCTGAGGGGACAAGAGGGGGATGAGAGGAGAGGCGAAAAAAGGCCGGTCACGGCGGCGGGTTGTGCCCAGCAGGCATGAATCGAAACGGACCAATCCGTTGTTCGGGAAGGCTTCGGTAGCATCTGGTGGCCTGCCTTGCTCTATCGAGTTTTGAGGTGTTTGATAGTTGTCTTTACCGTTATAGGTCAAAGAGAGCGCCAGAGGCAGCTGTCATTGGTTGGCTGTTAAGGTTGATGGCAATTGATTCTTCAAACCAGTTGGCAAGGCGGCCAATGAGCGTGCTCTGATAGTATCTGGTCTAAGGGTCTGGGGAGGAGTGCCCAGAATGCGCGTCGATGGGGCCACGGAGCTAGGGCCGTGAGGCTTGGGATGCTTGAGTTGCCCGGGGTTTTTGCTGTCTGCGGGAAGATGGAGGCGGTCGCCGAGCTTGGCAGGCTAAGGTGAGGCATCGTAATACTAACGACGTCGGTGGAATCTGGCCGAGGCCGGACATGATTCGATGCGCGGTATCCGTGCATCAAGGCACACATGGAGACCTCACTCGGTAGGTCCCAAAGAAGGCGGCTTTCCCCAGTGGCACGTCAGGGCCCGCACAGCGACATCAGTTACTGCAGGTTCGCATGGGAGCCGGGGGGCCCAGGGTAGCAGTAGCAGATGCAGACGCAGACGGGATTCCCGCGTGCTGCGCGGCCTCTGATTCGGTGGCACAGATATTTTATTTCCTTTCTGGGCTGTTCAGTCAAAGTTTGGGTTGAGAATTGGTAATAGATTGTTGATTTGGGGCTTGTCGGGTTTGATCCCCAGCTCAGCCCCATGCTAAGTCCTGCGTTCTTGTTCGGGTTTGATGGAGGCGGGCGTGTCTTGGGCGGCTGTTGTGGCGGCGGGAGACGAGGTTGTGTGAGGTAGATGCCTGTAAGCCCTCAACGGCGGGTAGACAGGCAGATGGTCGATGCACTTGGGGAGGACGACCGGGGGCATGCTGAGATTCACTCGCTACTGAGCCTCGAACGCGGGATGTCGTGATGATCTGGAGTAGTGTGGGGTGTTTGTTGGCTGAGGAGGCAACGTCTCTTCCCCAGAACAGAAGCAGGAAGAGCGTCAGCCCAGCTCATACGTGCGCCAGAGCCAAAGCCAGAGCCAGCTGAAGTGTATCAGTATCGATGATTGATGACGATGATTTCAATGACCCAAGAGGCGGCGATAAGATGTGCATACCCCCACCACGCGAGCACCAGCGCGGCAGCGGCAAGCGTGGAGTGCACGCAAGGGTGGAGAAGGGGCTAGGAGCCAGTTGCCATCCGATGGACGGGGATCTTGATATTAGCTGGGATAATGAACGTTGGCTAATGAGAAACGGATCATGATGAATGAATGGCCAGAGCCTCGCCGAGGGCCAGATACTGTCTTGAGCGACAATGTTGGATGCTGGGATCATCGCTTTAGAAGGGATGTTCCGGATGAGAAGTGATACGACTCGGAGTTGCGGCTACAGCTGCTGTGCTTACCTACAGTATTGCTTGTACCTTCCATAACTTCTTGTCTGCCTACTGTACACACACTGTACCTGCCTCGTGGAGCAGAGATTGACAACGGAGAGGCAGGAGGGATGGACCAACGTTTCCGAGCGAGTTTCGGAGCAAGCAGGACCGATGCAGACTTGCGATGGCGGCGGCCGAGAAGCAGAGATGAGCGCAAACGCAGGTTGGAAGTAAAAGGTTGCCCAAAGTTTGGTGGGGTTGTCTACAGTACCACGCCCACCCCCAGCCAGGCACACCCCCAAAGCAACGATGAAGCGCTCCTTCCACCCAGGCACTGGGTAAGGTAGCAAAGTAACTCATACCGAGACAGCCTAGCGTACCTGCCATGGATGGTGCATGGCTGCAATGCCCGAGTTAGGCACGACTTTTTTTTCTACTGGAGCGTGGGCAGGGACCAGAAGAGGGCGCGGACTGCAGGCCCGAACCATGGCGCACTTGCCAATTCTTTCTCGCTGACCTGAAGCTTTCATGTCACCGCCAACAACAAAGTGGTCTGTTTGGTCCCCTTCACATCCCGTCCGCCTATCCATGCCATCTATGGCCTGGGCCGCAACCAGACGACACTGAACGAGAGACGTCAACCCAGGGAATAGAGGGCCGAGTACGGGGGAAGACCCCGGGAGGTGAAGGGGGGGCGTGTCTCTGGGGTTTATCGGGAACAAGACAGAGCCCAGAGATTAGGAGCGCCACACAACGAGATGGGATACAGTAATGGCACTTTGTCTTGCGCAACGCAGGAGTGGAGTGAGTGTTTTTCTGCCACTGACTATCCTATCCTATCCAATCCAATCCAGTCAGGGCTCGCCGTTGGCAGAGTAAGCTTCCTTGTCGCATGTCGTATGCCTCTCCAGAGGTTAATCGGATGCGGATGCGGCTTGGGGCTTGCGGGTTGGGATGGAGCCCCATGGAGCCATCGACAACAGGAGGGAGGCTTGGAGATCTCTCCCCATCCGTTGTCCTCTCCAAGCATATAAACCTCGACTCCCGTCCTCCTCCAGTCGAACCTTCTTACTCTCCATCTCCAGCTCCGGCATCAGACAGCTTCTTGGTTCTTATCTCGATCACCTCCCGCCATCTTTGAACCTTTCATCACGACTCGACTTTAAAGCCGACCTCCTCCACCACTTATCCAGTACTTCTTCACACAACGCAAATGCAGCTGAACACCATGTCTCACCTTCCCTCCGAGCCCGAGTTCGAGCAGGCTTACCACGGTAAGCATTCCTGACACTATCCTATCAGTATCAATCCTAATCATCTATACAGAGCTTGCCTCTGCCCTTGAGGGCAGCTCCCTCTTCACCCAGCACCCCGAGTACCGCACCGCCCTCGCTGTCGCCGCCATCCCCGAGCGTGTCATCCAGTTCCGTGTCACCTGGAACGACGACCAGGGCAACCTCCAAGTCAACCGTGGTTACCGTGTGCAGTACAACGGTGCTCTTGGCCCCTACAAGGGTGGTCTTCGATTCCACCCCTCGGTCAACCTGTCCATGTAAGTTGATCATCACCAAGCTTCCTTGGCTGCATAGTTTACTGACACTCCCTTCAGCCTCAAGTTCCTCGGTTTCGAGCAGACATTCAAGAATGCCCTGACTGGCCGTAAGTAGCCAACCTTTACGCCTATCTAGGTAACCTGCAACGTTCCTGCATATACAGCGGGGCGATGGAGGCTTCCTAGATGGTGCCGAGCCAAAGACAAAGTTGCTAACAACCTTTCTAGTTAACATGGGTGGTGGCAAGGGTGGTGCCGACTTCGACCCCAAGGGCAAGTCTGATGCTGAGATCCGACGATTCTGCCAGGCCTTCATGACCGAGCTGTCCAAGCACATTGGTGGCGAGACTGATGTTCCCGCTGGTGATATTGGTGTCGGTGGCCGAGAGATTGGCTACCTGTTCGGTGCCTACCGCAAGCTTCGCAACCGCTGGGAGGGTGTCCTCACCGGTAAGGGTCTTACCTGGGGTGGCAGCTTGATCCGCCCTGAGGCTACCGGCTACGGTCTCATCTACTACGTCAACCACATGCTCGAGCACGCCAACCGTGGCACTTTCGAGGGCAAGCGCGTCGCCATCTCCGGTTCCGGTAACGTCGCCCAGTACGCTGCTCTCAAGGTTATCGAGCTCGGCGGCACTGTCGTCTCCCTCTCCGACTCTCGCGGTGCTCTCGTCGCCAAGGAGGGTTCTTTCACCCCTGAGCAGATCCACAACATTGCTGCTCTCAAGATCAAGCACGAGGCCCTGACTGCCTTTGAGCACGAGGGCAAGTTCACCTGGATCGAGGGTGCCCGCCCTTGGGTCCACGTTGGCAAGGTCGACATTGCCCTTCCTTGCGCCACCCAGAACGAGGTCAGCCCCGAGGAGGCTCAGGCCCTTGTTGAGGCCGGTGCTTTCATCGTCGCTGAGGGTTCCAACATGGGCTGCACTGCCGCTGCTATCGATGTCTTCGAGGCCCACCGCAAGGCCAACGGCGCCCAGGCTATCTGGTACGCTCCCGGCAAGGCCTCCAACTGTGGTGGTGTCGCCGTCTCCGGTCTTGAGATGGCCCAGAACAGCCAGCGCATCCAGTGGACTTCCGAGCAGGTTGACGAGCGCCTCAAGCTCATCATGAAGGACGCCTTCTTCGCCGGTCTCGAGACCGCTCAGAAGTACGTCGAGGCCAAGGAGGGCGAGCTCCCCAGCTTGATCGCTGGCAGCAACATCGCCGGCTTCATCAAGGTCGCCGAGGCCATGCACGACCAGGGTGACTGGTTCTAAGTGCAAGGCTTAAAAGAAAGCGGAGACGAGAGCGAGAGCCGCTGAGAGAGAGTCCTTGAGACCAAGCAGAAAGACCAACATACCCGAGCCGGCCTCACCAAAGGGTTTCTGGACCTCTCATCAACTCCTCTCACACCCAGTTTTTGACTTTTATGATCTGCACGGGAACGGTGTTGGACTACACTACACTACGCCTAGGTTCTGTAGGTTTCTTGTTCTTGGGAACTGTCTCGGGCATGCATTTGCGTAGGGCGTTGGCGGGGTTTCAAGAAAGGAATCCCTTGTTTTACTTGGTCTGGTTTTTGATAGACATGATTTTGGGTCTGTTACAATTCGCTTATTCCCCCTTTTTAGCCCATGATAGTACGAAGAATGAAAGACGTACCCTTTTCTAAAGATTGTGTGTTTTGCATCGTGAATATGCTTGATCCTCTTTGACATGCTTCACAGTTGCCTATATGGGCAACCTAAAATCTAGTCTAAAGTAAACCCTAAGGATAGCACGTGTTAAATCTAAGCTTGTTTAGACTTCATCAACGCCTTGTCGAAAAAAATATTCTGTGCTGATGTAGATAGCTCTGGTTGATACGTGCTATGGGCGAATCTGGAGATTATCTCTTAGGGTTAGGTTGGGTTGGGGGAACCAGCATGTTTGTTGGTTGGATCTCGTGTCGCATGCCTGGGTCCCTTGTAGCTTGCAAGGTGTGAATGCAACAAAAACTCAGCCGCAACCCATCTACCAGGGCGGCATCTCGGTGAAGGAGGGGAGGGGAGCACGTCAGCAATTCTAACACCACCATCTCGTGATATCTACTGTGGTTTCCGGAGCCCGGGGTATATGGTGAGGTGAGACTGGGGGTTCTCACCAATCCTTGACCGAGAGCGGGGATTTGGAGTGTGTGGTGTGCTTCTCTCAGCCTTGTCGGGGGCTTTTGGTCTTTTTCCTCGGTGAAGTGACGATTTCACCGTGGATGTACGTAATATCTTGGCCTGGTGGTGTTGATGCTGTTGGGAGGGTGATGAATGTGTAATACGGCGTTGGGGGTTAAGGGGTGCTTTTTCCTTGTCTGGATGCCCAATAAAGGGGGTAGAAAATCATGAGGTTTTTGGATGTTCTAGATCGGTCATTGGCCGAGAAATGCAGTAAGAGTCTCTCTTGGCGTAATGATGAGTGCATTTGCAGATGTTGAGAGTCTGATGTTGACAAATCATGAGATGGGGAATATATTGATGAAGTCTTGGCTAGATGCGGATACTGGTGGTTACAAGTGGCATTGAATTTCACATGCAAAAAAGCTTCCATCCTTCCTTTCTTCCTTTCTTTTTCTTTTCCCCCAACCCATCCACACCCCGAAATCCCTTGCTCCTTAGCAAGACGGCATGTCGTCAGGTTTTACCAGGGGAAGGATCCGTTTCAGCGGGTTCGTGGTGGCTTCAGGGGGGGGGGGGGGGGGGCTTGCACAAACCCCGCATTATTTTTAGGGCCCCACTCTTAGAAAGAGCAACTCTTTCTCTTTTTGGTATCCCCGGCCCGTGGATGTTGATCGGGCCCGGAGCTATCGACGGACCGTGGGACCTCGGCTTGTGATGGCATCGATCGCGGGGGATAACTTCAGCTGCTGGAGACTACATGGCGTTTGTGGAGATCTAGACATATATTCCATTGATGATTATGTGAGGGCAAAGACCAAATGCTACTTGACTTAGTGATTGGATTGATATCATACATTCAACTATAGTCTGTTCACCTCCAACATGGCTGGCCCTACTCCTCTACACGGCATCAAAGTCCTGGAGTTTGCCGGCCTCGCCCCAGGTAAGTCTACCAAACACACAAAATCAATGACCAACTAACATCCCCAAGGTCCCTTTGCCGGCATGCTCCTCGCCGACGCCGGCGCCTCAGTCCTCCGCATCGATCGGGCTCAGGGCACATCAGCCCGCGCCGTCCCGACAGAGGACATGCTCGCCCGGCACAAGACCTCCATCACCGTGGATCTCAAGTCTCCGCGTGGTGTTGCCCTCGTCAAGCGCCTCGCTTCAAAGGCCGACGTGATCATTGATCCGTTCCGCCCAGGTGTTCTTGAGAAGCTCGGTCTTGGACCTGATGAACTCTGCGCCCTGAACCCGAGGTTGATCTATGGCCGCATGACTGGATTTCGTCGAGATGGGAAGTATGCCCTCATGGCCGGCCACGACATCAACTATCTCGCCGTCTCGGGCGTTTTGGGCATGCTAGGTCGTGAGGGGGAGAAGCCACATCCGCCGTGGAACATCCTGGCCGACTTTGCCGGCGGTGGCGCAGTGTTGTTCCAAGGAGTGTTAATGGCTATCATTGCAAGACATTCTTCGGGACGGGGACAAGTTGTCGAGGCAAACATGGTTGATGGAAGTGCTTATCTGGCAACTTTTCCTAGGATGGCGCTCAAGACGCCACTAGGAGAACGAGGTCGTGGAAGAAATCTACTCGACGGAGGTTGTCCTTGGTACGACACGTACGAGACTTCAGATGGCAAGTACATGTCAGTTGGAGCTTTGGAACCGCAGTTCTTTGCGGCTCTCATCAAGGGGCTGGATCTCGAGGGTCAAGGATGGGAGGCGAAGCGACACGACACAAGTCTCTGGTCTGAACTTGAAAGGCTGATGGGGGAAAAGTTCAAGAGCAAGAGCCGCGCAGAGTGGGAGGTTATCTTTGACGGCACAGATGCATGTTGCACGCCTGTGTTGGAGTACAGCGAGCTGGAGTCAGACCCCAAGCGGGAGGGAGACCAGCGGCCAACGGTGACGCTACGAGAGACGCCCTGTCTTGCTGTCAGGGAAGGAGTCGGGTATACAGATGCGGCAAAGTTTGGGCAGGGACCTGGGGTTCCAGGGGAAGGCTATGCACCAAAGTTCGTCACTCCGGGAGAGGGTGGTGAGGATACTTTGAGAGGATGGATGGGATGGGAGAGTGGGAGGGAGTATGAGCTACATGAGGGAGGATTGGTGCTAAAAGAGACATCAAAACTATGACTCTTTTTCTCAACGACACACGAATGAGCGGCTACTAATGAACACACATCCAAATATAGGGGAAATGATTATATATTCTACCTACATCTCGTCACTCTGCTGACGAGTCATCGGGCATAGTAATAACATTAGCAGCTAAGAGGCCAAGACAAACCCGTCGCACTCCGGCCAACGCAAATCCCCCATGTACTCCTGCTCCTGCTCCTTGATAACCCTCACAGCAACCAGTCTCGCCTCCAAACCCCATCTGCCGTGTTGCATACATGGTCCAGGAAGCCATGCACCCCAATATAAGTCATTAAGCAGTCTACTCTAGGTCTCCTTCTGAAATGTCGTGGTATCGAAAAATAAAAGTGATGCTCGGGACGTCGTGAAAAGGGGGGAGATAAGGGTTTAGAGAACGACTGCTGTGCGGTGATCCCCTTGGAGCTTGTGGTGCGGTTTATGGAGGAGGGTGTTTGTGTTGAGGGATACAGTCTGAGGGTGACGCCGGATCGAGAAGCGAATACGTGAGTAGCCTCGTTCATGGGTGATGGCATTACTGGACTTGGCTGACAATCTCGCTGGCCTTGGATAGAGACTCGACCATCTGCTGGCACTCTTTCCTTCTCCGGATAGTGAAGTCGCTCTCCTTGAGGAGCTCGTCCAGTGTGTCAGTTCGGTACATGTTCTCCAGAAGCTCCCGTTGCATCTCATCCTTGGTGAATCTATAAACGTGGTTAGATCATATAGCAGATAGTTACCGAGTTACTTACTGGACAAGGTTAAGCATGATAGCCTTGGGAACCATATCGATCATGGTCCGCTTGACAATGTTGTAGTAAGACGAAATCAGCAGCTCTGTCGATGAATTAGCAACTGCATCCATACGGAAGTGAGTTTGTCTCATCACGTACTGATAACCTCAACCTCAATGTTCTCCCGCTCCGACAGGGTGCCAGAAGCCTTGAGGGTGGGTGGAGGAGCCTCCATGGCGGCGGCCTTCTTCTTGTTCTTGGCTGCGAAGAAACTGCCAAAGAAGCCAGAGTTCCCAGATGAGTCAGGCTCGGGAACTGTTGGGCTGGCGGCACGAGGAGTGGAAGCCAGGGGCTTGCCAGTCTTGGGGTCAACCTGGACAGGCTTGGCAGGGTTGTATCGCTCGTTGACCATGGCCATGGCCTAGAAATTTGGGTCAGTGACGTTCTCGGGTAGTCTTAGTCAAGAATCAACTTACGCGGTGGCCGTTCAAGAAGTCAGGGTGACCAGTATTGATGTAAACCGACTCCATGGAGACGAGGTCTCGGACCAGCTTGTTAGTGGGCTCCATGGCCTTCTTGAAGAAGGCGATGACAACACCGTGCATCTTCTCCTTGAGCGAAGGGTACCGGCGATACAGCTGCTTGGCGAGAAGCTGAGACAGGATGCGCACCAACTCATCGTAGACCAGCGAGACACACTTCAAGCTGGGGTCCTCCAGGCGCTTGATCTGCTGCTTCACAATCAACTCGAAAGCAGTGGTGCCAACGAACAGCGCTGGGGAAGAACCGGAAGAGTTGTACAGTATGGTACGAATATCGACATCCTTGACAACATCAAAGGGGTCGATGGCCTTGACACCGTTGGAGTAGAGCTCGTGGAAGACAAAGCTGATACGGGCACCACCAGAAAGCTCGGTGCTGGACAGCTCAGTGTTGTTACCATCCAGAACTGTTCGCCACTCGTTGGTAAACTCGGTGATGATGTTGAGAACGATGTTGGAGGTGTTGCCAAGCATCGAAGGACCAAGGCTCTCAAGCTCGGACGTGTACTTCTGCAGAGAGCTGGTGATACGGGCCTTGATGTCAGGCAGCGTCTGCTTGATATGCATCATGAGGATGAGGTTCAGCTTGCGGGCCAGGTAAGGAGTTCCGCAGTATGAGCTCTTGTTACGATAGGCCTTGTGGTTCTCGAAAAAGTTCTTCTCGGCCTCCAGCGCCTGGTTGATGGCCTTCTTGTTGTCAATGTCGCGCTGGCCTCGGTTGACCACGGGGACGTAGCCTAGTCGGAGAGGAATGACACGGTTCGACAGAATGTCAATAACGTCGGTTCCCTCGTCCATCAGATCGACCTTGGTGAGGACACCAATGGTCCGTTGACCCTCGGGGTCGACCTCTCGCGCAAGCTTCAGACCATCGGAATTGGCCAAATCTTGGTTGGCAGCGGTCACTGCAAGAATGATGGCGTTCGACTTTCCAATGTGCTTGAGCACCATCTCTCGAATCTGTCGCTCGATATCGCGGGGCTGGTCGCCAACGGGCACCTTGGTCAAACCAGGCAGATCGACCAATGTCAAGGTGAGGACATTGGGAGAGTAGATTCGCAGGTTGATGGGAGCTGGAGAGATGCCGGCATTCCGTCCAACCTTGGCCTCTGTTTCCCGGTTGATCTCGTCTCGGATCTTAGAGAAGTCGTAGAACTTTTGACCAGGGACGTGGAGGAACTCTCCCCACTCGTCGGGGTTCGCTGCCTTGTCGTTGGATGTGTCAACTTCGTCGGCCTTGACACCGTTGGATTGCGCAGGGCGGTTGATAAGCTGAAGGACGAGAGGTCTTCGGGTTACGATACCGGAACCTCGGGGCAAGCTAGGATAGCTGTCAGTCTCCAAGCACCTTGCAGCACAGCAGAGGCGGTATGAGGCAACTCACAAGTCTCGACCAACGATGTTCTCCAGTACTGAACTCTTTCCACTTGACTGACTGCCCACGACGGCGATCTGGGGCAAGTCGATGGGGTTGTTGACGCCAACGGTCGCGAATACATCTTGAAGCTTGTTGACGAGCCTAGAGGTGCGAGGTTAGAGGCAATCCACGACCACCGAGGGGTTAGCGTAGCGGGGGGACTCACTGGATCAGAGCGGGATCTGAGATGCCGCCCGGCGTAGAGAGGTTTCCGCTCATGTTGTGTACTATGATTCTGACTCTTATATGCGTGGGATATGTGCAGGATCAAGTCGGATCGACGGAGACGGCGACGGCGACGGTGACGGAGGGTGGAGGGTAGTGGTTGACTTTCGGTAAGCGGTCGGGGTGGAGGGCTCCTGGAGCGTAGGTTGCGCAAGCTCGACTACAGGGGAATCGAATCGGTGTGGTCTCGGCGATTCCTAGGCTGGTTCAGGTCGAGCAGCCTGCGATGAACTGGATAGAAAACTGTCTTTGGCGGGCAAAGGCCGTGAAGTACGGAAAATGCGTGGTGATGCTGGATAGAATAAGGAGGGACCAAGAAGACGACACCGAATTCACGAGCCTAAGCCCAAGGGCCCTAAGGTTGCGCCGCCCGCTACCGTGCTGCCCTGGCTGGGCCGTCATTACGTCCCCTTCGAGCCACAGAGTGGCGCAGTAGCCTCGCCCAATCGATCGTCCCTGCCTGGTGGCTAGCAGGGGTCTAGCTTTTTTCCCTAACAAGCGCGGCAGGCACGTGACACTGCGTTGCCACCAACTTCATGGAGCTGTGGCTTGAATCAGACGGGTTGGAGGGCAATAATTCTGCAGCCTGGGCTGTAGACGTCACCGCGTGATGCGTTCCTGAGAGAAGAATATGGATGCCTCCGGTAGAGGTGCCACAGAAACGACGGCAGTGACGAGGCCTTGCGAGACATGTCTGTCAGTTGTTTTGTCTTGCCTTGCCGGAGGCCTCGATACTTTGAGGCGGGAACCACTTTCATGGCGAGTCATTAGAGGCCAGAAGATTAATCTCGCTCATGAGTGATACTGATAAGAGAGAAATAACCGAGCATCGCAGCAATATCAATCTACTTATCGAATACGAATTTCCTGCTCTTATGTAGCGTTAACCACGAGAATAAACAGAATTGCTAGAGTATATAAACATGTAAGCGAAATCAGAGACATGGAAATGCTCACCGCCGAAAGTCAAAGACCTTGGCATGACCCATATTGGAAGCCAATCAGGAATATGACAGCCAAGTGAGTTATCAAACTAACCGTTCAGGGGTCAGGCTATCCTTATCGATTATGGCGAACGCAGGTTCATGGCGTTGAGGGGAGCATCATGCGCGCGAGAGTTGGTGGGTCACAAGGGAACCCGCCAACTACATGGGCCGAATACGACAAGGCACAGGACAAACAGAACAAGAGACAAACTACTTGAGTAGTCGAGCATATTTCATATCTCTTCGAGTACTGGCATTTTCCGGAAGAACGGCAGGTGAAGTGTTTAGAACGAAAGAAGATCACTTGCGTATGGCTTGGTTGACCAAGGCCCCTCCAGGGCAGAGCTTATCCCAAGTCGAGACTCACCCGTACATATAGTTATATTGGCCATTTTGCAGCGTCTACTTGAAAGGTATTTCTCACAGGCCTTGGACTCTCGGTTAAGAGGTTCTGAACATCAAGTCAGGGGGCAGCTCGCTTCATCATCGGTTGCTAGACTCCCATGGTCTCAATGTGGGGAGTAAGGTCAAGACTCAACAAAGCTGTATGGCATTTGATCTCTTCTAAGCATTTGCTCTTTTAAAGATCTGCCTTCCAAGGTAACGACTACTTGTCGATATTGTCGTGTTCAGCCCGGACTTCACCGTGCCCTACCAGGCTCTGGTCACTCGCTTCTCCGTATAGTAGTCCATCCTTCAGGAGCTCTAGCCACAGCCCTCTTGGGCCGAAAGGACGTAGAGTCTTAAACCCGTAGATTATAAAACCGCATGGCCTTGTAACATTTACATCGCCGGTTGATGGGGAATATGCAATTCGAACTGGAATATCTGGTTAGTGGTGACCCCTACATCTATCCCAATACGCCACCCTTTTCATGTCGACCTCTAGCATTGTTATCAGCGTTAGGGAAGGTCTGTTTCCATGATGCATAGCATTTTTGTGTTGTGGTACCTTCAACTAAGGCACAGAAATCTTCATGGGGCTTTCCCGTCACCAAGGGGGGCACAATGTTGTTGAGCCCAACACCCACGTGCGTCTTCTGGATGTTTTTTGTAACCAGATGTCCGATCTTTACCTGAGGATTGTACTCATTGGCCGGTATTGACTGTATAGAATAGCCACCCTCATTAAGATAACTACTCAGTGAGGCTGTTCCAGTTCATTTTGGTGAAAAGTCGTCTGTAACAGTACGAGCAGGGTACATGGTGTTCTCGGGGCAAGGCAACACATATAACCTCATTCCCACAATAGTTATTGGGACTTTGTCACAGCCATCGTGTGTCATCTAATTCCTTGGGTCTTCGATGCAGTATTAACGCTTGCTTCAAACTGAAGTCTTGGCCACAGTTGGGATAAAGACGTTGGGAGACCGAAACTTGCTGGTTGCCAAGTCTGCACTTTGGCGCTGAAAATCGCGATGAGACCTCACATAGATCCTACAGCTAAACATTTATTCCCTCATTATTCGTGTCTGACCATTTTCGAGTTGATTGTGATATGATAGAGAATACCAGGGTGGTTGGTGAGAGTGTCTGAGGTCATCGATATAAGACGGGATTCGGTTGGGTCACTGCCTGTACCTTAGCCTCTGTCTGTCAAGATATGTCGCCTAGTTAGTAGTTTTGAAGAGTAAACATGATACCCGATCAAACCAGAATTGTCTTCCAACTCCGTATCTAGTCTGACACCGGGTGGAATGCCGGGATGGTCTCAAGTGGATGACGAAATGCGCTGCCACGTTATCGCTTACATGTGATAACATGCAGCAAACGATTTCGGCCAAGATGTAACATCGTGCATGGCACCGACTAGATATACATTTCTACTCCTAGAATTAACATATTGATCCATAAGTGTGAAACCCTAAGGTTTTTATTTGTAGGACATTTATCAGGATGGGTGAGGAGCTTCTGGAAAAAGCAGGGTCCAGCGGCAGTGATGCCGTCCTCCAGGGTAGGTGACTGACCAACTGAGGACCATTCATCACAGGTTGGACTGTAGCAACTTTACCCGAGGCATTAAACCGATCCATGCCAAATCCTCACTCAAGATAATCATCCCTACGCAGGAATCCACAACTCATACCTGCATAATACCCAATCTAGAGTTGCTGCGTTGGACAAGAATCTCGTCGTGTGACGATTAAAGTAGGTGGCCCCCTCAAATAGGTAGGTAGCCCTGGAGCCCCCCAAGACGCTACTGGATCGTCACTGTCGGCCCCCAGAAACGCCCTAGCAAGCGCCTGTTAGCGACAAGCCTCCTCTAATGAGGTGACCTCACGACACCTCAGGCCCCAGAAGGCGCACTTCATCGTCCTGCCCCATCCACGGAAGCTGCACGGACTGGACAACCTCGCCCCGACAACCACCTGGCATCATACCTACCTTAGCTGTGAACTCTCGGCTTACTCTCCAGCTTTACAAGAAAGGCTTCTTCTCCCGCTCGTCTTTGTCTTGTTCCTCGGACGGCCCCCGTATTTCTCACACGCCTCATCTCGTCCGTCACATGCGGCCGGATCCCTCCCTCAGCTTGAGCGCCGCCACCTCCACCTCCCGCTTCCAACTGCTATCACGACTCCACACATCATCGTTCGCAGCTGGTCCCGAGCTAGTTTTACGCCTCTACCACCCTCCCACTCGGATGCCGCATTCTTCTGACCAACGGTCAGCTTCTCGTTAACCCCAGCTTTTCTTACCGCGGTCTGCTGCCGCGGAGAGGCCGTCCTGGACTCCTCCGGCGAGCCCTCACGCCCCAGTCTCCCCGATCACACCTCCGACCACCCACACACGCCGCAACTCCCCTCGATCCCTTCCAGCACTGATATCTCTGCCCAAATCCCCAACATCACCACAGATTATAGCTTCAACGCCCTCCAAGGCCACAACACACACCACCCGAGTCGATCCCCAACCGGCATTGCGAATATAGGTTCTTCCGCTGCTGGCCTTGACAGGCTCTCGAGTCCCGTGCCGCCTCAGATCCTCGGACGACGCCCACGATCGCCGTCTTTCGACCCTCTTCTGGACCTCCAGACTGACTCCTGTCTCGAGTCTGAGGGCGTTTACGACGCTATTGCCGAGCCCCCTTCTAAACGAAGACGAGGCAACGACAGGATGGGCGCGAGTGATACACTCGATCCGCACAATGGCGCTTCCCTAGGATTCTCCAACGGCTCGACCGCTTCGCAGTCCCAGCAGTCGGCCTCTACAGGAGTGACTAATGGCCACAAGACCGCGCTGAACGGTTCAGCCAGGGACAAGAACAATGCTGCTGGCAGATCGAGCCAACGACCCCAAACATACTTTGGTCATGACCGTCAAGAGGTGACCCGACTGTTGATACAGGCATTATCTGATATGGGATACCAAGCTGCCGCCGACAATGTAAGCCAGGAGAGTGGCTATGAGCTTGAGAGTCCCACTGTGGCCGGCTTTAGATCTGCCGTGCTCAGTGGCTCATGGCCCGTGGCAGAGGAGCTGCTTGCCGGCGCTTCATACGAGGCAGATGGCCAAGGGAATGGGCTCGTTCTGGCAGCCGGTGCTGACCGAAACGCCATGAGGTTCTGGCTAAGGCAGCAGAAGTTTCTGGAGCTGTTGGAGCAGAAGGACACCAGCCGGGCCCTCACAGTTCTTCGAGGAGAGCTGACCCCGCTATCGCACGACACCGCAAAGCTTCATTTCCTGTCAAGCTTGCTCATGTGCCGTTCTGTTGAGGACCTCATGGTAAGAGCAGAGTGGGATGGGGCTGGCGGCGAGTCTCGAAAGCGATTATTATCGCAGCTTTCCAGTGAGTTACCTTTCCTAAACATTACTAGACCCCAACTGACTTGCGTAGAATGTATATCTCCTTCGGTCATGTTACCTGAGAATCGTCTTGCGGTCCTCCTTGAACAAGTCAAGCAGAGTCAAATCGATACCTGTTTGTATCATACCGAGGCGTTGTCACCATCGCTATACTCGGATCATCTTTGCGATAAACGAAACTTCCCCACAGAGGTGGCAGTGGAGGTGTCTGATCTCGATGGAGAGATCTGGCAGGTCCAGTTCTCACATGATGGAACCAGGCTCGCTGCCTGTGGTAGCAGTGACTACGTTATGATTTGGAGTGCCAAGACATTCGACGTGCTCAACGTTCTTCGTGGCCACGAGGGTGGTGTTGGAAACATCTCATTCAGCCCAGATGACTCCATGATTGTGTGTTGCTGCAGGGATGGATTTGCTCGGTTATGGAACACCCATGTGAGTAGTTGGAAGAAAGGCCCTTTCCTCTCATGGGATACTAACAGTTGATTTCTAGACCGGCACACTCATCAAGAAGTTTAGTCGATTTGATGAGCCCGTAAGTGGATGTGTCTGGGACCGGAATAACCGGTCATTCGTTCTCGGAACACTTGATCCCAACTACAGCCTGCGGACTGTGAATGTGCATGATGATGAAGTGTACGAGTGGGGGAAGAAGCATCGTGTTCAGGACATATGCGGATCTCCCGATGGCCGCTGGCTTGTCGCCGTGGATCATCTGCAGACAATTCACGTCTACAACGCCCTGACGCGAGAGCTCGAGTTTGATATGGAGCTCAAGGCCCTTCTTACCTCGGTTAGCATCAGCGAGGACTCACGGCACCTGCTTGTCAACAAGAGCGATGGAGAGGCGCAGCTCATCGACCTCTTCACGCGGAACTCTGTGCAAAAGTTCTTTGGCCACACCGGTGGCCAATTCCTGATCCGGAGTTCCTTCGGTGGACCGAATGAGAGTTTCGTCCTGAGTGGAAGCGAGGACGGCAACATCTTGATCTGGCACAAGAACACGGGCGCTCCGGTTGAGCGGCTACCCGGCCATCATCCTCGATGTAACGCTGTGACTTGGAATCCGACGGATCCGTTTGTGCTGGCGTCTTGCGGAGACGACGGCCGACTCAAGATGTGAGTGATATTCATGGCCAAGCTGCTACTTGGATATTTGGCTAACTGTGATATGATGTAGCTGGTCAAATAAGACACGCAGTATCGAACTGCGGTCTCGGTTCCAACGGGATTCCAAAAACGGTTGGAGAGACAATGAAGGAGACGATTAGGACCCAGAACTTCTCTTCTTGGAGAAATAGTGTGTGGAAATGGGGAGGAGTAGCTATGGTTGACCGACTTGGCTTATGATCGGTACTTGAGGCAGGCATGGCAGCTTGGTGTTTGAGTATGTTATTAGAAGGACGAATGGGTACATGGGGTGCTATGGATGGGGGGCGCCGTTTTCGTGCCGACATCGCTGACATCTATTCATCACTCGGGAGAACCAGGGGTTTCTTGTTTCTTGGTTTTTGTTGTTGTTTATGGCGTTGGAGCGATGGGTTGGTTCATGAGACGGGGTTGGCTTTGATCCAGCGTCTCTTTGTCTATGGTAGACTGGCTAGTACAGAAATCCCACTTTGTTACGTACAGCAGCTCAGAAGCCGAGCTGATGTCGGTTACGTCGAGTGCGATTCTATCTCTAGCGAAGTGTGGATGGCCGGTGCTGCACGTCTGGCGTGATGTGGTGGGCGGTTAAAGTCAAGCCCTGTCTTCTCAGCTGAAAGTGACATTCTCCCTGTTGCCGGATACAGAAGGCCACAGCTCACAATGGGTGGCTGGTTTTCAAGACGTATCAGAAGAACAAGACTTGGGTGCTGCATACGGCCAGTTGTTGTTGAGGCAACCGACATGATGGTGTGGTGGTGTAGTCTATGGGCCGCAGAAATGGCTATGCCGGCAAACCTTGACGATTCCAAGCGACGGCACAGCAGATGTTTAGTCTGGGACAAGGCCGGATGCGAGAAAAGAGACAAGACGAAGTGGAGTGACAGGTCTTTATTGACCCGGCATATTGGATGATGTCTAACAGACACAGCTTGGCGGTTGGCCCACGCGATTGCACGCGGCCCATGGTGGTGCGTGTTATGTATCGAGATGCGCTGCGTCTATGATATTCTCTCAAACCATTGGCAATGGTCTTGCTCAACCAGACCAAGTCGGTGTGACCCCGGCCGGAGTTCGATCGCATCCTGGAAACCAAGGCCGGCCTCATTCAGATCGAGACGAACATGCTAGGGTTGCCTGGGATCGAGGAAGGTGGCCACATAGAGTTTGACCGTGCCGTGCGTGATACAGAGCGGCCCGCTGCCGACTCTGGTAGGTGGGGATCGACTTCAAGGAGGTGGAGGGTGTGGACTGGACTGTGGAGGAGACGCACTGTAGCGAGAAATCTAGAAGCTGACTTGGAAGCGCGCTGGGCCAAGGCTCAGCATGGATGGTGCGTACCACTCTTTGTTGCATGGGCAGCTCCGGCTGATGGAGAAGCCGTGTCTCGACAAGAACTGAGTTGTGATCATCAACACTCCATCGTCCGCTTTTCTCTTCAGTGAAAGAATGCCATGATAGGCAGATCCGGAGATGGGCTTGCTTTGTGTACCAGACTCGGTACCTGCATGATCTGATACCATGACAGCACCGGGACCAGGGCCGGCGGGTCATGGCGAGATACAGCACGGGAAGGCACGCCATTTGTGCACAACAGAGATCGAGCATCAGGCCCCTTCACCATTCCCTTCCCTTGAACCACACCCTCAGAGAGGTTGAAAGGTCCAGCTGGTGGAGCGAATTGGTTCCGCGCGGTTCCAGATAGTCCAACCCCTAGCCCGTCACGGACCATGATTTTGAAATGGACAAAGACATTTTAGAGAAGCGGTCAAGAACTTCTTGACCAGGGGCTTCCTACGAAGAAAGAGAGCTGCTCGGCCTGCTCCATCGGCCGGGAGCTTCGGAGATGTTGATGTTGCGACGGCTCGCAATAGTCGTGACGGTGGCGAGAACTGGTCATGAAACAGACCGCGCTACCGTCAGGCTTTGGTGTCTGGTGGAGAGGCTGAACTGGTATGCGCACTTGTTGATGCATCTTGCAGTCTCTGTCCGGAAGAATACCCAGTATGCAGGACCTTCCACTGCATCCCTCTTCGGTCATGACGCCTCATGCAGGGGGTCAGGTCAACCAAGCTTCTTTGTCCAACCTCAGCTCTTCCCTTGACGCTCTGTGCTATTTTCGCCTTGGAATTCTAGCTGGTCAGATAGGCACAGTCGGCTTGCGTTCCGACATGCAAAAACATGGCAGAGTCAACGCCAACGCCATACGTGTGCATGCGTGTGCATGCGTGTGTATAGGCGCTGCGCTGCCTGAGAAGCGACGCTCGTTGGCGATCGTCGATGAGAGATGCCATGCAATGCGACAATTACGTGAATGAACGGGGCCGAGCGACTGTCTCGGTGGGATTCATCATCAATCGTCCCAGGACCGTGGAGCACGTCGGCCGTCACCGGTCCGTGACTCCAGTCCAATGCATCTGCGATGCAGCCTCTTGTGATACCAAACTTCCAATCGGTGGGAATCTGCGGGGGCGGTTGTGCTGAGACAAGCAGCGTCAAAGAGCAAACTGTGAGGTTTCTTTTCTTTTTCTCCCACAGCGCGTATCTGTACCGTTGTGTTCCGGTTGCAACCAACGAGTGAAACAAGCAGACAAGTTGACAAGGCCGTCGAGTCTGGTCTCGATACTTGTTGAGACTTCTGCCATTCAACCAACAACTGTCTGTGATGGACATTGGCCGATATAGGAAGTCCTTGATCCTTGGATAGGAGGCCCCCGTGAGAGTAGACTTGAGCAAGGGACATATCCTCGGCCCAACAAGCAAGGGACTAGTATTCGTCCGTTGTTCCCGTAGATAGTCACCATATTCCTCCTTTTCCAAAGCCCGTGGAGAGTAGTATCAAAGTGTGGGGGGAACCAACGGTGACAAGGACCAGAAACCAGACGACATCCCGCTCAAGGGTCAGAGTGGTTGATCCTTGACTTCTTCCTTTCAACCCATGTCGATGTGCCCGTGCATTATCGAGCCATCCAGCCTGAGGCCCTCGCCCCTGACGCTAACACCTCCAAGCCCAGAGGACGTGCGCCGCGAGGCCTTTTGAAGTATTCATCAGCGATTCATGAGAAGCAAACAAAGGGCCGAAGCTGACGGTATTGCTGACGGGCGACGACGACACCAACCAACCAGTCTTGGCCGGATAAATGGCCTCATGATGATCTCGACGAAAATACCGGCCGAGGGCCCGTGAAGCAAAGACCCCTGCAGACCCCAAAGCCTTGACTACCGGGCTGCAAGGAGCCCCTGCTGGGATGACGGGATGGCGGTGGTTGTGGTTGTACAACATGTGCCCGAGCTGAGAGGCGAGAAACAACCACTGAAGAGATCCTTTAGGCAAAAGGCGATATTCCGCGATGGAATGGAAACGTCTCGGTAGTCACTCTCGATGATTTCCAAGCACCACCGTGTCTCACTGTCGATCAACGGGAGTTCGAGGAGATGATAACTCGTTCGGGACAGGAACGCATGAGGGAATACGTCAATGTCACCTTGAAATCTTAAAATTCCCCGAGGTTTTCGACATGTCTTGCCCCTTGCGAGACGTCGCCTGCAAACGTGAACCAGGAACGGCCGCCGAAGGATATGTTGGTGGTCAGTCATAGGTAGATTAGATGTGCGGGATCTTCGGCCAGAGACTATGATCGCCGAACCGAGGAGCTTGCCGTGTTAGTGTGGTGTAGTGCAAATGACCTGTACTGCGTGTGGTGGTGGGAGGCCCAGGATGAGGACGTGTTCGTATTGCCTGCCAACTGCAAGTTTATCTTGATCCCATATGTCCTGTGCCGAGTACGTACACCAAGCGCAGCTGAGCTTGGGTTATTCGTCAAGGTTGTTGATCGAGGAGTCGAATTCCCCAGGGTTATGTCCGAGGAGGTAGGCTGGTGATATCGTGTTTGCGCGCACCTGGGACCTGGTTTTTGGCGTCATCACAGGGATATGCATGGACGTCCGTGCTTACCCATGTCCTGCCTGTTCGACAGGTCTGCACCGGGAGCCTGGTGAGGGCTAAAGGTATCCGTAAAGGAGAGACAATACTCCGTATCAAGCGCGTAGATGTGAATCAAAGAGACATGGAGAAAGGTGCTGGTGCGGGCGTCATCCGGTTATCAGTAGAATCGCCATTGCTGATTCGCCTGGCAAGTAGATCTTGAAGTTGACGCGGGATGAGCCGGCGCCGCGTGACAAAGGGCATCTCTTTGGTGTGTGTGGTGCTCTCCGTCTTGCTAGTTGCGTGGCGCTGGGGAGGAATGCCATGTTTATCATATCCGGCCACACTGTTCCTGGGAGAGTAAGGACCGACATGGTGTTTCTCAAATTCTCGCAAAACCTATACCGCCTTTCCTGGGTATTACTTGATGGCGAGAGAAGGAAGCTTGGGACATGTATGAGCCAAAGATGTGTAGCGAGCTCATCGTGATCCACCACAGGAGGCTATGGCCTGGCTGAGTCGCAACGACGTCGTTTTGCGTGTGCGTAGACCCCAGCCCGGCTCCTTGATCCTGGGGCAGCCATGCTCCGTCCATGAGGAGCAGGGGCTTGCAAAGCCACGAGTAGAGAGGCACGGGCATAGCCATGGGCACGGGCACAAGCGCGATGATTCTCGCTGGAGGGTCTCGTCTCCATCATGTCGCCTTCGGAGGGTTTCGTTGGGGAGGGGACCTGCAGGGTTGTCAGGGTCGCTGGGTCCTGTCCTGTCCCGTCGAGTTCTCTCAGTCTGTCATAGGGAAGCGATGAAACCTGCCATGGATGGCGCGCACGAGCGGTCTGTCTGTGTGGTCTGGCGGCCCCCAAGATTGTGTTGGATCCAATAGCCCACAACCTGTCGACCCATGCACTCAAAAGTTGAGACGAAACAGCCGACACTAGGGCCAATTCTAGAAATGACAAACGAGAGGGAGCATCAATGGCGGTGACAGAGTTTCATGGCGGCGGCGGCTTCAGTGGCAAAAACGGTCCCTAGAAGAGAAAAAAAAAAGCTCACCAGGAAGAGTCGGTCGGCTCTTGTTTGGCGTGGGCTCGTTGAAAGGAGAGCCCTAGGTCTAATGCGCCTTTTGCAGGGCAATCTTGCTAGAACGGCGCTGTCTGAGTCGTGTTCCCTGCAGGAAAGTGCAATGGATGGATGGACTGTTGCGGCTAGGAAGGACTGACCTCTGCCTCTGCACGGGGATGCACCTACCTTGTGGTGTATATGCCATGGAGGGAAAGGTAACTGGTACCTGGACCAGTACCTGCCCCCGTCCCGTCCGTTGACCGGTGCGTTCCCACCCGTCCATCCATGGATGGATGATGGCAGCCCAGCAGACCTGGACGCAACACGGCACGATGCGCGCCCACTGCGGCAACATGCACATCCATCTCATCTGCAACTAAAAGCAGTGCGTACATACGTACTTAGGGGCGGCACGCACTGAAAGCTGCAGCTGGAGACCCTTTAATATGGATGGGATATTATGCTTCCTTTTTCCTCATTCCATCTACCGTACCCCGTACTGATGACCAGAGACATGATGTCTGTCTGTCCGAGTCAGCATCCTGGAACTGCATTGGTATAGCCTCTTGCGCAATGACCCGAAGAGGAAATCCGGCTTATAGCCAACTTCATCTTCAGCTCCGTCTCTAGGTTCCATTGCAAAAATTACCTACGGACCAACCGCGTGGCTTGACAAGCCTAGGATGTGTCTGAGGTTGATTGAGACTTGACTTGAGCTTGAGGCACAGACAGAGCTGATCTCAATGCAGCTACTAATTTCAGTGTTTGTTTGCTTCAGTATCGTCTTCACCTATTCTGCAGTCAGCGCTTTGTCCCCAGAAACCGTCCACCATCGGTGTACCTGAGCTAGGCTGAACCTTGTAGCCAGTACGCGGACGGTCTTTGTCCCTTCCATTTCTGTTCGAGATGTAATTTCGCCTTTTCCCAGCGGGGGCAGCTTGTACCTACCTTAGTACCTGCCTTAGCACTTGTCTCCCCTGTCCTGGCACGCCGCCTAGCACCCTCGCCTCCCCCTACCCCCCCTCAAGCCCTCAAGCAACGGTGGGCCCTGGCCGCCCCTAGTGAACCTCGTGCCAGCCCAGTTCTGTCCAATTAGGAAAGCGCCTCGCATCATGGGTCCCCCTCACCCCTTCGCCTCCCGCATCCGTCCCATCTCCAGCGGCCGGCCAAGGTCGGTTAAACAAAAGACCAGCAGCTGCAAGCCAACAACCCAAACCACTTTCATCGTCATCCATCCTTTACGCTCGCTCGCTCATTTTTTTTTTCAGGTGTGGTCTACGTATTTTTTTCGTTTCTTTTCTTGCTTTCCTTTTCCGACACAAGTCAAGACAAGACAAGCTTCGTCGGGGAAGTGGGACGTTGGATGGTACGGTACGGATACAGTGCCTTAGTTTAACTCGCCCCGACCTGATCGACTACCAGCCCGTGTCCGAACAGCTGCCGAATCTTCCATTTTCCGGCCGAGTCCCCTTGAGTTTGTTCTTCGTCGCCACCAACATCATCTTTCGAACCTTTACATACCACGGACAACGGTTCTTCTTCTTGGTTTTGTTAGGTTGGTGTTTTGGACATAGCCCGGCTCGTGCTGCGTCTTGGGAGTTGCTCGACATCTATCATTCGTCGTCGACCTCTAGCTCATGGTTGTGTACTCATGATGCGACTGTGATCAAGCCTCTTGACCTCTTGTCGCGCCTCTGCTCGGATTTCTCTACACTACACACCTACGTCGAGCATTCTCAAGTCGCCGCCCACGATGGAAAACTTGGAGGGGTTGCTCATGGTCCCTCCGGACAGGGGCCAGATCCTTGGTAGAGCTGTCTGGAAGGTTTGTCTCTATCATATGCGCACGTTTGTTCCGCGCCCCTAATCGCCATACCATTCTAGCCGCGATACGTTGTCATTGGAAGGCGCAACGCCGGAGCCGGCCATCCAGGCAGCCCAAGCTATTCGCAATTAGTATCCAACAGCCGCACTAATAGCCTTGGAAACAAGTCTCTCGCCAAACTACCTACCGAAGAATGCTGCATCTTCGTTTACAAGCACAAGGTATGTGACTCCGGAAATGGCTATGGAAATCCCAAGCCAAACCTCCGCTTTATTGCCTGGCGCTGTAGACTGACCCCATTGGAATTCAGGACGATACTGAACCAAGCCAACAATGGCCCATAAACTCTATTACCGACTGTCAGGTCCAGCAGATCGCCCACCGCAAACAGGGCCCTGTCCTTCCCACTCTCGTCATCTCCATCGCCGACAAGGAGAAAAAGCGACGGTCGAGCCGAGCTGCCGGCCTTATATCCTCCAGTAAAGAAGCCAACGCAACGACACTCTGGTTCCGGACCCCTACAGACGACCACCACTTGAGCTTACACGAGTGGGCTCGCTTCATTCTCGCCAGAAAGTCTCCCATGAGCCCCGAGAGCCCAATGTCACCCCAATTTTCGAACCCGTTTTCGTCGAGACCTCGCGATACATCCGACTACTTCTCGCGGCCAACGAGCGGAAACCAGTCTGGCCGTTCTGATACCCGTGCCCTTCAGCATAAGAGCTCCTCCAACACCCACTCGACGGCTACTCGAGATCGACCCCTTACCTTCAGCTCCGAGTCGCCTAGCTTGCGATCTAAACGTAGTGATGTGTCTTCCCCTTCGAGCAGCAACTATCCAATTCAGCAGATGAACTTCCCAATACCCGGACAGCACTACACTACGGTCCTCCCCACCGACCTGCCATCTCCTGTCACCACAACGGGAGAATATCAAGGAGAGTTTATTGAGGGTTGGACATCAGCGCAGGGGCGATCATCTACGATGAGCTCGCCTATTCGAGGACGCAGCAGCATTGGCTCGCAGACGCCTCATCCTTCAACTACCGCAACCGACTCGAGTTCCCCCCCTGGACCACGCGAGACCATCTTGGACAGGGCCTTTCAGATGCGATGCATCCCTGGCTCTGAACGAGAGGTGCCAGGCGAGGAGAAACTGAGTTCTTTGGCGCGGTTTGATGCGCTTATGCGGGAAGCTGACGAGAAGCGAAAACAGAGGGAAGAAGCCGAACGAGCCCAACAGATGGCGATGCGTAGTGCTTTCGAAGCGTCTGACAGCTCCAGCGAGGAGCAAGATAGTGATTCAGACGACTTGGATGAGGACGCATACGGCGGAGTACCGGAACGACGGGGACCGGCACTGATACCGCCTACGACGCAACGAGCCCTGCAGTTTATCACTGGCCGTCACGAAGCGGCGCCGCCTTCACCATCAGGTCGTCCCCCTGTGACCAGGACACAGATACCGCAATCGCCTCCGCTGCGGCCGCATACAGCGCATGCCAAGAGCCGTCCAACTCCGAGCCAGAGGACCAACAGCACTCCCCAGCTGACTCCTGGTATGGCCAATCTGGAGATATCAACAGCAACCCCCACCAAGGTATCCGATGATGGCGCGATACGGCCGAATGCAGACAAGCGTCTGTCCACTTCGAGCACCGCTACCAAAAGGTTGAGTTTCACCGAGTTCACCAAGAGGCTATCGAGCACCAGCAGCTTACTGCTCGTCCAGACGAACGCTAGTGGGGGGAGTTCCCGGGGAAGCAGCGAGATCGACATCCAGCCCTCGTCCCTACCCCGTGGGACGCTGAACCCGCGAGGGACAGGACCACCTCCTCGAGACCGAGACACAGATGATTATGGAGGGAGATGTCGATGGCGTAACAGTGTCGGCGTTATCGGGAAGGACGGCACCTTTATCTAGACTCACCGGAAAGAGAAGTCAAGGACAACACTAGTTTTCTGGCTCTCATGTCATCTGCTGCCGTGGCCATCACGAGACTTTGGCACAGAGGATGAGGGCTTATTGTTTACTTATCTATCGTGCCATGGCACGCAAGGGGGGGAGGCACGGATGTTATTTTGGGCGGCTTTGCATGCTTTGTACGATTTTGATACCAGATGATGGCATCGTCACGACTCTTACGATGATGGAGTGGGAGAGGGGGAGGGGGTCCGTTAGGCACACGGTCCCCAGGCGTTTCTTTGTCAACGGACGACTACTTTGTCTCTGCTAGCATCACTCGGTGTTTTTGGGTATTTCTTTTTTGGCGGTCATGATGTGGCATGTGACGATGATGCACGCGGATTCTCACATGAAGGGGCTTACCATCCCATATGCTTCAGTTATGTATGTATCGACGCATGTCTATGATGGTGGACGACGAGATGGCGAGAGACGTTGCATTTGAGACACAGAGGCACTGACTCATGCTGTATGATAATAGGCACATGAATGAATATTCAATGCCCTAACTAATCAATCCAATGCCACATTGAAGGGATCTAGACTTGATGAGAGTACATATTCTGAAGGCGACACAAACTTGGCATTTTAACTACCCAGGCTCTATGGCATCAATCAACGCCAGCAAATCTTGGTCGAGCTTCCCTCAACTTTTATTATCGTCTAGTAATTCCAGACGCTGTGTCCTTTTTTCATCTTTCGTAAAATCGACTGTATCCATAACCGCCCTGGATCCTGGTATTCCTCATAAAATCCTGCCTTGCGTCCTCTTCGCTGTTTTAATCCTGTCTTGCATTGTCTTTCATCTTACACCCCATCATGCCGTTCCGAGTCCCCTAATCTTTCCGTGACTTATCGGATGTACTGGGCAATGGCAGCCTGCTCCTCGGGGCCCAGTCGCTGGCCGATGAATCCTTCGACAGCACCACCATGTCGCTGGTTCGCGGCGATCATGTACTCATGCACCCACTTGGCGACGTCCTGAACCTCCGGGAAGTCGTCACGGACGTGGGCCCTGCAGGTGTTGAGCGCTGTGAACGACATGCCGAAGCCAATGTCATCCACGTCGGCCTCAGCGACAATCTCGTCACCCGTACCAGCAGCCACGGTGGGAGGGTTGGCGAGGAGCGTGAGGAGAATACGGCAGGTGTTGGCCCATCCCTTCATGAACTTCTGCGCGAATGCCTGAGAGTCGCACAGAGTCTTGGTCAGGGACACCACAGCAACCTTGCGGTCGACAGGGCGGGCGAGCTTCTGCGTCTCGGCCAGCACGAAAACCGGATAGACCTTGGTGAAGACGCCCTCCTCAACCGAGTCGGACTGCTTGATGAAGTAGTCAGTGCCGTAGCCCACCTCCAGACGGGCAGCGACGAGGTGGTAAAATCGCACGAAGCGCAGCTTGAAAGAGTCGGCTGGGTTTCCTTGAAGCTTGGTGTAAAGAAGGCGGAGAATGGTACCAAAGTACTGGTCCACAACAGAACTATGAGAAGTGTTAGCTTTCCTACTTCAGTCCTAGGCAGAAGGGTACTTACGGCTCAAAAGTCTTGACGATGGAGTCAAGGATATCAAAAGCAAGCAGCTCCGACTTCTTACCACTCAGAAGCTTCTGGAAAATACCCAGGACGGGCTCGAGCTGGTTCTCAGCAATGATGGCCTGAGAGGCACGAGGGATAACGGCAGACAGAAGACGAGTGCATGCGGGGACATTGCCTCGTGTCTCCCACAAGGTAGGGTTGAGCAGGGGGCCCAGAAGAGCCTTGTAGTTGTCTGAGATGGTCTCAGACGGGCTCGACTCGAGCAGCTGGGCCAGAACCTGGAAGACGTATTGCATGAATTCTGGATAGCCTGTTAGTGTATGAGTCTTGTTATTTAAATTATATTACTTACCGGTGACATCCTCAACCAGGATCTGGTGGAAAGGTCCCCACAGCTTCTCGTTGAAGAGAGCGGCATTGCTGGCCGCGCAGTATCGGACGAGAGCGCCGATAGCCTCGAAGTGGTAGTAGTAGAAGCGAGGGTTACTAGGGTTCTGCTTCATGACATTGGTGATGAGAATGAGGTGAGTAAGCACATTCTCCAGCAAGGGGACAGCGCCATCCTTGATGACAATCAGGATTCTCATCACGCATCGCATCAAGAACTCGTTCTCCTGCAGCTTGGCAGGGCTCGACTCCTTCTCAATGAGCTTGAACAGGTGGCCGAGCAGATCCTTGGCAAAGGGCTCAATATCGGCGCGAGGGAACATGGCGTTACCAGCGTCGTCGGCAAGGAACAGAACGCGCTCGACGGCAATGGCAGCGTAGGAGTAGACAACGTAGTTGTCCGAGTTCAGGTTCTGGATCAGGGGACCCAGAGCAACTGTCCACTGCTCCTTGGACAGCTGACTGCGGAAAGTGTACAGGTACTTGATGGCGTCCACCTTTGAGATGGGCTCAACTCCCTCAGAGTTGATGAGATCCTGGGCAATGTGCTGCTCAAAGAACTCGACCACGTTGACCAGAGGGTTGACGGTCTTGACACCCTGGGCGGCGGTGACGGCGCCCTTGGCAGCGACAGACAGGAAGAGGTAGATGGCAGTGTCCTTGGCCTTCCAATCAGACTTGCCCTGGGCAAGATAGTGGTTGATATACTTGGAAACCACCGTGGTGACGGGGGCCTCGAAGCGCTCCTGAAGCTTTCGCAGGAAGTCGGTAGCAGATCGTCGTCTCGAATCCGTGTCCGAACCCTCGAGATCCCGTCGAATAAACTCGATGGGCTCATCCTCAAAAAGCTCAATGTCAGACTCGCGCAGCGCCACGTTGGGCAGGATAACCTTTTCCACAATCTGAGTCAAGACATCCTCGTTGTTGAAGATTCCGGAATGCTCCTTGGTGGAGGCGACAGCGGTCAAGAAGTGCAGAGCCTTGCTGACAACGATGTCGTGCTTCGTCTCGGTGCCAGTCGACGACAGGAGGTTCCAGGCCTTCTCGATAAAGGGCTGGCAGTACTTGGAAAAGTCCTCATCAAACTTGACAGTGTAAAGCTCGAGGACCTCGCAGATGTCGGCCTTGACGGTGTCTGCTATGCTCGTCTCGGTTTCGTCGTCGGTCTCCAAGAGTGGGTTGGAGTATTCGAGGTACTTGTGCAGTAGCTCGGAAATGCTGGCGAGGTTCTCCTCGAAGATGGGGGGCAGATCATGGCAGGACATGTCATAAAGAATCTTGATCTGCAGGTCGAGGGTCTCAAACCAGCCTTGCAGAACATCCTTCTTGTCGCCGTTCTCGGAGATCTTCTTGTCAGTTGTCTGTAGGAGATGTCGATTAGCAAAGTTGCAGGCGAAACGTGAATCAAGCTCGACTTACCACTAGTAGCTGAACAAAGGCTTGGCCAAATGTGCTGATGACGTGGTTAATCTCCATGTAAAGCTCGTCGGTACGGAACAAAGGTCGCCATCGGACAAAGATGGAGTGTGCGACTTCGAGAACGCCAACGTTGACCTTGGGGTCTGTGGCAGAGAACCGGCTGACAAGTTCCTGAGTAGAGAATGCGTTAATGCCATGGCCGTGGTAAAGGAACTTCAGAGGAGATTACCTGAGTAAGGGTATCCCATCGCCTCCAGAAGTCAGAGTCTGCGATCACGCTAATAGCGTCACCAAGCTGGGCCTGGATGTTGGCAGGTGATGAGATCATGAGGCCGATCAGGCGCTCCTTGATGATCTGAACCTCATCTTGAGGCAGCTTGTAGTTGCCCTCCTCGTCCTATAAAAAAATTCGAGTTCAGCTCTCTGCGCATCGGCGGATGGGGTTTGTATCCAGACGCACTACATAATTTGTTCGAATGAAGTTCTTGAAGGCGAGGGCGGCAGCGAGTCGCGTCTTGGAGGGTATAGAGTCGGAGTTGACGATGTTGAGGAGGCTGAGAGAGTATTGGGGCTTGGTAGCCTCCTGCTTGAGAGCCGTCTCGGCTGTTGGTGATTGTTTGTTAGCATTCGAAATCGCGGGGCAACGACGAGGTGGGACGGGCAACGGGGAGGTTACCTTTGCGGTGCTGAGACGGATCGAGGGTTGCATCAAGCAGCTGGGCGATGTGACCAATGTCGGCCGCCATGATGAGAGATAGAATGGAGAAGGGGCTTATAAGGAGAAGGACAAGGAAGGGGAAGCGAAGAGGCGGTGGTGATGGTGGAGGAAGATGTTTGGTTTTGGCTTGGACTGGAGGTTGCAAGCTGCGTTGTTGGCAAGCAGGCAGAGACACGACTTGTATTTTTTTTCCAAGTGAGAGGCGGTATGCTGGGGCAACCAATGAGAAGCCTCAAAACAGCCAGCTTTTAATGAGCTCCGGACCTCAAATGCGCTAAACAGCTCGGGCTCGGGGCAGACTTCAGTAAGTGTTAGCGGGTCGGTTGCCCTGTAAGTAACCGGAGTTCAGGGTCCCGCCGGATGCTCAAGTGGGGCAGACCGTGAATGGGTTCCTCGACGACTGGAAGTTGAAGTTCTCGGTACAGGTATCAATTGGCTTCGCGTCTTGCTCGTATCCCTTAATAGTAGCCCTGTACGGATACACATTTTAATGAATGAAGGTCAAGACCTGAGTCTAAATTGACGGTTCAGATTTAAATGTAGACACCATGAGGCTCCAGGTATTCGAGTCTTGGCATTGATCCATGTCTACACAGATAAATAGGCGGTCAGGATTGTCGAAGTGGGCTGTTGGCAATAAATGTTGAGCGTAGGCTCGACCTGGAATTGAGTTTTGACAAGGAACTTGCCTGGTCAAGAGAGGTATGTAGAGCAAGGAACCTGGGGAAACCTTGAATCGTGATATATATCGTGCCTTTCTAGAGCTTTGACTTCTCGGGCAAGCAA